ACAGGAGAGGTGAGGGAATCAGCATATTTTGCACTCTTTTTATGTTGCATTATCTGCATTTATATGCATACCAATATAACAGTAATGACAAAACTAATACCTTAAAAACAAATTCAACTGATAAAACGATATACCGCCCACTACTATAACACAGGATGTATGTCATAATGAATTCAAATGCAGGACCTCCATGCACAGCATAAGACAGTCAAATATAGACCAATATAGCACATTTGGCCACAGTAATGAGATCAGCTTCCAAGTTATCAGCATGACCTGCCCATATTGGCAATGCACTTAAAGCAGGGAGAGAGAACAAGAAAATGAGACATGCAAGCAATCGTGCAATCATTTAGTACATTAAGGCCACAAGCAAATGATGGAGATTAAAGAGATGCTGACCAGGAAGAACCGGTCAATATTAGCATGCATCGACCACAGAGCAATTCTCTTCTCTCCTCTCATACAAATGATACTGGACTTAATTATTCAGACAAAATCAGACAAAATCAAAAGAGTAATTCCACCACATCATTAAATCAATGACTAATCATAGATGTGGCCTTCTTCTTTAGCAGGCATTACAGTAGGGTCTAAGAATTGCCTGGATAAAGATGAATCCCAAGCCTACACCACTATTAGTCTACCCAGACAGAGAGTCGTTCCAGATTGTGATAAACCCTGCTAATGAACAGGGGGAAAAAGCCTTGGCCGAACTGCAATAACAGAACATCCCCCTCTAACAAGTTGCAGTGGCCACCTAAATCACATGACAATCAGAGGCAATCAGTTAGGGTGGAGAGCTGTATGTTCTCCAACATTAGGCAGTCCTGAGTCGTATGTCCACTAATAAATACCTACATCACACAGGACTAAATTTCAACATGTGTAGGTTACGCTGGCACGTCCCTGTAATTGAAATCAACCGAGACTCCTTGATAGATACATCTGTTTGGCTCTGATTGCGCCAGACTTCACTCCTGATCAGTGCCATCTTTTAAGATCTACATCACAGGCTCATGTATACCAGTGGCTTTCAGGGAAACTAACAGAGTCGCTTCATTAAATGTCAAAGCCATGCTTTTAGCTTTACGACAAAAGGCAGAACTATCATACTGCGACCTAGAGGGGAAGACACAACAAACCTTCATCCTTAAAGAAAATTAGGTACAGATTGTCATTAAAGAATGACAGCAAACGGCTATCATTGAATTTTATAAGATTTGCTTGTGCCAATAGCATGTTTTGTGGTATGTGGATGGTTGGAAAGACACAGGGAAACCACTAATCACAAGCCCTTCACAAGAAACTGCTGTCGATATTAGGGGCACACACTACACCCACAGCTGAATATTATTTAGCAATAAATGGGTTAACTTAACTATTATTTTCAACTCTATATTTGTCACAATGCTCAGTCAAAGTAGCACAAGGGGAAACGCAAGACATTTAATATCGTTTTTAAAACTCACCATTCTAATATCTGTATAGCCCAAAGATTATGCGGTATTTAGCATTAGCTGCTAGCATTTTTAGCATCTTGCACTTCAGACATGGATTCTGTGGTTATACAACTTGTTTTTAAATGTAAAAATGGCATGATACCACTTTTTATTTTTATACTGATAGCGAGATTGAAACTGATACGGATTCAATATATACTAAGCCGCCTCCCAAGTGGCACCACCATCTAAGCGTGACCCCATCATTGATCCCCGGGGATGTCAGAGCCATCCATGGCCCTCGTTCTCTCTGGGTGGGTAAGATGGCCCCCCCCTCTCGCCCTATCACTCACTGAAATTTTATCCAGTGCAGGCATCTGTTAGCTGATGTAGCAGAATTGGCAGTTAGCGCTCTCCACCAAGTGTGTTTAGTACAATCACACTGCATCAGTGGCAGGTTGAGAAGATGCGGTAATGCACGTGAGGAAGCATGTGCAAGCATTCACCCTCGCATCTTGGTAGCACTGTATGATTGGGAAACCTTGCAAGCAGGTGAAATTAGTAATGATTCATTTTCCCATCCTAAGCAACCAGTGAACCTACAAATGTCTTCTGAGTTTTTATATATTGATAATGCTTAAACAGTGATAAATCTAATAAAAAAACTTTTTGGGCCACCATTTTGCCTTACAACACCCTGCATGTACCTCTCTGCAATCAACAGATTTTAAAAGATACATTTTAGGTCAAAACCTTCTCAAAAACTATGACAACACAGAGCAGGGCATCAGGTAGCATATTCATAACCATTTAATGTAATAACTTTCTGAAGGAGAGTTTAGAGGTATTAATTACTTTAGACATCTGGTTCCTATCGGCTCCAGTGTAAACAATTTTGACTCAGTAAGTTTCTCTAGAACAGAGCATTTTATATGAAACCATTCTGAATGATGTTGTTCACATCTTTATGATTCAATTATGCAGAAAATTGAAAAAACTGTGAGAATCTGTAGCTATAAGTAGGCTACCATGCTCAAACTACCTTAAACGGTCTACTACTCTACTCTTCTCCACAGAACCACATACACAGCTAAGAACATAGGTGTGCTATTTCAGGTTAGATTTGTTACAGGATTAGATTGGATACATTCTTTTTTCCCCTGATCCAGCATTTCTGCTAACACTGGCTCAACACCGATACCTGGTATATCCAGTATGTTGGGGCCACGATATTGTGTTAATTATTGTTTATCATTATTGGCCTACAAATTCTATATCTTTCACCCCTAACGCAAATTGTCTTGTGGGAAGGCAGATTTCCCTCAGCTCTGAATCCATAGGGAAAAAAGAAATTCTTATGTAATGCAGCTGACGTGATCACTTTGAAAACATTGTGTGGAGCTTCAAGGACCAATATTTTGAAGTCGGAAAAAGCTGATTGGGCAAAAGAACTTGTTTGAATAAAGGTTTTTATCAGGTTTTCCTTTCAAGGCCTGAATGTCCTTAGTGCAACTGCTGCACTAAACTTGTAGAGTGACAATGTGAACGATTTCTTTTGACCTTTCTTAAATTAATTAGTAAAAACTCTTTGTTTTGATCTCAGGTAACAGCTACAGCTATAGCAATAGTTCAACAGCTATGAGTTACACTGAATAAAGGAAGAGAAATGCTATCAAGAAAGTGTCTTTAATCAGAAATGCTGGAGAAATTGAAATCAGGAACTCAATTCAGCTGAAGTGGCTGCATCAAACTGGAGAAGAAGAAAAAAAAAAAGGACTCCTTATGTGTTTTCGGCCTCAGCCAAACTCAACCATCCATGAAAATCCCATCTCAGGGAGAGAGGAGGTGAGGACCTGAGAGTGCGCACACGCACACGCATGCCAAACAGTAAAAGGACATGCTGCCAGATCCTCACTAAAGCCCTTTATCCTTATCATAACTACTTCCACAATTACTCACATGAGTGGTTTACCTGCTTCCGCCAGGCTGCGCTGCATTTTACTGTCCTAGTGATACAAAAACCTCCAGGCCGTGCACATTAACTGGGCCGCCAGACACAGCAGCACCAAGCGGTTACATCATGCTGCATGCAAGAGTGTGTGAGAGAGCATGGGATGGAGAGGGAAAGCGCTATACAGTCTCAGTCATGGCTTTAAAGGGGAATTGCAAAGATTTTTGAAAGTTTCTGTGTAATGAAATCAGTAAGACGTAAAACAATCATTCATAGTGGTTTGATGTGAAATGATCCATTCTAGAGAAATGTGCATAGTGAGAATTGTTCACAGTGGTAGTCATAAGAATCATGCGGTTAATGCCTCTTACAGCTACCTCACAGAAAGTTATTTCATGAAACTATTTTATATCACACTTTAAACATTATTATTCGATAGGTTCAAGGTAAGGTTTCCGCCTAAATCATACCTTTTAAAAAACAATTCATGGCATAAAAGTACCCAAAGAAACCTATTTTTCAGATTTACCACTGCTTTAACATTATCCACATTACAAATAAACACTCAGAAGACAAGTGTAGCTTCAGTGGTCATTCTGGATAGTGAATAAAGTGGCTTTATCTGAGTTGTACACATCACAACCGCGGGATCCCATCATGATCATGGTAAAGAAATTTACATCAAACCACTGTGAATGACTTATTATTTTTGAATTATGCAGAAAATAAAAAAAAATCAGTGGAATTTCTCTTTAAGCATGCACTTACGCATGCACGTCTGTATGCTATACGCCTGCAAACAGCAGCTCCTGCCATTTACTTTACATCTCAGCGAGAGTGTTCATTAAAACATGTGCTTTGAAGCAGCAAGGACTTGCTCAATGGAAAGAGCATAATGAGTGAATAGCATAATAGCATAAGAAGATGTGGCTGATCTGGCTGCCTTTTCAAAATTACACCAAACATAAACACACTTAATTACACAGATCAAGAAAGTCTCTTAGAGTAGTAGGAGCGCCGCTATAGTGCTTATTAAGCATGGAGATGGTGCTACTTCTTGAGTAATCAACACTCCATGTGGCATCAGCATGCATTAATACACGTAATTGATCTAAAAGCAAACAGCTTTTTCTTTATGAAGCTCAAAAGAAAACACTTATTTTAGAATCTAAATGCGATGAATGGACATTTTTAATAAATCGCTGCAATCCACTAAGGCTTTGCTTATCCTGTAATATATACAGCACGATAAAGTCTACACTTTTAGATGGATGGTAGCAACAACTTTTAAAAGGTCAGTGTTGTAGTGGACAGCAGCATTTAGTATGAGAGTCTGCTGTAATGTGGTCTTTATGGCTTGGTCTAGTTTATGGTCATTCTCAGATAATGGAAACTCTTGTGATATCGACAGCATGCTCCTGTCAAGAAGACACTTCAAGATTGAGGGGAAAAAAAAAAAAAGCTCTGGGAGGAAATCCCAGTGGAGAAGGAGGAAGATAAATGAAATCAAGAAGTAAATAAATGAATCAATGAATTAATAATAGATCAGCCAGCAAGTGGCCCCTTCGAGCAATGCCACAGATGCAATATTAATAACCAGCTCTTACTGTTCATCTCTGTGTCATCACTGACACCCTTAGGAGGAGCATGGCCGGAATAACACACAGCTGATCTGTACATTCGATCCGGATTACGAATTTTCTTCAGTCCTTCAGGAGGCAGAGAGAGAGTGGAGAAAAAAAAGAGACTAGGAAAACTGCACATTTTCCAGCTGCAACAACATCTTAACAGTGAGACTTTGGACATTTTCCCCATGCACACAGACAAGATTGGTTAGTGAGTTTAGCATTAGCAGCGTTGAGTGAACAGTTACGTTGGTCAGTGAGGTAGTGTTAGCAGCGTGTAGTCAATAGACAGAGTAGTTAATGAGGTTATCATTAGCAGCGTGTAGTTAATAGACAGATTAGTTACATCAGCGACATGCAGTGAACAGAGTGGCTAGTAAAGTTAACATTAGCAGCGTGTAGTGAACAGAGAGAGTGATTACTGAGGTTAACATCAGCAGTGTGCAGTGATTAGACAAAGTGGTCAGTAAGGTTAACATCAGCAAGGTGTAGTGAACAGACAAGGTGGTTACTGAGGTTAAGGTTAGGGGTGTGTAGTGAACAGACAGAGCACTTAGTGAGGTTAACATCAGCGACGTGTAGAGATCAGACAGAGTGGTTACTGAGGTTGACATTAGCAGTGTGTAATGAACAGAGGGGTTAGTGAGGTTAGCTATAGTGGCGTGTAGTGAACAGCCAGAGTGGTTACTGAGATTAATGGCAGCAGCATGTAGTGAACAGACAGAGTGGTTCATGAGGTCAGCATAAGGATTTAGTGATTACTAAAGTTAGCATTCATAGTGGCTAGTGTGAGGCCCAGTCCATATTAAAAATGTTGTCACTTACCACAATAGCAAAATATTCAAAATTTCTTCATCATTCAGTCTTTCAGATGTAAACAAACTAATGCATTGTGGTTTGATGTGAAAGGGTGCATTGAGACACTTAACGCCTGTGTAAACCTTGCATCAACATGCATTTTCGGTAACGGAACATGTTTGGGTTTCACTTGATGACATGAAAAGCCATGCGTAAACACACCCAGGATGCACTGTGACTGGATTACATCGGATCCCTCAAACCACCTTCGGAAGTGATCAGAGACGTATCTTGAGCATGTTTAACACAAGTGTAAACAATATGCATTTTCATTATCTGTACACAATTATGTGAGCAGAAATGTGGCTGCCGAGCGCTGACTAGCAGGTGAGAGAACAAGGAACGAAACAAAAGTTGGATAAAACGTGAGGCTGAAGTTAGCCTCAAACCAAGTGCCTTCTTGGTTCCGGGCCAATGAAAGTGTCCAAGCCAAGCTTGTTGACTTGTATCATTAAAATATGAAGAAAATAAGTGAACAAAACGTAAAACGGAAACCATGTACGTGTTTATGAGCTTCTCACGCAAAAAAAAAGTACAATCGGATCACACCTGGTCACGCTGGGGATGCATTTTACTGAATCTGGCATATCCAGATATGATCCGGACATGAAACACATTAATGCAAGGCGTAAACAGAATGCTATTGACTTCTTTACAGTGGCTTGAGTTTTAACATGTAATGCCTGTAATGTTAAATAGTAGTATATAATGGTATGTTTTTTGCGGATTAATTTGCCTTACAATTCCCAATTACGTCCTGCATTCATCTGTTCATGATCAATAATTAAACACACCTTTCAGTCAAAATCTTCTCATAACTAGCAAAAAACAGTGTCTAAGGCTATAGACAGTATATTAAATGCTGAAATAAAGCTATGCAACTGGTGACTGTTGGCTTATTTCATTTCTATAAAGGCTGGCATTAAGAGCACAAAACCATGAAAACTCCCAGGTATGGAAGTATATGTTTATTATAATACAAATTAGGCTTTTATGAATATCAGTGCTTTATCAGTGGGATATGTGGTACATTAATATTAGCCGTATTAGGCCACTAAACAATATATCGGTGGGCCCTGGTGAATCCCTCCCATGATTAAGGCAATGCATCCACCCAGTATGCCAGAATCTCCATGCAGTGGAAAACTTCTCACAGCCAATCTGGCCCATTCTGCCTTCAAGTTCGTGTGTCAAATTCTCTTCTCCCCACCAAGTTTGCACCCTCTTTTATCATGCACTTTCAGAGGGGCAGAAGGAATTACTTTGGCTTAAGTTGCTCCCTTGTGGTGAGGAAATGGGGAATTTTATTTTGCGAGCAGGGCTCTGGATAGGGCTTTGAGGCGCTACAAAAGCAATCTCTTTGATCTCGTAACAGACGAAAGCATGTATGTTTTTATTATCTGACGACATCACGGCAGAGCTGAACAGATGATGTTTATTATTTAGTATTATTTATCCCAGTATGTGGGTTACAATGACATGCACACTCACAGCTAGTCTCTTTTTTAAATAATCCAGCTACAAACGACCCACCTGGCCACCCTGATCAACTTGACAGGCTTTAAAAAAAGGAATTGCAACCGGTGATGAGTGAAAAATAGATACATAAACAAATCTGAACATGCAGAAGAGACATGATGTAAGGTAAAGTCTGATCTGCTTTGTACATGGTTTCTTAAAATCCTCACAGTGTTCAGAGAGAATGTAGAGAGTGTGTTTAAAGTGATGCTCACTCTACCATCTTAAGATGATTTTTGTTTGTAAACCAGGCCCTACTTTTTCCAATAATGCCAGACAGTTTGCTTGTATGTTTGTTTTCTTTTCTCACCTCCTACTCAGTTTTGCTGATGCATCTCTTGGTGCACAAATAAATATTCACAGAATTCCACCTAATGAGCACTGAAGGGGGCAGCAACAAAGCTCTCTGGGGTTCTAGGGGTGTTGGATTAGGCTTTATTTTTGCCCACAATTTGAGTAAACTGGATTAATCTTTGAAGTCAATATGATCACTTTTCTTAAGCAGGTTAGGACAGGCTGAAGAACCGATTTGTCTCCACACTCCAGACTGAGGTGACAAAATCCCATCTATCCCTGCCACGTTAGACCTACTTCAATTAATAGAGATATAAATCTCAAATCTCTACAGCCTGACCAATACATGATTACCAGAGCCAAAACCAACGTCAGACTGGGCAAAATCACCTATACTGATGTACCTGCCATTATCTAGACATTTGTTAATATTAGAGTAATGTTTACCAGAGTCATGTAAATAAAAGTATGTTGGACACAACACATTCAGATTAAGTAAACAGATCTTGTTAGTATAAAGATTCTACAAGTAGTATAACTAAAAGAGTGAGCTCCTTTATGCTCCAGGGAAGCTACACTTCAGTGCATTTTTAGTGCGCCTTAGCTAGCTTTATCTTCAGTAATCACTAGACTTTTCCTTTAACAATCTGAATACAAAATTCACCCTAAACATTACAGGAGCTCCAGAGGTGCACTGCACTGACCTACTCACATGAATAAGATTTATTTATGGCTGTGGTTCAAACTTCATCATAACATAGCCTCAGATTTTCGGAAATAAATTTTCAGTAAGCCTGTCAATGCAACTTCCACACAACTGAGCTCTACTGAAGTAAGCTCCATTCAACCTCACTCTTACATGGCGCAATTCACACACAACAAATGGAGACACAGTACTTGCCAGTATTACAGAATACAATGGGGGAAAAAGGCCCCCCTGAAGCAAAAAAATCAATGTTCTACCATTCCAAAGAAAAGTTTTACAAGGCTTAGATGTGTGCACGTACTCCATCCTATAAAATTTCACCGCAAACATAACCACTTCAGCAAAGATTCTTTGAAAAAAACCCTGCAACTTATTTTTTCCCCAAAGGAACACACAGATTACTCCTGACAATGGATGACAATTTAATAATACATTCAGGGTCAAACTTAATCACGTCTAATACAGAATGTTTTCTATTAAATCTGATTAACTCAGAATCATTTTGATATAATAACAATGAGATGCATCAGCAATTATTTCTAAGTAACTAAGGCTACTAGTATCTACAGAAGTAAATCAGATGAAATTTGGTGGTATGGTGGATATTAACGTTGGGGGCATTTTACACTGGTTTAACCCCATGACCCCTTAAATGCTAAGTTATGTGTTTTTCAATAGTTTTAGAGCGCAACTACAGCGAGTTGCACTGATGTGAGCCGCTCAGGAAGATCGATGCAATTCATGAAGGAGTTCACAGACATCTGCGCTCCTGTATTAATGCACATCATTTATTTGACTGATGCATATATTGCCAGGAATATCAGAGGTCAGAAGATTTACACTCTGTAATCGACCTGCATTTTCTTTGTTTTTCTTTTTTGCAAAGTTTTTTTTTTCCAGTCTTACATCTATAGAATCATGATAAATGTTAACAGAGCCTTTTTTGCCTCTCCCTGTCTTAGACCTTACCCATCTGTTTAAGCTTATTGAAGAGGATATTTTACTGTACACAAATATTTTTAGTGACATTATCAGTGATAATCTGCATAAAATTTGGTGTTGCTTGACTCCATAGTCAATGACAACCAGCAAGCAAGAAAGCTACATTCCCTAGCTAGGTTTGGATAACTAGCACAAGCACTGATGCTTCATTATTAAAATCCTACTCTCTTAAAAAAGAAAGTTCTTTTGGGGTTCTTTAGTGAAGGGAATGGTTCTTTTTAGAACTATGAACCATATATATAGAACCATTTCATGCTTAAATGGTTCATTGCAGGGTGAAATGGTTCTTCATATTGATGAAGTATGTGTTGTATATGGTTCTATATAGAACCTCTTTGAAAATGGTTCTATATAGCACCTAAAAGGCTTCTTCTACTGTTACAAGCTTGACATCATAAAAATAGAAGAACAATTTTCAGTCCTACATAGAACCATTTTCAAAGAGGTTCTATACAGAGTGCAATCTTGTGATGCTGGTGAGTTTGAATGAATAAATATTTAGTTATATAAATATAACTTAACTACAAAATCAGTGCTGTTAGAATGTATTATGCTCATATTTACTCTCATTTATGCAGGCTATTATTTTGTTTATTGTTGCTTTTTAACCAACTTTCCAGGAATCTCACTATGAAAATTAGTAACACTGCATTCTGCTCAGACTAGTGGGATAAAGCAGGTTCTCTTTACTGCTCTCCTTAGTCCACTCAGAACCAAAGGGGTTCACAATATGAAAATATTTTCTTGTAAACAAACAAATAAAGATTGTAAAAACCCTTTACCCCAAATACTGGTGACGATGGTGGACTAAATGCCAATACCGCTGCAAATAAGGACGAATATTGGCCAATAATATTGGCAAGCTGACATCAGTCAGGTTCTGATTTCTACATACCCCATAAAGATTCCTACATGGCTCGTGGCTTGAATGTACTGCTCTAAGAAAAACTGAACTGAACTTCAACATTGTGTGCATGAACTCATAAATCTCATTTATAGAACTATTCATTGACAGGCGAGTGATTCTTAAGCTTCTTCTGTAGCATCGATCCAAGTAAGTCTTTTTGAGGCGTTTATGTTAGATGTAAACAAAATCCAAACCTGGCAGATATCCTTAAACGGGTATTTCATTTTGAAATGCCTTTGCCTGTTTGTAGAGAGTTTCTTTTTTAGTCTCTTGGATCTTTTTTTCTTCTTTTTGTCTGCACCAACATGAAATTGGTTGAAATCACAGCATCCTTTATTGCCTTCATGCCATGCCTAGTTTCCTGAAGCACCAAATTCAGCTATTATTAATAACATGATAGTGTCAAGAGAACAGTTTTACAAAAAATACTCAATTATTAAAACGTCTAAATCTCTGGTTGTGTCTGCTGCTCTTATAGCCAGTGAGCTGCTAAACCTTGTATTAAACACTGCTAGCAGGGCTCTTAGGAGGTGAGAAGGGTCAAACTGAGGGACAGGAGCACTCAGTGGGGCACAAGAGATATTACCCATGTTTTCATAGCAGCCTCTAGCAAAGAACAGCCTGTCCTTATGTGCGGGGGAAAAAAAATCTGCAAAATACTGAAGCCCTGGAGAACAGTGCTCTACACAAACGCTCCACTGCTTCAAGGACAAAAGGTTACGGGACAGACAGTAATGTAAAGAGTGAAAAAGTATTGCGTAAAACTTTACGCAACACAGCGTTCTACCCAGCTTTTATACTGCGGCCTAGAGCACTGAAATGGCACAGCACTGTAGACACTATATTCAACACTAAAGCTCTTAAACTACGTGGATCTATATAGCACTACGTTCATGTGTGTCACATGCTCCTCCTCCACACACTGACCTCAGAAGAACGGCAAAAATAACTCAACCTGCTCAGCGAGGGGAGTCTCAGCTCAGGCATTCTAAAAAGCACTTGGCAACCATCACACAAAGAGAAAAAAGAAGACGCTCCAACATGACACACGGTACGAGCCTGGATGTGTTTGTTTGCATCTGTCACAAGCACAGAACAAGCTTAGCTAGCCCTCCACCTTGTGATGCTTGCATTCAATGTCTCTTTATTCTAACGCTCTTGGTCTCAGTTGACACGCCGCTCATATAGTAAAACATACATGTGCTGTGAGAGCTACCAAAGCTCAACACCACCCCCCTGTGGACCCCCACATGTTAAAACCCACCAGCCTTTCCCGATGTCATATTACTATTTCCTGAGTATGGTCACAGCAGTGATTTACAGCCATAGGTTTGTCATTAGGCAGATTATATTACAGTAACAGGCATCTGCCTAAACCTAGTGTTTCCAGTATAAAGGCCCTGGCAAATTCCTCAGCATGGACTTTAAAGTCCATCTAACACAGTCCATATTCTCTGCAGTCTAATTCATGCTAATGATCAAATATCACAGCAATAATTCTTTTTTTTTTTGGTAATCATATGCAATAACATTACATGATCCCCCTTCTCCCCCCACCCCACACACCCCTTGATTTTTTAAAAACTTTCTTTAACTCAATGTCTCCACCCTGTGGCTGAAAAGAGGCATCCTGCCCCAATCTTCTACTTTTGGTTTTTATTTCAGTGTTATGAAACAAACACTGGCTGAGGTCAACTTTAGCCAAGCATCTTCATACCTGTGAGAACAAAGTGCAGTAAGGCCTATTCGCACTGTCGTCGACACTCAACAAAGCAGCGGAAGCTTTCACACCTGACGTAAGAAGTGTTACAGGGCTGACAAAACTGTCATCATTATTATCACCACTGTCATGTTTTTCAGCAATATAACATCCAATCCACCAGACATAGCTACGCTCAGAGATAAGTATACTAAGACAGAATAGAGTAATGGTGATTTGAGCTCCTGCATGACATATTCAGAGAAACATTTCACCTGATTAAGCAGCACCTCCTCCCCTTGATATGACCCCAACTACAAATATGTGCCAAGTTCTCAAAACAGTCAGCATGCATTGCTATTTGAGGAACAGTTTTGTTGCTAGTTTGGTGGAACCAAGTTGTGTCAGCAAAGTAAGGCAGAAAAAATGACCAGCATTATAGTTGCTAATATGAATTTAGACATTTAGACACTCACATTAATAGCTGAACGTGACTGACTGGAAGCAGCCCGGCCTGGAGAAACATCACTTTGGAAAGAAACGAGAAAGTGGCACCACCAAACCAAACGCTTCTCAGAAGAAGTGAAGAGCTTAGAAACTACCTGCTTATAGACTTTGCATGCCGTAAAAAGCCTTCCAGCGTGGCTCAAACTAGGACCTGAAGTGTTCCCCACCTCCCAACTCGCAAACAGTCTTAAGCGAGCCAAGAGGGCTGATAAATAAAAGAGAAGTTGGGGCTTGACTGCCATATTTGTCACCAAGTTTGCTCACGCTGCTAGAGACGGCGTGCAGGACAGCTGGGGGGTTTCAGCCACGTTTTTGCCCCCTAGTGTGAGTGTGTATGTGTTTAAATATGTGGTGCACACTGCTGGCTAGCTGAGCATAGCTGGCTAGGGTAACGTCTCCGTGGAGGAGCAGTGAGGATGTTCAGGAGGAGGAATCCTCCAGCCCTGTCCTCCTCTAAAGCTCCTCTGCGTCGCGAGCCGTGGCTCTCCCCTACCTGCTCCCTCCTCTTTTTTCCTTTTTCCTTTCTCCTCCGTTCCTCCCCGCCACCCCGCTCCCGCTGCTGTCACACGAGTACAAATAATCCCCGTGTTTGCTCTCTTACCTTCCGGCTTGTTTTCGGCAGCCATTTCCCCTCCGCGCGCCACATCCTCCTCCTCCTCCTCCTCTTCGCGACCGTGGGTACCACGCGCGTGCACGTCGAGGACAGCGCGCGGAGGGCGGGGCCGGAGGCGGGGCGGGGCCTCGCGTTCCCTATTGGCCGGAGCAGCGCGAGGGCTCGTCCTCTTTCAGAGCGCCTCTCGTCGTGATAGGGGAAAGGCGAGATGTTTGGATGAGGCCACGCCTCCGGAGGAGAACGGACCAATCAGAGTGTGGCTGGAAGGGGGCGGGGATAAAAACGAGGGCTGAGAGAGTAATACGTAGAAAGGAGGGATGAAGGAGGCTCCGTTTGAAACCGGTGAGGGGAGGGGGCGTGCACTCGTGTCATAGAATGAGAGAGAGAGAGAGAGAGAGAGAGAGAGAGAGAGAGAGAGAGAGAGATAAGAAAATACAAAGTAGAGAGAGAAACGCACTATTACATTGTGGGGGTGCTGAAAAAACAGCAGAGAGAGTCAAAGAAGAAAAATAAAAACTAGAGAGAGTGAGGAAGATGAAGAGGGCGAAAGAAAAAACACAGAGAGGGAACACAAAACAGAGAGAGAAAAAAGAGAGAGAGAGAGAGAGATAAAGAAAAAATGCAAACGAGAGAGCAATGGAGAGAAGAAAAAACACAAGAGACTGAGAGACATGAAGACAAAGGGAGAGAGAGAGAGAGCGATAGAGAGAGAGATAGAGAGAGAGAATGTGAGAGAGAGAACGATAGAGAGAGAACGATAGAGAGAGAATGTGAGAGAGATATAGAGAGAGAAAGAAAGAGAGAGAGAGATAGAGAGAGAGAGCGAGTGTGTGTGAGAGAGAGAGAGAGAGAGAGAGAGAGAAGAGAGAGAGAGAGAGAGAGAGAGAGAGAGAGGTCCTGAAAGGCCTGAACAGGTTAGAGGTTATTTGATGAGGGGGGTAATTTACTTGCTTGTCCTGCAGGTCTTAAATGAATGTAAAATACTCAGAGAGCATGTAGAACACACATGTAGCACAAAGAGAGAGTAAGAAGACACTGCAGTGGTGCTGAAAGGACAGCTCCAGTAGGCTCATCACAGAATCAGAGAGAAAGAGAGCAAAAAGAAATAGAGAGACAGAGTGAAGTGACACAGAGAGAGGCTAAATTATGAGGGGAAAATATGATGTTAATGTAAAATATGACTATAGGCCCAGTGACAGAGAGACAGAGAGAGAAATATAAGGTAGTGGTGCTGAAAGGACAGCTCCAGTTAGTCTGTATTACTGCTGCGAGCGAGAGAGAGAGAGAGAGAGAGAGAGATAGAGAGAGGGAGAGAGAAAGAGAAAGAGAGAGAAAGAACAACAGACGAGAAAGAAAAAAGGCAATGAGACAGAGAGAAAGAGATAGAGAGGAGGGGAGGGTTTTAAAGAAAAGCAGAAGAAGTGTGAGAGAAAAAGAGGACAGCGAGAGACAGATAGAGAGAAAACAACAAAAGCCATATATAAGAACAGTAATAAGAGAAAGGGAGAGAGAGTAACATTAAACAAGTATAAGGACAGAGTAGAGAGAGAGAGAGAGAGAGAGTACAGAGAGGAAGAACAGCATAAAACTAATATAAGGACAGAGAAGACAGAGAGAGACAGAAAGAGAGAAAGAGCAACAACACAAATCTAAGGACAGAGAAAAGAGAGAGGGAAACAGAGTGTGAGAAAGAAAGAACAACAGGAGACAAATATAAGGACAGAGTAGAAAGAGAGACAGAGTGAAAGAGAAAAAGAACAACAGGAGACAAATATAAGGACAGAGGAGAGAGAGGCGGAAGAGAGAGAGAAAGAACAGCATAAAACAAATATAAGGACAGAGACGAGAGGGAGACAGAGTGAGACAGAGGAAGAACAACAGAAGACAAATATAAGGACAGAGTCGAGAGAGGGGGAAGAGAGAGAAAGAATGACATAAAACAAATATAAGGACAGAGAAAAGAGAGAGAACAGCATAAAACAAATATAAGGACAGAGAGAGAGAGAGTTTTAAAGTTATAAGAGGAGAAGTGTGAGAGAGACAGGGGGGCTGGTAGTTCTGAAAAGTCAGCTGTGGTTTGTACTCACAGAACAGGAGAAAGAGAAAAGAAAAAGGGAGAAACTTTGTAGATGAAAGTTTTGAGCTGTTACTACTGTTTCCTCAGTAACAGTGTCCCTCTGAATCCTCGTCAGAATTCATATTTAAGCTATAAATCCCACAGCTGCTCAGGGGGAGGTGAGGCTGGATGGAGAAATGAGCTTCAGACCTGTTTGGTCAGGTCAAGTGATCCGTATAGTACGGGGCTGCACATTCTCCTTGAATTGTCTGGAAAACCTTGCTAATGCTGAAGTTATGAATATGTACATGTCATAATACACCGAGAGATTAATGAACATTCTTTAATTGCACTGGGCTCATAGATAATGGATTAAATGTTTCTTTGCCTGCAGCAAAAACAGACCGTGAAATGCCATCATTAAAATATGATCCTTATTGCTTGCAGTCGATTGATAGTATGTAAGCACTCTCCAAACGCTGACCTTTTCACTGCCGGGAGAAAAGCCTTGAAATGTTAAACAAAGTGGCCATATGCAAAGACGTTTACTTTGCTGGCCACATGCATGTAAAAAGATACACCCCTGCATAATAAAATAGGGTTACAAGAGTTTATTTAGAACGATATTTCAACCATCTCGTATAGTTTAACTCATACCATCAGTGGGCATTCTCATTCTGTGACAATGATGATTAAAGGGGAAATCCACCCATTTGCTCACATAATTCTACACTTTCAGAATTAAAGATATGTAGCTGTCGCTGGGGCAGTCCCCCTCTTGTCACTGGGGTGGCACCCTCAAGGGTTCGTCTCAGCACCTTTAGTCAGGGAACATTATTGTACCATAATCCACTGAAATGACATTTTCTAAGATGTATTGACTCCACACACCCTGTCTCGTCTCCAGCCTTTTCATTTTATTGTTCTGTTTTAAAACATTGCGTTATAAAAATGTACAAAGATACATACTTTTCACCTGGGAAAAACTTACTTAAGGTCCACAGTTGTACCTTTGAGGGAACATTTACATTGTTTGTCCCTTGATGAACAAAAAATGTACCAGCACAAACCTTCATTTCTAACAGCGTACATAATTCAAACATGATTTAATCATTCAGACGTGAACAAAGTTATTCATGGTGGTTTGATGTGAGATGGTTCTTTGTAGAGAAACTTACTGATTGGATTTCTTCACAGTGGTGGTGATAGGAACTAGGGGTTGTGATGTTTACAACACAAATAAAGCCGTTTCATTTAATATGTACGTAAAGTTTTTAAATATGTGATGTTTATGACAGTAAAATAGCTGTAAACCTGAAAAACTACCCTTTTCTTCGAGGACTATGTTCCCTCACGATGCCCTACATGTAACTCTCCACCACAAAACCAGAAAAAAAACAAAATCTCTGGTATCAGGCAACATATTGCAACTTTTTTCTACTTTTTTTAGCTTTTAGAGCAAAGTTATTCAAACTGTGGGCTGTGCCCCCCTAGTGGATGGATTTTGGAGGAGATGGGGAGGGGCAACAGGGAAGAGCGAGAGAAAATAGATATTTTTTTAAATATCTTTAGTTGACTGCGTCATAAAACTGTCATCTAACTTATTTCTGTCATTTTACAGGTTTTAAAGCTTGGGATCGTACACTTGAGAAAGGAAACAAAACATATCAACTTAATTTGGGCCAAAAAGGAAACAAGTACATGCTTCTTTGAGCACCTCCAAAAAACAGGAATGCTCTTTTTCCCCAGGATATGATGGAATAATTACTGACATGATCATTCAGACAGGATTGATGTATCATTGGCATATTTCTATGATTTATAGCATAGGATTAATATAGTTATAAGGTTATTTAGGTGTTGTATAGTAAAAGATTAATATAACCTCAGGGTATTTCTACCATCTATATTATAGCACTAGATTATTATATTTAGGTTATTTCTGTGCTTCATTTTACAGCACAAGATTAATATAAACTGGGATTATTTCTATGGTTTGTTTTGTAGTACGGGATTAATATAACCTTGGGTTATTTCTATGTGTTGTTTCATAGCACAGGATTAGTAAAACCTGGGCTTATTTTTCTATTTTTCATTTTTTTAGCACAGCATTAATGTAACCTACAGTTATTTCTATGTGTTGTTTTATAACACAGGATCAATATAACCTGTGATTATTCCTATGATTCATTTTATAGCACAGGATTAACATAACCTGCAGTTATTTCTATGATTTATTTTACAGTGTTAGTAATAAAGGTTCTGTGCAGGGTGCATTTTTCATTCATCGAGGAACAAACAATGTAAATGTACCCTCAAAGGTACAACAATGGTTTTAAGGTCCAACTGTGGACCTTAAATACGTTTTTCCAGGTGAAAATGACATATTTGTATCTTTTGATAACTTAATGTTTTGAAACAGAACAAATACATAAAAAGCCTGGAGACGAGACGGGGTGTTTGGAGTGAATACAACTTACAATACAATATAATGTCAATGAATTATGGTACAATTGTGTTCCCTGACTAAAGGTATTGAGATGTACCCTTGAGGGTATTACCCCAGTGACAAGAGGGGGACTACCCCAGTGACAGTTTCATACTTTTTGTCTGAGAGTGTATAGCACAGGATACATATAACCCGCGATTATTTCTCTTTTCTATGGTTTTATAGCAGCTACTCAATCTTTACTGACATGACTGCAACAAGCCGGTTAACCATCTTTCCAAAATGGACAGCTTTATTTCCAAATGAACCTGGTTTTGGGGCACCCCAAGTTCTCAAAAAACTAGAAAGAAACAAAAAATAGTGCATCTAAGGCAACCAACGCTTTGGACATTTGGTTCCTATCACAACCACTGTAAGCAATTTTGGAATAATGCATTTCACATCGGACCATTCTGAATGACTTTGCTTACATCTTTAATTGGTAAATCATACAGAAATTTTTGAAAAACTGGTGAAATTCCCCTTTAATGTGTTGCTTCAAAGACAAAATTGAGCCCACTCAGATGACTTTTATACAGTTTACTTTCTATAAGAACCCTGGTGATTAACTAGCCATCATCTGTGTGTTAATTCACTTGCTCTTCGTTTATTCTTGCAGCAAAGGTCTATTTGTGGAGCTAATATGTCTTGTCCAAGTGCATGTTATATTTAGCAAAAGTATAATTTCAGATCAGGGAGCGACTAGGCACACCAGCATTAGGCCTAATGCATATCTTAACATGCATAAGTGTGGGCGTTCATAAGCTCTGAGCCACTGAAGCTCTCCAAGGAGTTGAAAGCTGCTGCATGGGAAAATACCGAGCTAAGCATTCAGACACTCTGAGTGCATTCTGTTTAGGAATTAAAGCATGGATGTACAAAGCACACACAAAAGAACTTTAATAAGCTCTTTCAGTACAGAATAGATTTTTCCCTACTTGTATTCATCCCGCAAACCAAAAGAGGGTCGTCCTTGTTTGACCCAGTTAGGGCAAAGTGGATTTGTGTTTGGAAGGTCATGATTTGTTTAACGATTATGTTGCACAGTTGATTTCAGGGCATGTTTTATGTAACGTGTTTTCAACACTTAAAAATGTTTTAAGGCATTAAAGGGCCCATATCATGGAAAAGATAAGAGTCTGATGCCATATGTAAACACAAAGTTTCATAAGGTACCATTCACACTCCCCAGTCCATACAGCCCATACACAGAAACTAATAGGAAATAACAGCTGTTTTAAATTAATTGTTTTTGTGATGTCACTAAAATCAACACACACAAGAATCAACAAAAATCATCCTATTCAGCCTACAGCAGGTTAGCTCACCATTTCATGTTGAAGTGATAAGGAATGCTTCAGCCCTGATTGCTTTTGAATACAGGGCAGCCAATTAGAAGCAAAATCATTAACATATATCATTCTTAAAGGCACAGTTACAAAAACCTGAATAATTCTTAGGGTTCAAAAGTGGTTGGAAAATGGTCAAGTAAATATTAATTACAACTATTTTTGGTACATAAAACCACATAAATGTCATAAGTTGAGGAACAAAATACACAGAAAATATAACACATAGGCCCTTTAACACAGAACACTTTACATGAAGATCCAAAAAGGGTGCGTTTCTTAAAAAAGCAATGCTCCTTATGCTTCTGCTATAACTTCCCTAATAGGTTTCACTCTATGTTGACTGACAAATATGTCAGGTATAAAATACATCTATTCTGTTTAGGCTCAAGGGATCATGAATGTGCAACTATTACAAACTGTCTTTCAAAACCTTTAGCCATATAATGTATATTACATTCTAATTCAGTACATTTAAGATGCAAAAAGGCAGACATGCAAAGAAAACATCACTGGCCATAAATGTGTCAATCCTAATCCTAATCTTAATCAAACTTTATCATTAGAAAGAAATACAAAAAAACTGGAGAAATACCTGAAACTGAATGAGGAGATGAAGAGAAGGAGCAAGGTTAAAATTAAGGTCCAAGTGGTGATAGCTGCCCTCAAGGTATTGACACCTGGCATATAAAAAAGTAAGTAGTAACTATTTCCATTTACTCAGTTTCATGAACTCAAGTACAATTTTGATTTGCACTTTACTGAGCATTTTCAGATTAAATGTTTATATATCATTGCTGTTAGAATGAAATCTTGCATCTCCAAAAAGTTAACTTCACAGGGGGAGGTAAAACATTCTTAACTTTTAATGGAAGTTAACATAAAAAGATTTTATGTAAAGTAATTAGGGACCTTTTCTATCAGTCCACTGATCAAAGAATGTCCACACATTATGAAAGGCAGCTGGCATTTTCAAAATGTGTAAAAATATAAGAAACAACAGATTTGGAGATACACAGTTTTGTCCCGACAGTGACATTATATGCACATATATTGGTGAGGAAGTTGCATGTTTTACACAGTTACATTTTAGTCATTAAAGTTTCTTGAGTAACCCATTTTGCTTAACTTCACTATGTGTTTCATTCTGTGATATTGGCGATAGTACCTGTACTGTTTTGTGATTGGTCACACCTCTGACTAATGTTTATCATTTTATTTTACACCATTTGTTCTTCAAAAAAAAACCAAAAAAACAGAGAGGCCAATAGATGCTGGATGTACTAAGAAGTTCCCTTTAGTTTGGTATTAATAAATACTAAATTTTGTTATTTTTTACTTTTTGATCTGAATTTTTTGTTTGTTTGTTTTGCTTTTATTTTTAATTCCTTAATTATTTTTTTTCATTATTTCACAGAATGATACTTAACATAATAACATAATCAATTATGTAACACAATCATTAAGACCTAAATCGATCAAGACCCCAAATTTGAAATTAAAACAGGATATTTAGTGTCAAAGGAGAATTTCACTCATGTTTCAAAATTTCTCCATAATTCAATCATTGAGATGTCATTCAAAGTGGTTTGATGTGAAAATGGTTAATTGTAGATGAACTTGACGACTCAGGTTTCTTAACAGTGGTGGTAACAAGAACCAAATATAGCCATTTTAGGTCAAGACCTTGTCACAAGACTATTGCAAAACAATATCTCAGGCATCCATTGGAGTATTCGTAACCTTTTTATGTTAAAACTTTCTGAGGGGGAGCTTTTAAAGGCATTCAGACTCTTCAGATGTCTGGTTCCTATCACCACCACTGTGAACAGTTCTGATTGTCAAGTTTCTCTTGAATGGAGCATTTCACATCAAACCACTCTGAATTACTGTGGTTACATTTTAACTATTGAACTATGCAGGAATTTTGAAAAATCAGTGGGAATTCCCCTTTAAAGTTCACTGGGGGGCCTTCTTACACGAGGGGAAACCTTGGTGAAATGGTTCTTCAGATTGCTGGAATATCCGTTGCATGTAGTTCTTTTTAAAAATGGTTCTATATAGCACAAAAGGGGTTCTTCGGCTTGTAACAGTCTTTTTTGTTGCTGTATACAACACATTCTCCATCAATCTGAAGAACCATTTCACCGGGCAAAGAACCATTTAAGCATGAGATGGGTCTATAGAACTCATGGTTCCAAACAGAGCCATTCCCTTCACTAAAGGACCCTTGGAGAACCATTCATTTAAGAGTTTACATTACAGGACACCAGCCAAGTAAAAACACTTGCTGTCAGACTGCTCACTGGCTGATTATGATCCTCCGAGCCGAGTGGGGGCGCTAGCTCGCCGCGCTTCGCTGGAGTCCGTGTGAAAGCTCTGTGCGGAGAGACGAGGCGCTGGGCGGGGATGAAAGGTTGTAAACATGGCGGCGGCCTTGGAGGAGGATGAAATCGATAATGATGATTACTATTCTCTGTTAAACGTGCGGAGGGAGGTATGCGCTTTGTGTTCTGTGTGGACGGGTTCACAGTGACAGAGTCGGGGCCGTTTTGCGGACGCGGAGAGCTCGATACTGTTCACTGTAAGGCAGAATGTGGGGTCATATCGAGCGGCATCAGAGTGAAGTGAGCTAACGCGTTAGCTCAGCAGTGTGACCCTTCCTTATCATTGCCCACGGCATGCGGGAATCCGACTCCTGTACCGTTTAAGAGTAATAAATATACATATAACAGCGACTAACAAAGCGCATTTTGAATGTAAGCCTAATTGAGCTTAGAAGCAAACAGGCTGAGTTCATTTTCATAAATCCCTCCACAACTGACTTACCAAAGCCTGTTTTACCTGTTATATTGTTACAGCACTGTGAATACATGGAGCTTCTTATTCGCCAGTTTCTTGTTAGATAGATTTTTCCCGTTTCACCTTAAATGGTGGCGAATAAGAAACCGACTTCAGCCTGTTGTAAATGCTGGTTTAATGTTGCTTGTTTGGTAGTTAGCTAGCTAGCTTTCTGGTTTTCTCTGGCCAAGTCTGGCTACTTTTCGTAACTGCTAGCACAAACTGAAAGTCAGCCAGTGTCACACCATCGCTAACTTTCGATCTGACAAGCTCGTACGAGAATATTCCTTTCAAATCAGAAATATCGCCCTCTCAAAGAAATATATTGTTGCATTGTGTTGTCTCTGTTCTGTATTGAAAGGGTGTTTCATTTGATCAAATCGTTAACTTAGCTGGCTGCGAATTTAGATGACCGTTAAAGGGGAATTCCACCGATTTTTACAATTTTCTGTATAATTCAGTCATTTAGATGTGAACAAAGTCATTCAGAGTAGTTTGATGTTAAACGATTTATTGTATAGAAACGTGCCAACTTAGATTTCTTTATAGTAGTGGTGATAGAAACCAGGAGTCGTGTGTGTCAGAAATTGCCGTTTTATATACTGTCCAAAACAACCAGTGAACCTACATGTGTCTTCAGATTTGTATATATGATGTTGATCATGGTAAAATAGAGGTAAATATGGAAAAGTAAATATTCTTTGGAGACTATCTTGCCTTACAAGGCCTACATGTGAAAATATTTGTGTTAGGCCAAGTCCTCAAAACTTTAGTGAAACAGTGTCTCGTTAGGCAGCATATTTGTAACCATATAATGATTTTTCAACATTTCTGCATAATTCGGTTATTAAGATGTAAACATGGTCACTCAGAGTTTCATGTGGAATGTGCAGTTCTAGAGAAACTGAGCTACCAAGTCAGAATAGTTCACAGTGGTGATGATAGAAACCAGACATCTGAAGAGTTTGATGCTTCTGAAAGAAGCCTCACATAAAGTTGTTATATGGTTAAGAATATACTGCCTGATGTCTGAGACGTTGTCTTATAATCAGCTTTTTGGCTTTAAAGTGTATTTTTAAAAATATGTTCAGGTCAGAGTACATGCAGTACCCAGTGCAATGCAAAATAGTACCCAGAGAACAATTATTTATTTTCACAATCACTACTATTAACACTATGACCATTATAAACAGTACATATAAAAATCAGAATGGGTTGGGATGAAAAAAATTGAAAACTTTCCTTTAAGGTTAACTGCCTAACCTTAGTATACAACTTGGCTAAAATGGCTTCAATCCATAACAGTTGAAAAAAATGGGAAATGTACTTAAATGTCGTTAGTTGTCATTGACCTAAAATAATTGATTGTTAAGGTTTGTCTATTTTGCCATACTAGTCTGAATATGGTTCTGTAGTAACTAAGCGTGCAATCGCTTTGCTTTAGCAAGAAGTGACCCATATATTTCACTTTTGTGGAGACACGCAGAGAGTTCAGCATTTTTGTTAATTTGGTCCTGTTTTCTTCATTTTTTATATCCTATTCTATTCTTATTTACATGGTCACTTCCGCAACTTGAACAGTTATTTTATACTTACAAGTAAATTATATCTCATTAGGATTTTGAAGGTTGTCAGGGTTTTAAAGGTATGTCTTTTATCTTCAGGCCACACAAGAGGAACTCAAGGCATCATATCGCCGCCTTTGCATGCTCTACCACCCTGATAAACACAGAGATCCCGAGCTGAAAAGACAGGCAGAGCAGCTTTTTAACTTGGTCCACCAAGCATATGAAGGTGAGATGCATTACTGAACTGTCTTTGATGTCCTCAGCCAGACTAACTTTAAAAATTACAGAGTGTGTTTTTGGGTTGTAAAGATGGCATTATGTTGGCTTTTTCCCAGTAGATTGTATTTCACTGTATTTTTTTTCCCCTCTGCAGTTCTAAGTGATCCACAGTCTAGAGCTATCTATGATATATATGGAAAGAGAGGGCTGGACGTAGAAGGATGGGAGGTAAGCCTTAATTCAGAAGTTATCTAAATTGGACTTAATGCTTTGGTGTTACTGTCATAACATGTATTTTAGTCAGATGCACTGTATATCCAAAAGTAGCTTTCTAATTACTGAATTTCAGGTGCTATAGGGGGCATCTTCAGACTCTCTCAAATGTGCTATTTTAATTTTTGTCTATGGAGAAATGTGCACTGTGACTTAAAAGCAATTCTCTAGCCTGTGTTTTGTGATTTTGTAGCACTCGTTTTAATAGAAAGTTCATTTAATTTTCCCGCTGAGCGCCATGAAAAAAAGAACCATATGTCATCACAGCTGACCAATCAATATCAAGGACACCCCTCTAGTCACCAATGAAATGAAAGTTAGTTTTGGCAGTTTTCAGACAACACTCAGCACAAATGTTGACTCCAACTTAATGTGAAAAGTGTTTTTGATTTTTTTTGTGAGTAAATTTCAAAATGTTTATTAATCTTGGTCTTTTGTATTTTCTCAAATATCGTGTCCTGCTTTGTTTTAGCATGACTTTTAGTTTGACTTCTAAAAATGCGTCAGCTGAGTGACCCTTAAAGACGCAAGCATTGTTTGACACAGTTGTCCAATTGTGCATATACAGCTTTACAATCTCAAGAGAAAAGTTATCTGGAGTGATGGAACACCATCAATACCTTTTGGGATGTGTTGGAGTGTTGTTTATGATCCAGACCTAATCATCCAACATCAGTACCTGACTTCACTATTGCATTTGTCACTGAATGCAGTTGATTCTTAACAGCAATGTTCTACCATCTGGTATAAAGTCTTCTCAGAAGAGTAGGGGCCGTTACTACAGCAAAGGGGGACAAACTCCCTATCAACACCTTTCTTTTCAGAAGAAACACTGAATGAGCAGATCTCTACAAACTTTTAAACGCATACACTCTCAGAAAAAAAGGTAGTAAACTGTCACTGGGCCAGTGCCCCTCTTGTCACTGGGGTGGTACCCTCAAGGGTATGTCTCAGTACCTTTAGTCAGGGATCATAACTGTACCATAATCCACTGAAATAATTTTTTCTAAGTTGTATTGACTCCACACACCCTGTCTCATCTCCAGGCTTTTTATTTTATTGTTCTGTTTTAAAACATTGGGTTATGAAAAGATACAAATCTGTACTTTTCACATTGAAAAAACGTATTTAAGGTTCACAATTGGACCTTAAAACCACTGTTGTATCTTTGAGGGAGCATTTACATAGTTTGTACCTTGATGAATGAAAAATGTATTTGCACAGAACCTTTATTTTTAACAGTGTAGTACATATTGTGCTCAAACTGAAAAACTGATTTTTCAGGTAGTGGAAAGGAAGAGAACGCCTGCTGAAATCCGGGAAGAGTTTGAGCGCCTTCAAAGAGAAAGGGAGGAGAGAAGACTGCAGCAAAGGACCAACCCTAAGGTTTAATTTGTGTTCTGTATGATCTTTTGCCTGAGGTTACTGTCAGGTTGTCTGTAAATGTATTGATCTCCTCTTTGGACAGGGGACAATCAGTGTGGGTGTGGATGCCACGGACCTTTTTGATAGCTATGAGGAAGATTATGAGGAGATCACTGGTGGCGGCCTGCCCCACATCGAGATTAACAGGATGCATATATCTCAGTCCATTGAGGTGTGTGATATTCTTTCCAAATAAGATGGAAACTGAGAGCTGAGAATTTCTTTATAAAAAATGTTATCAGAAATAGGATAGGTGGGCTTTCTGCACTAGACAAATGTGATTGTTTATTTTGGGGGTATTCTTTTTAGGCACCTCTAACAACGACTGACACAGCCATTCTTTCTGGCTCTCTGTCCACACACAATGGCAACGGCGGTGGAAACATTAACCTGGCTCTACGACGAGTGACCTCAGCGAAAGGCTGGGGAGAGGTATGGACTTTCTTTGCTTTTTTACACACATTTACCCTGAAAGACAATAGAGAGTAAACCAGCCACTTTTGTCTGTAGGTTGAATTAGGAGCTGGAGACACTCATGGCCCTCTCTTTGGGTTGAAGATGTTCCGCAACCTGACGGCGCGCTGGTGAGTAATGCTGATGTCTGTGGTATTGTGAAGCTGTTTATCCCCCCATATCGACAATCAGAACAAATTGAAACAAAAAAATAACTAACCTTGAACAAGCTCAGCTTATCATTGATTTGCATTGCTTTCAGATCTTGTTTCTCTCCTTTTGATGAAGGCTAGGACATGCCCCTGCCTTGTTCCCTGTTAAAGCTTCAATTTATAATTCTGTCTTGGCTCAGTTTATGGCTCATGTGATCTTCTAAAGCTGTTTAGCATGTACAAAAACACACGTGATAACATGTCTAAGATCCACTGTGTCTAGTCAAGCGGAATGCCACCAAAAATGTCATCACAACATCTCAGTATGAACTCTGGAACCAACCAAAGTGTTTCTCACCTGCTTCCTCTTGTCATTTATGCTGTTTGCTTTACTTACTGCTGAATTTCTACCTTGTTACAGCACTTTCTGCAGTTATCTGTAGAAAATGAATAGATCATTCATAATACATTTTCAGCAATCATTTTGTTTTCGGGTGCTTTTAAACAGTTATTCCAATATGTGTGTTTATAAGCTTGGACAGTAATGTACATTTAGACAATTAATGTCTACAGAATTCTCATAACATTGATAAACAATATTATTGTGATCCAAATTCAGTTACAAAGAATGATTTATAGGAGTTGCAGAGCCTTGCCTATAAGTACCGTTTAAAATTACATAAAATGTAAAATAATTACTGAATTCTGCGCAGGTGGCATGTCACACTGTTAACACCCATTTGTTCCCCGAATTTATTTGGTTGAAAACGGAAAAAAATTGCCAAACTAGTAGTTGATGCCCTTCTTCTGGCCAAGCTTGTCCATTTTTCCATCTACCAAAGAAGTGTTTCAAGAATGCTAGAAAAAATGATAATTTGCAAGATTTTGTCTTAATTATCACAATATTCACTATCTATTATTGGCCCAAAGAGTAGTGTACATATGACTGTCCCTTATTGGTTGATCTACATATTTGGTTTCTTTGAAGTCCCTATCATCTGTACTATCAGTAAACACATGGTTACTATCTTGTGTGGGGCTTTTGAACCTGGGGATATTGATAAACATGAGAGTCTGTACAAACTTGCTGATCTTCTAAAGAGACTGATGTTCAGTTATGTTTGCGTCATACATATTACAAGAATTAGGAATGTTGCTGTGCTGCTTAGTTGTGCTAGCTCTATTATTCACTCTGTTATTCCAGTATGTGTCTTGCTTATTGCAGACCCAGCCCATTAAGTGGTTGTAGAGAGGTGTAAATTTGCTGTACATTTCAGTGCTTCTTGTATTTTTAGGGAGTGGATTCTGGCAGGAGAAATAGCTTTTACTAATGGAACACATTTATTATTGTTCTCAAGAACACTGGAATCTGTTTGTGTATGTCTTTTAGCTTCATGACTGCTCAGTGTGGGATGCAGTTTTCATCACGTGGTGTGCGGCCAGGTCTGACTACCATGCTCGCTCGCCACCTAGATAAGAATACCATGGGATACCTGCAGTGGCGCTGGGGGGCTCAGTCCTCTATGAGCACAAGCGTTGTCAGAGACACAAAGAGCAGCCACTTCACCTTTGCTGTGCAGGTCAGTAACATTAATACCGCTGTCAAACCACAGAAGAGTGGCTCAGGAAGACATTTGGAGCTGCTTATCCTCAGGACACTAACATGCAATAAGACCTCTGGTACCACCAGCTGGTCCAAAGTAAATCTGCCAGGTCTAATGGTAGAGCAGTTGAAGGAGTCCCTAGGTTTTCTCCTTGGTTAATCCTATGTTCAGTTATTGGCTTTTGTCAACTGCTTTTTGTCAACCAAACATCATGCTTTTGCTGTGATCTGGTCTCCAAGTCAACTGAAGTAGGCAGGTCTGTTATTGTTCATTTACTTGCAATGCTGTCTGTCATCCACCAGCCCTTAAAGTGTGCAGAGTGTGCTCAGGCATGTTAGAAAGTGCTAGACGTAGGAGTACACAGCCCTCCAAAACATTTTTGACACAGTTTTTTTGACCTCCGGCATTAAATATTAAGGTAAAATGTGGTTGTGCTCTTAATGTGCTGCTGTTAAAATCTGTTGTTCTATCCTTGTCATAGCTGGGGATCCCACACACTTTCATTATGATGAGCTACCAGTACAAATTCCAAAATGAAGATCAGACCAAGATCAAGGGTTCTGTCAAGTATGTGTCTGTGCTTTTGTTGTAATTGGATGTTATTGGTTGTTACTGTTGTTACCAAAATATAATTGAAACTGCTTTTGAATTACCAGTAGGGATGCACCGATATTGGAATTCGGGACTGATGCCGATATCCAGTATTTTTTCCGTACATATCTGCAGATACTGATAGTGAAACATTTGTAAAATGTAGAAATTGGGACTAGATCTATAACCCCATTTCCCAAAAAGTTGGGATGCTGTGCAAAATGTAAATAAAAACAGAATGCAATGATGTGCACGTTATTTAAGCCCTATATTTATTTGAGAATAGTACAAAGACAACATATTAAAAGTTGAAAAATATTTGCCCATTTTGAATTTGATGCCAGCAACACGTTTTGGAAATGTTGGAAAGGGGTAACAAAAGACTGGTAAAGGTGTATAATGCTTAAAAACACCTGGTGGAACATCTCACAACTATAAGGATAATTTGCCACAGGTCAATAACATGATTGGGTATAAAATAAGCATCCCAGAGAGGCTGAGTTATTCAGGAGTAAATATGGGAGGTTCAGCACTCTGTGAAAGACTGCATGGGCAAATAGTGCAACAGTTCACAATTCTCAACACAAAATAGGAAAAAACTTGGGGATTTCATCATCTACGGTACATGATGTCATTAAAAGATTCAGAAAATCTAGAGAAATCTCTGTATGCAGAGAACATGGGAAACCAATGCTGGCTGGCCGTGATATTCGAGCCCTCAGGTGGCACTGCATTAAAAATAGATATGATTCTGTAGTGGAAATCACTGCATAGGCTCAGCAACACCGAAAACCATTGTGTGTGAGCACAGTTCATCACTGCATCCACAATTGCAAGTTAAAAATTTACCCTGCAAAGAAGAAACTGTACATAAACAGGATTTAGAGACACTGCCGCCTTCTTTGGGCCTGAGCTCATTTAAAATGGACTTAGGCAAAGTGCAAAATTGTTCTGTGATAAATTAGCCTGCCTGCAGTCCAGACCTGTCACCCATTGAAAACGTTTGGCACTTTATGAAAAGAAAAATATAACGAAGGAGAACCCAAACTGCTGAGCAGCTAAAATCCTGTATCAAGCAAAAACAGGAAAACCTTTCGTTTTAAAAACTACAGCAATTGGTCTCCTCGGTTCCTAAACCTAACAGTGTGTTGTTAAAAGAAGAAGTGATGTAACACAGTGGTAAACATGTCCCTGTCCCAACTTTTTGCAAACATGTTTTTGCCATCAAATTCAAAATTGGCATATATTTAAAAATTAAAAATCAATAAAATATCCCAGAGTCTACATTTAAAATGTCTTTGTACTATTTACAGCTAAATATAGGGTTTAAATGATGTGCTTATCACTGCATTCATTTTTTATTTACATTTTCCACAGCATCCCAACTTTCTTGGAAATGGGATTGTAGCTAGATTCTCATTATGGGGAAATATAACATTTATTTCTGTAGGGTTACAAATACAGTAAAATGAAGAAAATATACTCATTTTAGTGCAGTAGCCCAGGATCACCCTGCAGTGCAGTAAATATGTCATCAAATATTTGAAATATCGGCCAAATCTAATCATCTGTCTGATGCCAGTAATGGTTTTAAGCAGTTAATCTGCTGACACTGATATGATTCCATTATCATTGTGCATCCCTAATTGCCAGTACGGTTTTCCCTAATTTAATAGCATGTTTGTTTTGATTTTTACCATTTTGAGCCCTTTTTCACTTGAGCCTGTGGTGTTTGTTTTTTTTATAGAACAGGGTTTTTTGGAACAGTGGTGGAATATGGTGCAGAAACTAAGATCAGTCGACACAGCATTCTTGGTGCTACCGTCAGTGTTGGAGTACCACAAGGGGTCTCCCTCAAGATCAAGTATGAAGCGGGTGCTGATTGTTAAGACCATTTTAAAACGGTTTGTTTTGTTAGCAAAAATAAAGAATTAAATGTTTCTGTTGTTTTTTTTGTGTAGGTTGAACAGGGCCAGCCAGACATACTTCTTTCCGATACACCTGACAGACCAGCTCCTCCCCAGTGCAGTGTTTTATGCCACTGTTGGACCTCTTGTATTTTACTTGGCCATTCAGAGGCTTGTTATCAAGCCCTATGTGCGTGCCCAGAAAGAACAGTAAGTCTCTAAGGATCCCTGCACCCTTTAAACATCCTTACAAGTATTAACTTAAGAACACTGAATCTTGAAAGTAATGTAAAATGGATAAGGGTTTTATTTTCCCCAAAAGTGCTTTTGTTTGAGTACAGAATCAATTGTGCTAGAAATGCAATAAAATGTACAATTATAATTGTTAGTGTCTGTAAGAAGAGCCTGTTTTTCTAAAGTGTGCAGTGTGCTCTTGAATCAATATTCTGCTGACACATAAGCCATAAGATTAACATTAAGTTCGTGAATTTTAACCTTGATCCCTTTATCTGTTTATAGCCAAGACAATTAGTCTCTTTTAGTTTAGCTATACAGTTGATTTTGGCTCTTAGAATCTCATTTTGCATCGATAATACCGTTTATGGGTAGAATACTGCTGGAAATTTACACTTGGTGCTTGGTGTTCAGATATAGGTGCCGAGTGTATTTTGTTGTAAATTACAGCTGGTTCTGAAATAGGTTTGAGTTTGACTGCCCCCCTTTGCAGAGAACTGGAGAAACAGCGGGAGAGTGCTGCGTCTGACATTGCCAAGAAGAAGCAAGAAGCAGAGTCTGCTGTGAGTTCACAGAGCGTCAACATACTGCTGATAACTTTTAATGTAGACTTCATCAGTGTGGATGCAGTTTCTGTATAGAATGAATACAGACAAAAAAAAATTGTTCATTGGTGTCAAAAACTTTCCTTTATAGAAGGGATATAAATCTTTAACCGATTAATCATTAAGCATGTACGACTGTTGACAGATTCATATGATCTAATTTCCAACAAACAGCTCGTAGTTTAATAGGCAGATTTATCATTCAGGTTGAGAAACTTTTTTGAATTGTATGCATGAGGGTGCAATATGCACTTGGTTGTGCCTGATAGGCCTACTAAAAACTGAAGCCTTTTGAGGGGACGATAGCACAACTATGATAATGTACCACATTAAAAGCAAACATCCACAAGCAATAAGACTCACAACTATTTAGTCCACATTCTCCAAGAGAAAGTGTGATGCACAGCAGTGTGAGGAAATCTAACGTGGGTGTGCAGTGTTATAGAGAAGGACATGGCGACAAGGCTTTTGAGAGATACTGGGGAATATTGAGCTAAAGCCAGTTATGGCATTTATGTTCATTTTACTTGGGCTAGTGATTAATGGTAAATATATGAGCTTTAGAGCATTTACTAGCCCATCATTGTATGTTCCAGTCATTTTATCCAGTTTTTAGTTTTTGATCATATAACAAACGTATAGTTGTCAGCCCCTCAAATTAAACAAAACCAGGTTCTTACACAGGGCATTTTTAATATGATTTTTGCCATGCATGCATACATGCATACCTGCTTTTGTTTGGCCCCACCTATCAGTACTATATTCCATACAAGGGACCCTTTTTTAATATCTTGGTCCCATTAATACAGAATTCAGTCGACGTGTGCACTCATAAGTGTGTATATCAAGTATTGTACAAATATAGCAGCCAGTCAGATTTTAGAACTCAGAATTATCCCATTTTTGTAATTGTAATTTTGATCAGTGATATCCTTGATTTTGATTGGTCAAATGAATGTCCCAAATTTTGCATCCCTGTTTCTTAGTATTATATGAAATATTTACATTTCTTTCCTTTGTGTAGGTTCTGCTGATGCAGGAGTCTGTGCGCAGAATCATTGAAGCTGAGGAGTCTAGAATGGGTAAGAGAGCATAACTGTTAAGCCTCCACTTTAGGTGATCAGACATTTTTCATTTACATTTACATTTAAAATGATGTTGATTGAGTGCTTTTTCTTATCAGGCCTTATTATACTCAATGCCTGGTATGGGAAGTTTGTGACAGACAACAGTAGGAAGCATGAAAGAGCAAGAGTCATTGATGTAACAGTACCTCTTCAGTGCCTGGTGAAGGACTCCAAACTCATTCTCACAGAGGCCTCGAAGGTAAAGTATATTCATGGCCTCCAAATGTGATTATGACCATTTTTTAATGGGGAATGAATATCTTGTCTGTGTTAATGCCTTAAATTTTTAAGGATTTCACAATAATGATCAAACTGAAGCAGATATGGAAACAGAGACTTAATGGGCTGTCTGTGTATTTGGCATATCCTCAGGCTGGCTTACCAGGCTTCTACGACCCCTGCGTGGGTGAGGAAAAGAGCCTGAAGGTGCTGTATCAGTTCAGAGGCGTCATGCACCAGGTTCTATCTGGTGACACAGAAGCACTCAGGATACCAAAACAATGTATGTATAGTACAGGTATTTTTCTATTAGATATTGTCATTATCCTGTGGTATATTTGATTACTGAAGTTTTGTTTCAATCACAGTGATAATCTAAAGTAATCCAATGTATTTTTCCTTCTGCATTGCAGCTCACAGGATTGATAATGACACTTAGGAACCATTATCGACAGGGCTGGAAGGGACAGCTTGGACTACCATAGAGGACAAGTGGATGTTGTGTGATAGTGACTTGAATATTCCCTGTGGCCTAAAAGTCATTCATATGCATATATCCTTTCTTTTTGTGCAGTTTTAATTGTTATGCAAAAGGGCATAAAGGGCACACATGAATTTGCTTAATAACCCCTTGGAAATCATGACCTGTGTCAAAAACTGAGTTTGAGAAGATTTTGGTACCTTTCATGTAATTCTAGTCTTATTCTTTTTTTTTTAAATGATCCCCTACTCCCTGAAAAAGTGGTCACTGTACTAGCATATGAATGAACTGTATTGGAGGATCTCCCAGGACACAACAGTGCCTCAGTGTTTAGCCCTCGTGTGAGAGAGCTAATTCACTTTACAGACATCAGAGGGTGAGCATGCTGCTGAAACAGTCCACAGAATCACACTAAAAAAGCTCCAGCTCCAAGTATCAATCCTTTATTGATCATATTTCCATTGTTCATATTTAAACACCAGCATGCATTATAAATGAGCACACAGGACTGGGTGGGTACTGAATTACCCTGTACTGAGGTAAAACATTACACCAGGCCCCTCATTTATATGTGTTTGCTTGATTCTAATAAACATTCACCATTCCATTTCATTTGAACCCATTCTCTATTAACCTATTGTTAAAAACACATCATTTATTTTCACTTATAACGCTGCCTTAGGGAACTGTTACATTAAGAGAGCGTAGGTTTGCCGTAATCTGTTTGTTCAATGGTCAAACAAACTAAGTGGTGATCTCATTTTTAATTGTTAAACATTGAAGACATTTTTGTTGTGGTTGGAGAGAATCTGATTTAACATTGTTGGGAATTTTTTAGGGGTGGGCAATATGGCAAATGTATATCACAGTACTTTAAAACATATGCATCACAATATTCAGTTTTCCTGAGGTTTGATAAGGTAGAACAGACCAAAAAGAATAAGTAGTGCCCCATTTTTAAAAATACTATCAAAAACTATTGTGTACAATTGTTTTATTCAGGGTTTCACTTGCACTAAATCCAATTAAACAGGCCTGAATATGATCTCTTTTTAATGAAACATGCAGTAAGTGTTGCTGATAACTGCATGATGCTCTAAAAAGCACATTGTGACAATGTAAAGTAACTTGTCACGATAACAAATGTTGTCATATTGCCTGTGCCTAAAATGTACCCTCTTGATTACCATGCAGTCTTCCACCTTGTTCTTGAAGACTTCAATAAGGATGGCATTGTAAAATAATGATTGTCTTAAGTGTAAGCTCTCAACTTCCCTTTTATTCTCATTATAGAGGCTCAATACCTCCTTGAACTCTCCTTGTTGAAAATTTTAAGTGCCATGATGAAAGTTTTAATAAATTCCCTTCCACTATGGCCATTCTAGAACATGATGCCTTTTTGCAGATGTAGGGAATCATAAAATAGTTGAACGTTGTTGATAAAAGATGAACAGTTTAATCCAAATGCCTTTCATTGAAAGGACTGGTTGTACAGCATCTCTCTGTTTCAGGAAAGTGTCCCCTTTCAGAGCGACTATCATTTGTAAAGTACATTTACTCTACATTTGCCATGGGGGAGCTGGAGATAAAGAAATAAATTTTCAAATTAAATAAAATGCTTTTGAATTGTGTATTTCCATTTACGACCGCAGTGTCTAATTAAGAACTTTCCCCCCTGACTGATAATGTTTGTCATTTCTAGTTCCCACCTAATTGTGTAGGGACAGTTCCAGCCCTTATGATAAAACATCTACATGATTAACTACCATCCAAATGTGGAATGACAAGTTTGATAGGTTGTGCAGACTAAGCATCAAGAGAATCAGTCAGTTAAGAATGCAGCAAAAACAATCATTCCTTATTTCATCCTCAAGAACATTTCTACTACTGTTTGAAACATACCCTGTACCTTGCTGTCTTTAAAATGAAGGGTTGTTCCCATTCCAGTAGATGGTAGATGTCCCTATGATTCTCTGGGCTATGTTTTATCAAAACATTTACAGTCCTTCCTAACAAAGACAGTTTGTAATGTGCATCATTATTACATGTCTTGTCATTTTGCCTTCAACCTCTTTTGCACTTGTTTCATTTTTAAGGTATTGAACTGGTGAACAGTAATTCAGCAAGACACTGCAGTGGCCACTGTGCCCCAAATCCTGCAGAAATTAAACCATGAGAGAATTGAGAATAGTTATTTGGTGTAAGCTTTACACGTTAAATATTTTCTGTTGGTGAGGAACTCCTTGTACATCTGGATGATGTTCAGATGAAGTCTGAAGGCACACTTCTTGGATGTCTTAGAAGATTTCCACTGAGCAAAATAGTAAATAAACAGCCAGGGCTGTATCCGAGTCATTTACTGACACTTCCTTTCTTATCTGGTTTCTTTGGATTTGCCTAATCTCTTGGCCATATGGATCCCGTCTGCTAGTCCGCTCTGCCAGTATACATAAACCCAATCCCAAATGGTGCACACTTTGGTGATGTCAATACCATGCAAGCCTACAGGGCAAGAGACTTTGAGAGTGCTTGGTTTAAATGTTTTAGTCAAGTCCAATGTTTCCCAAGCCTGGTCCTGGAGGCCCACTCCCCTGCACATTTTGTTGTTATTCTTGCTCCTAACACAACGGATCCACCTCATCAGCTCATTAAGACCCCTCATTGAGCTAACGTGGATGTGTTAAAGGGCCCATTTCATGGAAAACCAAAATTTCCTGGCTTTTCTTTTAAGTGATGTAGCATATAAACAGAGCTTTGAAACATGCCATCCACTCCTCAAGCCACACAGTCCATATATGAATGACTAAACTGCAAAACCTGCCTGTTTTGAATTCACTGTTTCTGTGAGAACCAACTAATTTACGTACATTCTCATATTCAGCCTACATGAGGAGTGTTTCGGCCAGGACAGAGAAGAGACTAGTTTAATTTACATACACCAGTGTTAAAGGCACAGTAACCAAAACAGCCCGTTTAATTACATAAAGAGGTATAAAGATGTATGAAAATAGTAATGTAACAATGAATTATGTTTGTGTTTGGTCCACAAACATCATAAATGGATTTCAAGGGACAGAACTTAAACACAAAAAAATGTAGGACATGTGCCCTTTAAAGCAGGCAAAGCATTAAAATGTGCAGGGCAGTGGGCCTGGAGCACCACAGCTGGAAAACTATTTGGACATGCCTTGGATATACACCGATCAGCCTTAACATTAAAGCCACCTCCTTGTTTCTACACTCATTGTCCATTTTATCAGTCCCACTTACCATATAGAAGCACTTTGGAGTTCTACAATTACAGAACGCAGTGCATCTGTTGCTCTGCATACTTTGTTAGCCCTCTTTCACTCTTTTTCAGTGGTCAGGACCCCCACAGAGCAGGTATTATTATGGATGGTGGATCATTCTCAGCACTGCAGTGACAATGACTTGGTGATGTTTTAGTGCATACTGTGCTGGTAAGAGTGGATCAGACACAGCAGTGTCGCTGGAGTTTTTAAACACCTCAGTGTTTAAAAAAATATCCAGCCAACAGAAACCTGTGGGGCGTGCCCTGTGACCACTGATGAAGGACTAGAGGATGACCAACACACTCTGTGCAGCTACTGTCTCTAATTTTACATCTACAAGGTGAACCACCATGGTAGGTGTAATAAAGTGGACAGTAAGTGGACGCAGTGTGTAAAAACTCCAGCAACACTGCTGTGTCTGATTCTTTCATACCAGCACAACACACACTCAGATACCACCACCACGTCAGTGTCACTGAAGCGCTGCAAATGATCCAGTACACAAATAATACTACTTCTGGGTCTTAACCACTGAATAACAGGATGAAAGGGGGCTAACAAAGTATGCAGAACAACAGATCTACAGGCTACAGACTGTAACTGTAGAACTACAAAGTGCTCCTTTATGGTAAGTGAAGCTGATATAATGGACATGAAGTGGTTTAATGTTATGGCTGATCAGTTACTGTTATCCAATCATAGCCTCTGACAGCTTCCTGAAAAGCAGTCTGAAGGAAACAGGAGATTAGAGGTTAGTCATAGCTGGGTAGCACACGTTTAATGGATTTGAGCATTTCAGAGTATGTTATATTTATGATCAAGTGCATGTTAGTACTTCACATTTAATCCTTAATTCTTTTACTTTCGGACAACAAAGAGACAAATGGTGGCTTACGAAATCTAGTTACACCATAATGGAATAGATGTTAATACTTAACTGCTGGAAGTAACTAGTAAGTAGCAACTTTTAGGCATCTTTGTTCAGAACAAGGTGCTGGTATCTGTGTCTCAAAATGCGCTTACAACGCGGACATTTCTCTATTATTTTCTTTTCTTTACTATTTAATCATTTTTAAATGTGCTTATTGCTGTTGTGGTCGGTTTTTGGTTTCAGCCAGAACCGTTACTATCCACCTGCATCACTACGCGGTGAAGTAGGCACTAGGCATCTCTGGCTAGTTTCCCGTCAATACATTTCAAAATAAAAGCCTCATACAAGCAAGCCATTTGTGCATCTGAAAGCAATTTAATTCAAATTCACAAATTCACTTTATGCGTTTATTGCACAACGGGAGCTTTCACTGAATAATCCAATAGTTTTACTATTTCTGTGAAATACATGCTTCTAAAGTAAGATATGGAGCAGAAAATGACCTTCCATCGTTTCCATAGACAGGGCATAGAAGTGCAAAACATCAAACTATCAGGTTATTGCGTAGATATGAATTCATATGAATTCATATATTCTCAAAAAAAGGGTTGTATAGAATTTTTTACGTCTTAACATGACAGCTGTCACCCTGGTTATAAATGGTCAGAAATCTGAAAAAAAAAGGATTAATGCATTTATACAATATACATTTAAGAACAAAACATTACTTCAAAAGTATTATAAAACAATGTCTCGTCCCAGGAGCTTTAAGAGCTGCAAAATACTTCAAATGTCTGTTTCCCATTCCTACCGCTGTGAACAATTATGATTTGGCAAATTTCTCTAGAACTGAGCATTTCACATCAGAATGACTTTGCTTACATATCAACTATTTAATTTTACAGATGTTTTAAATGGAAATTCACTCTAAACAGGTGAACCCTGAGTGAAACGCAACAGGGAATGGATGAAAGGCAGGAGCTTTTATTTTGAAAGAAAAAATGGGAAGTGCACTGCGCTCTGTTGGTAGCACCAAACATATCTTTGTGATCACCTTTAATGGAAGAAAAACGTGTCATGAGCACAAATTTCACCGTTTATCTTAACGTGACTTCTGAACTGTGTTGTTATAACCGCCCTTAGTGCTTCACTGAGTGATGCTGAATTGGTATGCATAATAATGGGCGGGTCCCCGTTGCCGCGTGTGACGTCACCAAGGCTGCTGTGTGTAGTGCTGGCTGAAGAGAGAGAAAAAAGCGAGTAAAGAGGGGGATGGGGAGAGAGTTGTTTTGTGTTGCATTCCTGCAGTGTGAGCTTGACCTTTGACCTCGTTGTTGTGTCCTCTTCTCCTTGCGTTCCTAAGCGAGGGTGGATTTTTTTATGATTATTGTCCTGCAGTAATGCCCGACGCGCTGCTCTGTGCTGCTCGGTTTGCGCCCTGTGCGTGTTTACTGGTTAGCTGCGGGGGAAGCGTACAAAAGACTGGCGCTGTTTAAGGCGGCAGCTAGCAGCAACAGAGCCATTTAAGGGGGTTCAGTTTCGTTTTTTTGGCACGGAACGATTCCTTAACGTTTAAACGAGCCTCGCGGTGGGAGAATAACGTAGGTTTTCCATCTGAGCGAAGGCGGACATACGGAGAGAGAGAGGGAGACTACTGGTACTGCAACAAGCTCGCTTAGCCTGCCGTGCTAGCTCACACGTTTTCATATCCGCCGACTCGACTCGGGCAAGGCTGCAGCGAGCAAGCAGACGCATCGGCAAGACCAAGACCGAGGAAATGAAGGACAAACAGAAGAGAAAGAAGGAGCGCACGTGGGCAGAGGCCGCCCGTATGGTAAGCTAAACCATATTCGTACATTATTGTGGTAGAAAATATAATATTTGTGGTTTATCTCGGCACGGAGGAGCGGACAAAGCTTCTGCGGCGGACGCTCGGGCTGTTCCCGCAGAGGGAGTGCTCGCACGCCGCATCGTATTATAACCCACAGCCCTTGGCATATTAACGGCTTTTTTAATAAAAACAAAAGCCACGCGGTTAAAATAAGCTTATGTAGCTCTCTTTTGGCCTGCACGTGAATGAAATGACACAACTTGTAGCTTAGCAGCGTTAGCACTGCTAGTCGTTTGACCCTTTGTTTGCAAGACTAGTAAATAGCTAGCTTGCTAATGCTAAACAACGTATACAGCTAGTAACAATATGTAGCCATTGGTTGCACCAAAGCTCATTAAAAAAACGAAAATCGACAGTTTCAACCGTAAAATGTGTCATTTGCTGCAGGCCGTTTATTTCCACATGCTAAGGTGCTACGCAGTATGTCTTTCTTAGCTTCAGCTTAACGCAGTGTGCAGGAGGGAAATAAGACGTTGCACAGTCCGTACATGTGTGAAAAATGCGTGTCGTCAGCTTCAAGCACGTAGATTTGTGGTTCTTTCGTATCAAGGAAATTTACTTCACTGCAAAGGCTGAAAGAGATTAACTGTGCTGTTGCAGCAGATGCCCCCTCACACATTTTGTTTTATTTAAATGAGCGTGGAAAGCCTTTTTCTACTGGCACATTACCTAAACATGCATACACTGAATTCTACAAATTAAATGCACATTAGATGTGCAGTGTTGTTCATAGGTCTCAGATTGATTTAGAGGAAATCCTGTTATGTCTGTTACTCTGCTCATCTGTCAGCAAAGCTAAGCTTTTTTTGGAGCAATGGCCTAAATTTCCATTCAAATAATTCTTAGTCAAAGCCGCAGGACTGCAGCTGACAAAACAGCAGCTACATGCAATAACTTGCATTACTGTTGCAGGTTAAAAGAGACCTAATGACATCAGGATCTGGAGGAGACGTGCTTCCTGTTTCAGAAGCTTTCCAAATATTGGGTGGCAGAAATCTTTTAGCTAGGTCACTGAAGATTGGAGGATTTTTTTAACCTTTGTTAGACTGTTTAACCTCTCTTGATCTTGCTCTGGTTTGTTAGAAATAGATTTATTTCAACTTTCAATTTGAATCGCTTTAACCCTGTTTACTAGCCCTTCGCTGAGAACTTTTTCTTTTTCACATCGTTATGTTTAGCCTCTGTATCTTCCCGAGCAGTGAGGTACAATCCCTCCAGAATGTCAGAAATGACTGAACTCCGTTGCAGTTGGTTTTGTAGCATGAGCTGACTTAAGTCTGAAATCTAAAGCCACATCGTGTCGGCACAGCTGGTGTTATCTTGTGGCGTTTGCTGCTGCGGCTCTAGGGTTACCGTTTAGGGTGGGGTGCAGCACTAGTGTTTGACTGCTTCCCCACATTTTGTCCCTGTTGAGAATCTTTAGGTTTCGTTAGTAGAATGGGCCATAAAGGAAAGCGTAAGTGCTGGTGACCAGTAAACTTTTAAAAATAAAAGTGCCAAAAAGGGTATATTTGGAGCAGCGCTTTAAGAGAACCACTTCTCATCATTGAGTGGATGGATCTTTGTAGAACTGTTATGGAAATTAAATGTGTGCTTTAAGAACCTTTTTAACATTTACAGAACTTCACATGATGTGAAAGTTCTTTATCTGTTAAAGGGTTTTTATTCTGGAACAGTACATCAGTCAAGAACAGTTTAGTAACCTTTTAATTTTAAAACTGTAGTCTTACTTCATAGCTTTACCTTTTTTCAACAAATACATTTGATTGGAATGCTATCATGTAGGAGGAGTTCAACACTGAGGGCAAACAGTACAAGAAAACCTCTTAAAGAGCTGGCGTGTTATGTGCTGTAGTGATTCAGGTGGCAGGTATCAGCTGGTTTGTGAGGCACCAGAAAATGATCCCACCCAGCAGAAAATCCAACACTCTAAAGCGGATGCAGGGTTAGTACACTGTCTCTTCCTTTCACGTGTAGGAAATGAGGAGAATAAAGCGTGCAAAACTACAGGTTCACATTTTAGTTCAAACAGTACACACATCTACTCAGCGTGTAAAGCAGTGTAGCTGTAGTGCTCGGCTAAACTCAAAAACATTTATAGACGTCACACATCATGTTCATAAAAAGCACTGGCATAATAAAATGGCTCAAGATCAGGTATAAACGCCTTATATCTGTTTATCATCTAAAATCACAGTTTTATTTTCCTGTTTGATAAGATACAGGTGCTTTTTAATTCCTCTGTTACTCCACTGGTACCTGCTGCTATGGCCAGACTTCACATTCACCTGATCAGTCATATGGCTTCATTCTGTTGTGTGTGTGTATGTGTGTGTGTATATATATATATATATATATATATTTTATTTATTTATTTATTTATTTATTTATAAATAATTTTTTTTGGCAGATACATTTCCATAGTAATTTTGTCACTTTTTTGCAGCACAATCTTATCCACTTTTAGTGATCGTAATCTTGTTTGATACATGCAGTTCCCATCAAGTCATTTTTATACGATGTGTTAAAACACACCTAAAAGTAAGTGGCTGGAAATCCAGCTATAGATACAGTTTCTAATGGCTGTTTGAATTCAGTCAACAATGCAATAAGCAGGGCTCTGCAGTGACAGTTTGGAGAACCAGATCTAGCCTGGTCAAACCATACACATGTTTTTAATCAAACACTGTTGGCAGTGGAGCACGTTGTCTACCCGTTGTGGTGTTTCTGTAATGTAAAGTTGTATGACTGGCTTGTATGTGTATATATGTACTGCCTAGTAGTGGCACACTTCACAATACTCCACAATCTCATGATAGTAGTAGACCCAGTCTTTGTCATTTAGAAAACCTACAATGCTTTTTCCTTTTATTGCTTTATCAAAGAACATTTTGTCCTCATTAGTGCAGATGCGGGGTGTGTGTTTGTCGTCGCATGGCAGGATCTGGGTGGGGCACCCCCCCCCCCCTTAACCACTGCTAAAATTCATTCCGTGGAAAGGGACTGCATGTTTGTAATGACAAACAGCACTTCAGAGGCATAGAGGCATTACAACCACTTCACGAAACGGAGGCATGCTGTTCAGACTCCTCCAGAAGGTTTAGGCCTTTGTTCTCAGCCTGAAAATTTGGCAGATTTACTGTGATTGTTACACTTTTCCTTTTTGGTTTGATGTCTCATGACTGAGCATTGTTCAATATCACAAACAGTCCCAAATATTTTTGTTTGTATGACCTAGATATTCTTTACTTCTGCCTGGGTCCTCTGATTCTTCATTTTGACATTTGCTTTTACCTTGTACAGCAGCCACAGAATGGCAAAAATGCTTTAAAAACAGCCCGAAACAAAAATGACCTCCATGTGAGATTCATTGTTAGCCTGTTTTAAATCCTTGTCTCTTATTTGGTGCATAATGTCTGTTCATTCATCTGTTGCAACTTAGACTTAATAATAACACATTTTACTAATGCATTTCAGTGTGTTAAGTTGTTAGTGTATAATAAACGTGCTGGGGTCTTTTTCCTGAGTGAATGAACTGTGATTTTGTGTAGTTTGCAGGCTGATACCAAGAATTGCAACATTTCCTTCTTCTTTGTTGTGTTTTCAGCTTTTTTGGGGTTTCATGTTTTTTCCTGTAGTTTTTGTTGCTGACATACCATGTAAGTGTGTCTATGGGTCTTTATGCTGCGCAACATTGCTTTCCATTCCATTTCCTGTAACAGTGCCTTTGGTTTCAAATTCAGTGTAGCACACTGAATAGTTGCTTTTCCCATTATAATTATGAAGCAGGAAATTGGACAAGTATATTAGGTCTGTCACTGTTGATTATTTTTAGTAATCTAGTAAATATGTTGTAAAATTAATCAAATTATCACATGCACACAATTTATAATAGAAAACATTTCATTTTACTTAATGTGCATAAAATTCATAACTACAAATGTAGGCATTGTTGTGAGATCCTGCTGGTGTGGGTTTCCTCTTTTTTTGTGATACACAAAGTGATTTGAGTAAAAATAGTTCCCAGTTTTGGAGAATGTTCAGAATGCTGAACATGGCCTTATAATGACTGTGAGAATGTAAGAATTGTAAGAATTTTAATTGTTTTGTTTTTTTTAAGTTGTGTTAAATTAAATATCTCATAACTAGCAGTTTCAGGCAGGTAAATGCAGTTAGCCAAATGATTAGACAGAGACAAAATTTGGCCATGAATGTATAGACAGTATGCGTAATACCATACTTTCATATTGTCAGACTAGTATGTGTGACATTCATCTGCTTAGCAGTGGATGTGTTGGTTTTTGCCTTAGATTAACAGCCAGGAAAAAGTGTGCATGCATGTAATAACAAAGAAAAGAACAAATATGCAACTCCTAGTTTTAGTTCAGCGTGAGTGCCGAATACACAGCTGAATGTGAGACAGCTATTAGAGGAATAGCATGTTGCCAGTTGCTACTGCCAACAAGAACCAGGTCTCGATTTAGAGCTGACGTATGTGGTTAGGGTAAGCGTGTTCTGCAGTGTGAGCCTATGTATATTCTGCCAGTGAAGTGTGCTTCTCCTTTTCCTGTCTCCTTCCCTCCGTAAAGGTTCTTGAAAACTTCTCTGATGCCCCCATGACACCTAAACAGATCCTTCACGTCATCCAGACGAAGGGACTCAAAGAAATGAGGTTTGTTCTTAATGTGCAACTTAGTACAGACAAATGTTCCCAGATATTTATAGACCTGCATTATGTTATCTGTGTTCTACTTTCATAATAAATAGATTGACTGACTCTTTCCTTTTCTACTCTCTCTTCACTTTTTGTTTGCATCACCTACCACCGTCTGTGGAAATAGAAGGTAAGGTACTGTGAATTATGGAAGTTTTTAAAGGGAATACTCCTGTGGTTTCCATCCTAATCTCTGCCATAGGCATGTGCTGAGGCAACTGCCCATTTGCTTCTATTATAAGGGTGTTTTTTGGGTCAACGGGTTTTTGCTTCTTTTCTAAGCACATAATTGTCCATGGTCATCGACTGTGGCCTACTGATGCAGTAGAGATGGAGATTAGGGTGAAAAAGACTTGAGTATTTCATGGACTAAATTGTTTTACTGTCATCACCTGCTTCTGCGTTAACTCGTTTCGCTATGCTGTTATATATATCAAAACTGACTTTTCTCTCTATCACACAGTGGCACTGCCCCGCTGGCCTGCCTGGTCACCATGCTCCACTCCCAGGTGAGAGGAGACAGAGTTAAGAACAGCATCTTCTTCAAGCTGCCAGGAAGGATGAGCCTCTTCACCCTAAAGGTAGAAAAGATGCACTCGCTCTCCCTCCCACGTACCTTCACTCGCTCAGTTCTCTGTAGGGCTGTACAGTGTGAACAAAATATTAATATTGCACTTATGTTACAGTACCTTGCAGTACATTAATGTAATTCTCTGATGCGGTGGTTGCAAACCAAAAAAAAAAAAAACAGAGGGCCGTAAGCTAGGTGATCTTCTCCAAGGGTAGCTGATTGAGAAAATGCATGGAAAGTGTCCCATGTGTATTTTAGCTTCATAAAGTTGATCATCTAACATTTTACCAGGAGTTGTTATATGGATATATATGGATATATATAAATATGGGGGAGAAGTCTCTTTTTCCCCAAGCATGAATTTTAACTGCATAATGTGTAGACTCATTTAAGCATTTCTTGGTCAATGTTCATTGTTAATTCTCCTGTCACATATAGTGTGTGTGTGTGTGTGTGTGTGTGTGTGTGTGCTTGTGCGTGTGCGTGCTTGTGCGGATTGCATGAATGCCTTCAGCAGAACATGCACAGAAAGACTTCTCTTGAGCTATAATTGGTTAGGAGCTCACATCACACATTTAAAAACATTGTGGTTGGTTAGATGGATGAGCACATTGCAGCATTCTGTCATATTAGTACTGCGAAGGCCAGTATGCCAAGAACGTTTAACAAACAATATATTGTCGTAGTGTTATCAGTTATGAAGTTGTTGTATTGTATTAGTCTTGTACATACCAGCTGTTGGTACTCTGTTCTTGCTCATCTCTGCTATCTCTTACACCCAGAAAAATGCCCTCCAGTGGACAAAGAACCCAACAGCATCTGAGACCAGTGACCCAACTGGTGCATCCACAGCTTCAACCACAGGCTCAGTCGGGGCAGCTGAGGGGGTGGAGCAGGAGAGTTGTGACTCCACAGAGACCGCCGCTGCTAGTGGTGAGAATGATGGTGTGTAAAACTCTGCTGATTGGTTCATTTGTCCTTATTCAGTGTAAGCCTTTTTTTCTTCTTTTTTCCCCACCATTGCTTCATTTAGCCACTTGAGCTGTGGCTGAATAGGTAATGGGTGCTTATGAAACCCAAATGAAAAACACAAATCCTTCCATACAAAAAGTCTCGAAATACAATGCATTAAAACGATCAAAATGATGATTAACATCAGGTGCTTTTAGCTTTGAGAACAGAGGGTGCTGGGGAAACATTGATTTTTATTTATTTAATTTATTTTTTTTTATTTATTTCTGAGGATGTGTGGGTTGCCATGGATACTGCAGCAGCACATGACACCCAGCAGTGACCTAGATGAGAGTGGTTTAGAACATGTGTATTTAGTTGTGAGAAAGAGGAGGAGAGACTGCTCTCTAAAGGGGACATTTGGAGCTGAATTACAGAAATGACTTGCATGTAACTTAGAGGGACAAAATGTAATTTAAAAACATGTACCCAAATCTGAGCATTAACTATTAGACTTGGCGCTATTAACTGTTCTAGTTATGTATTTGCAAGTTTTTGTTTTCATATCTGTCTGAATGATGTTGCTGTGGTATGATTTATCACAGTGCCACATGCTCTGATCTTCCTGCTTCCTGGTCTGTGAGCATTTGTTGTGCACAGTATCTATCATTTTGCTGTAAGGTGTTGACTGAGGTGGTGATTTAATTTTTTTATTGGCTTGTTTTATTGTTGAATGAAGTGGCAGTATAGCATTTTTTTAAGGGACACAGATATTGCTATATATATTGCAAGCAGTGAGCTACTCTGATAAGTAGTGATGCACCAAAATGAAAATCCTTGACTGAAACCAAAATTCAGGATGTGGGGACCGAAAGCTGAAACCGAGAAAAGCTGAAAAAAAAAAAAACTGAACTTTACTTAAAATAACAAATTGTTACAGTATGTAGACTATAGCATGTGCCATGAAATCCAGCATCCTCAGCAACCGAGAACAGTTGGTCGTTCAAGACAGTAAATTTTAATTATTTATGTGCATATACCTCACACTCTGTCAGTGTCATTTGTTCGGGTTTTGTTTTGTTGGGTAATTTCAAGAACTGGCTACAGATGGCATTGTCGTGCTCTCAGGGACTTTCCTTTCTGCTTTGGTTGTTTTTCTGTTTTCTGCATATTGAGTGGGATGTTGTTTTCAAGTAATATGAAATCTGTTTGAGAACTTCTTGGGCACTGTATCCTATCTTGATTCTCAGAATGAACAGTGATTTTACAAACTGCTTGTCTAATGTTCTTTGTAGCAACAGTATATTAGTGCCACATGGTTGACATAATCATGGTTGATGTGCTACCACTCAAACTGTTTGAATGCATCTGGGCTGACCAGTACAGGAGAGTGAAGGAATTTTCATGAAAATGATTTAAGGTTGTAGATTCTGATGCTTTGTGTTTAGGCTTTGTTTAATCTTCGTTTCTTTTTTTTCTTGTCAACATTTTTGCCCTTTTTATCCCCTCTTTTGGCCAAAAACAGAAAGTGCCATTTTCGGTGGCCAAAATTTAGATGCATTCCTACTTTTAAGGTGATATTTGGTTGATTAATTTAGAACTGAAACAAAAAGCTCTTTTTGCTGGTTTTGCTTCATGTTTTAGCCTCCGTGGACGAGACTTCCTCCAGTGCCTCCTGCTCCACAGAGCCACAGACACGACTGAGTCGATCCTCACAGGTACTTCCAGTGCCTTATGTCATGTGATACTTTCATTACCAGGTATGCCTTATTCAGGAGGACATATACAGGATATTCATGCCTCCCATCACTTTCACCAAAGAGAAACCTTTTTCACAATTGAAGCTTTTCAAAAACATTCCAGCAGCGACTAAACACAGATTTCACCTAGATTTGATTTCCATCCATGCAGTCACAAAGGTTGGTGTCTATTATTGATCTGTTAAAATGCTCCTATGAATGTGTGTCGATGCGTTGACCAGTAGAATAGAGTAAGAGTAATACCATTTTGACTTGTGCTTGTGATTTGGTTAAAATTACCTGTAATGCTAATTGGTTTTTCTCCTGTAATTTCTGTTGAACGAATTTTGTTGAGACTATCTGATAGCTTATTATAGATCATATTATAGATGAATAGTATTGGTAGATATTTTGGACATTTGAGTCCAGAAACGTCCTTCAAGTATTCGTAGCTTTTGCCAACCATCAAAATCGTTTTCATAAATATCTCAAAGACTGTTCATTTAAGGACTAAATATTTTTTGTTTGTCTTTTTTTGTAAATATGTGTTTGTTTTTGTCACTCTTGCAGTCAGGGAGACAAAGGAAGAAAGCTGTGATGATGCCTCGTGTGGTTCTTACTCCACTCAAGGTCAACGGCGAACACGTACCATCAGGTTACTGGTTTTTCTTTGCCCTTCCCTCCCTTCTTTCTTCCTCCTTTTCCTCCCATCTTTTTCCACTCTGCAGTGGTTTGTTTGCCCACTCCCCCTGACTGTGGATGCTCTATATCTGAGTGGTCTGACAGTGTTCGTAATTTTACGCACCAACACTCTTTAATCATTTATACTGCAGTCTTCTCAAGAGCAGTTTCCCCACAGTTCTGTCCTGTTGGCAGCCTCTTTTATGTCTGTTGGTTAACACTAAAAACAGCATCTCCTCAGAAGGCACTGACTATTTGTAGCTTGCTCCCTACGTAAAAACCAGTGTTTCTGGTCATCAGCCCTGCTCTCTGTCCCCTGGATATCTGAACCCTCTGCTTTGCGTTTGCACCTTCACTCCAGATATCCACTCACCCTTCTTGCTCTCTATCTCCATGCCTGGGACATCTGTCCTTGTGGCTTTGTGTGTGCGCACTAGCCAGCACTTTTTTGCCTGCTGCTCCAGCCTCTCTGGTCACTGGCCTCTCTGCCTGTGCTGCCCCTCCCACACTCACTCATTCTCAGAGTCTCACCAGCCTCCCTCCTCCCCTCCACCTGTCCCCTCAGGAGCTGCGGGGAGGCGCAGGGAAGGGTCTAGGGGGGGTCCAGGCCCGACACTTCGAGCCCGCTCCGAGCTGGGCTGGAAACGCCCCCAGCACTTCAAGAGCATGCGTGGCCTTCGCTCAGGTACAGAGGAGGAGACCCAGGGATCCATTTATTGGTCATTGCTGCTTTCATCTTAATCAGGAGTCATCTTAATCTACTACTTTTCTGTCCCATCCATGTAAATCAGAGTTGTCCAGTCTGCAAAGTGCCAGTGTGGTTGCAGGCTTTCTTTTCAAAGAAACAAGTGCACAGCTGATTCAGGCAGTTGGTCTCAGTCTTCAAACAACTGATCATGCGTGCTTCTGCTTGGTTGGAATGAAAATGTGCAGCCACACAGACCCTTTGTGGATATGACTGGACACCTTTGATGTAAACTATTCAGCCCCACTTTCCAGGTTTTCCATGGGGTGAAATTTATAGGTTGATAAAAAATGAAGCTAGAGTTTGCGTCACTGAACAGGGGTATGCTTTTATATATATCTTTTCCTTATAACAATTTGACAGGTAGCAGTTACAATGGGAAATTGTCATTTTTTTCATTTTTTCCCCCCATTTCCTTTGGATTTACTGTTTCTGAGGTGTGTGTGGACAGATTGCAATGTTAGTAAATGCAGATTCTTCTGCCTATTGATGTTTGTGCTTGTCTGCTATGTTTGGTGCTAATTAAATCCATTTATGTTGGCTGTGTATTGAATGCAGGGCATGTACTGGCTGCTTTATCATTTTGCAGTGTTGGACCTTCACGCTGCTGTATTTTGTTCTGATGATGAAATGTTTCTGTAGTTAGACAATATAGCTCTAAATGTAACCTCAATGTAAGCACTGAAATATCCTAAGTTTATTGAAGATCTTGATTCATTGCCTGTTTTGAGTCTTGTTGAATGGGATATTAGCACCCATTAATCTTGACACACATTTATGAAGAATCCAGATCTGCTGAATATTTTCTGTAACACTGTGGCTATATGATGTGAAAACTATCAGAAAGAAAGCACTTGGCCTTAAGCATTAAAATGGTGCCTGCTGTTCCTCTCCGCAGTGTCCCCTTGTTAAAACAATGCCATGTTTTGTCATTGTGAAATATTTGCTTTTTCAGTTATCCTCATTGTTTTGTGCATGTATACTAATCCCAAGTTTGAATTTTCAGGGCCCATGAAGAGGAATCGAGGTGGTGTGGAAGTAGACTTTGAAACCCCGGGTTCAATCTTGGTCAACACCAACATCCGTGCGCTAATCAACATGCGCACATTTGCAGCGTTCCCTCCTCACTCCCAGCAGCAGCTCCTCCAGCTTCTCCCAGAGGTGGACAGACAGGTGTGTGGTTAATGCTCTGACTGCCCCTCTCTGCAGTGTCTTACTTATTTCTGACATTGGTGAAATAGTGCTGTGTTAGTGAAAGACTTTTTTGTGTCCCCTTCTTCTTGATCAGGTTGGTCCTGATGGTATGGCTCGACTCAGTAGTTCAGCACTGAATAACGAGTTCTTCACACATGCCTCTCAGAGCTGGAAAGAAAGACTCGCTGAAGGTGAGGATCACCTTGAAACAAGAACATGGTTCCTTTTTTAGATTTACTTCTAGAGGCTTGCATGAACTGTTACATATTTACATACTCAAACAATAGTTGTGGAAGACAAATACTTACAATGCCCAGATTGTATTTCTGAGCACTTTTAGTAATGCATTCACTAATCATGTCAGAAGCTAGAAGTAATATGGGTATGTTGCTTCTTTTTCGAAGGTGAGTTCACACATGAGATGCAGGTTCGCTTTAGACAAGAGATGGAGAAAGAAAAGAAAGTGGAGGCATGGAAGGAGAAGTTCTTTGAAGAGTACCATGGCCAAAAGTAAGTTTAAATGACATATTTTTAGCATATTCTTATGCTGAAAATGTATCATGACTTGTTCTAAAATGCTTTGCTATTGTTTTCTTGTAGATCTGGCTTGACCCGTGAGGAGGCATTGAAGCTCACAATGAGTGATGCAGGAGATGTTGCTGAAGCCGTCCTGGGTGCTGACACTGCTGCTGTGGCAACACCGAAGAGGAGAGGTGTTGGAAGGAGACGGCGGGAGGGACGTATCAGAAGACGTTCCCGTGCTGACCTTAGACGCAGGGCTCGGCGTCCACTTGGCAAGACTGCTCCCGCGGCAGTGGTTGAAGCAGAACAGGCGGAAGACCAAGCTGCTTCAGATTTGACAGCCACAGCTGCGTCACCTGTCCCAGAGACAGCCGCGGTCCAAGGAGAGATTGTCCTTCCAGCAGATTCAGAACCAGAAGCCACTGCAGAAACCATTTGTCCAGAGGCAGCCCCTTCCCCTGTCCCTGCATCCACTCCAGCTCCCACTTCTACAAGCTCAACCTGCGACGAACCCGAAGCTTCCACCCGCCTGCTACCTGAAGTTGTCGAGCCAGCCGTTGCCTCAACCTCCTCTCCTTCTTCATCCTCTTCCTCAACATCTTCCTCGTCTTCTCCTTCCTCCTCTCCCTCCTCCACCTCTGATCGGCAGGGTGCCTTTGCTACCAGCTCCGACTCATCGTCATCCTCCTCCTCCTCCTCCTCCTCCTCAACTGTTGCTGTTGCCACCGACCCGCTTGATGATGGAGCCTCAGTCATCACCACTGGCACAGCAGGCACTGGTGCCAGTAGCAGGGAGAGCAGCCCAGCGGCAAGTCCTGCTACAGCCAGCCCCGCCATTCAGCTCAAGGATCAGAAGAGGAGACCCGACGAGTCCCAGGCCTACACCAGCTTCCCCGAGAAAAGGGCGCGGCTGGATGAGCGTCAGTCCTTTCGTAACACAGTTGACTGTGTGCACTCAGAAAAGCCACAGCCGACAACAGAGGAGCCCAAGGTCCCGCCAATCCGGGTATGATAGATTTGTTTGTAATTTCTTTAATGTTTGCCAGTTTTGGCAAAGATCTTTTGATTCCAGGGGAGTTTGTCAGTTGTATCAGCAGTAATAATATGGGGAATGTGTGTATCTTTTACACTGTTTTGACCTTATAGTTATCATTCTTTTGATTGAGGGTAGACTTTTTTGATTGCTTTTCTAAAGTGACATTATTTTTTCCTGTTCTTCTTTGTCTTTCTTCTTTTTTCTCTCTTTTTCCCCCCCTTCTTCTTTCCCCTTCTTCTTTCACTTTTTTCCTAGATTCAGCTCTCCCGGATCAAACCGCCCTGGGTCAAAGGGCCACCAACGTACCAAATCTGTCCTCGCATCGTGCCCCCCAACGAGGGGTCGCGGCGCAGTGGGACGGGGGCGCGCACCCTGGCGGACATCAAGGCCCGTGCCCAGCAAGCCCGTGCACAGCGGGAAGCCGCTGCTGCTGTTGCAGCCACTGGGGACGGGGCAGGGCCTGGGGGGGGCGGCCCGGGGGGTGGTACTGGGATACCGGATCGCTCCAGCGGGAGGCGTTCGAGAGAGCACCCGGGTCCCGTTGAACCTGGAGGAGGAGGAGGAGGAGGAGGAGGAAGACGAGGAGGAGGAGGAGGAGCAGCAGCAAGAGTTGATGTGGAGGAACAGGAATCGCCTGCGAGCTCTCATTCGTCTGGAGCACAACTACAGCTATCCAATATAGAAACTACAGAGAAGACCCAAGCTTCTACCCCACAAACAGTACCATCTCCATCCTCTGTATCCTCCAACCCGTCAGTGCTGCCATCTGAGTCACCTAAAACCCCCACACTCTCGCCACCTGAGACAGACAGTCCGGCCTCCCAGGACCAGGTGGAAGAAATCTGTGGCGTGGAGGAGGTGGCTACCTGCTCCAGTGATAAAGCCTCTGAACAGACCTTAGACACTCCAGTGCCTACCCCAAGTGAACCAGAGTCTGTAAGCAGTCACCAAGAGGCCAGGGGTGAAGAAGCAGATTCTAGTGACAGCAGAACAGTGACTCCCAGTTATACACCAGTGCCCAGTGAAGCAGTAAATTTGGTTCCCACGTCCATACCTGACTCACTACCTAGGTTTGGTGCTCAGGGTGTGGATGTTAACAGAACCTTAGCAGTGTCATCTCAATCTTGGGAAGGTAACCAGAATCAGAGTGAACATCGTTCTGGCGCTACTGGTGTCATCCAGCATGGCTCCGATGTTAAAGGCTCCAAAGAGACTCAGGTTACAGTCCGAAATGGTTTTGTAGAGGGTTCGGACGAACGCGCAGTTAGAGAGAGAATATTGCAGGAGCATAAAAATGGAGAGGTTGAAGCTGATGGTAAATATGGAACAAGCTATGAAACATCTCTCCCTTGTCTACCAGATACGACTAGAGAGGACGATAATGGGATGCACAGTGACTCCACAGAGACAGCGTCAGACTTTGAGAATGAAACTCAAGAGGATGACCCAGTGGACTGGCATAGAACAATGGACCATAATGGAATGCAGGCTCAGAATACAAAGTCCCAGAATCAGCCTGTCATTCATACACAAAGTCGAATTACCTCATGCTCTTTGAGCCCTCCCCAGCACCAGCAGCCAGTTATTCAGGCCCATGTCTCTAACCCTTCCCACAGTCAAACTGTCATTCAGGCTCGTTTCCCCAATGGCATGCCAAACCAGCCAGTAATTCAGCCCCAAAAGCAACACACAATCCGCCATGCTCCAGAGCAAAATTCCGGTGCTCTTACCCAGGCCCATGTGCAATCATACCTCACACAGGGAGAGAGAGACCAAAGCAGAGCCCAAAATCTGAATGAGAACAGCAACGGTGGCAAGCCATTTATCCCAGCAGAGGATGATTCTAAACCATTCAGCAGAGGGCCTGCAGATGATGCTGGGTTAAAAAACTCTGCTGCAGTTCATACTGTCAAGAGAATTCAGAGTTCTGTTCGGCCTGTGTCATCTGTAGAGGCTAACAACCCTCTGGTTACCCAACTTCTTCAAGGCAGCCTGCCTTTGGAGAAAGTCTTACCCCAGCCACACTCAGTAAGTAAGCTGGAGATAAATCGTCTCCCAGGGGCACCGTCAGGCCTGCCGCCTAGCCGACAGCCTGGAGGACATCTCAGGAACCTGGCTCCCCGGTTCAGAGGACCAGCTGAGACAGGAGGCCCTACGGAACCTGTTGGTCCAGAGTTTCAACACAAAGCCCCTTCTGCTAGGGTGTCCCCAGGGCCTGGTCGGACGTATGGTCCCTCACCACCCGGCACTGCACAATCTCGATTGGCTTGCTTGTTTGAGGAGGCCAGCTCCCGTGGCACAGTTGTTCAGCAGTTCGTTCCCCAGCAACCAGGAGGCACTGCACCTCCTGGTGCGGTACCGGTCATTACCTCGCTGCCCTCCACCTCCTCTTCATCTAGGCATCCAATGGACATGAACTCTCAGAGTGCTCCTGGAGCACTGGAATCGGCTGTTATCAAAGAGCACTCCACAGCTCAGCCTTCACGGGCTGTAACTCCAGAAAGGCCAGCTGGTTTTCAGCAGCACTCTAATAATCTGCCCCAGCCCATGTGCAGAACCACACCTGATGCTCCTTCTCCTCCACATGGTGACCTTTGTCCATCTGAAGTTGTACCTACTGTTAAGATCAGCTGGCGTCCATCTAAACCCCAACAACCCCAACCTCAGTCCTATCAGCAACAGCAGCAGCTGTCTCATGCAGCTACTGTGAAGAACGAGGTCTCTACACGCCCCTCCTGCCAGCAAGCTCTCACCAAAAATTCACAGGCTCCAATCAGTGGCAATGGCTCTGTTGTTGTAGTAACCAAAAAAGAGCCTCAGAGCTCCATGGACAGTTATGTGAGTGGTGGAGGGAGTGGGGGAGCAATGGAAGGACTGCTTAACATGGAAATGTCTCTTGCAAGAATGGCGAAAAAAGAGCAAGGCAAAAATCCTTACGCTCGCCAGACAGACTCCTCAGCCTCTCCAGTCTCCTCCTCCTCTTCCTCTCCTTCCTCTACCTCTGCCTCGTCTCTCCCATACCATCTGTATGGAAAGCTTCCTAAGCTGCAGCAGAGTGGAGGTATACTGAGTGGAAGCACTGGAGGGTCCTCATCTGGCTTCAGCTACACAGCTAATGTGTCTGTGGTGGACAGTAGTGGCTTCTCCCGCAGCATAGCAGATAGCGTGCTGCAGCTACGGCCACGTGTTGGCGTCGGGGGCGCTGGAGGCCAGGGCACTACGCTTAGCATCCAGGCATTTGCTGACACTGCTGCAGAGGAAGTGGCCCTTAAGTGTTCCTGCCGTCTCAAGGCCATGATCATGTGCCAGGGGTGTGGTGCCTTCTGCCACGATGACTGCATCGGCCCCTCCAAACTCTGTGTTTCTTGTCTGGTGGTCAGATAGTGTGTTACAGCACCTCCAAACTGAGCCTAAAAGGTCAAAGCAAATGCCTTGGCCTCCACAGACTTTGTCTTCTTGGCCTGTGGTCAGAGGAACTTTTGGACTCAAGTGAGCAAAGAACAAGAGGTAGGATACAGGCCAGTGTTTTGGTGATGGTCAAGGCAAAACAATGGGGCTGGAAGATGCCCCGCAAGATGAAATTCAGTCTGTATTTTTGCTTCATATTTTTTCTATTGCTGTTATGATGGTGTTATGATGTGTATTATGGTTATTGATTATTATTATTATTATTATTATTATTATTATTAATGGTATTACGTGAATTTACATGGCACGGTTGATTGTAGATTGTGCCTTTTCTTTACACCCCCCCACAAAACATTTACCTCATCTACTTGACACCAGTCATCAGTTCAGTGTAAAAATGGTGGTGTTCATGTTTGCGTTTATCTCTCTGAAAAAGAGTGGAGAGTTATGTGCGTCTTGTCTTGCAAAGAATTATTTTTTTAAATCATTAAACAAGCAGATTACTTTTTGTTATTTTGTAAGTGCTTCCTTTCCTTTTTTTATTTTCTTATCCAAAGTGAAGTCCAGTCTGTACTTGGCGGTTAAGCACAGTATTCTAATCTAATAAAGCTGACACTGAGCAGATTCCTTCTTACATTTACTTTTTTTATGGTTTTATGCTAAGCTTCTAAAAACTTTGAGTTAGTGTTGATTTGTTTGGGAATCTCTTTCTACAGTTCGCTTAACGTTCTAAAAGTCTTCATACTTTGCCAAGCCCCATCTTTTTCTGCGTAATAGGACTGTATAACAGATCTCTTATTGATCAAAAGCATGCATTTGGCCTTAGAGTTTTAAGTATTATGCACATTGCTTAATCAAACATTTTATTCTAGTTTCACATAACACTACTCAGTGAGTGCACTAACCAATCAAGAATTATGTGCATGCTGTACATGCATTCATCAGTCCAGCTGTTTATGCAAGTCGTCCTTTATTTTGAAAACATATTACCACTCACATAGACATGCTGATATTCATTACTACGGAATTAGCAAAATTGAATCAATTTGTTACAGCAAATTCAAAAAGTAAAATAATTTAACATACTCAAATTAAATAAGCTAAATTATTTGATACAGCAAGAAGTGAGTGGCTTAGGTGCCTTATGTTAACATTTTCATTTTAGTTAATTATCAACATTTATAAAAGTGCAGTGTTTAAAACAAAAGCTGTTTAGTGATACAATTTAATACTCTAGCCACGAGCTAATATAAGCCCCAAGCTCAAACGCTTGACGGTACAATGATGCACTGATATGTTGTGTAGTTACAACATATTATGCAAGTTGTCCCTTATTTTGGAGAAATGTCACCAAACCTGCCAAATGTTTAGTCATAAAACTTAATTTGCTGATTTTCTTTGATGCAGCAAAAAGGAGTGGCTGAAAATGTGCCTTAATGCTAATGTTTCCATTTTCAGTTTATTGAAGCTTTCAGCATTATTGCAGTGTTAAAAACTAAAGCTTTGCATAGTGTTCCAAACTAATACTCTATACACAAGCTAAAATGCTAGTGGTGTTGGAACAATATGATGCTCTATACTGTTACATCCGTTGTGGAACATTACAAACAAAATGTTATCATGGACACTTTCAAAGATCTTCACCACTTCTGTTAAACAAGTTGCCATTTCACTAAAGATGTTCTTTTGTTTGTTTTTTTGTTGTTTTATTTTGTTTTGCGGAGTATCTGGTTTTACAAGGTCTCATTGTGCTGTCTTTGAGCCCATGCCTTATTTGATGTTTGCACAGCTGTTTAAGAGTGTTCCTGGTTGAGCTGTGAGCTGTTTCACCGGTCACAGTAAGGCTGTTACAATGCTATCGTTTCATATTTCATGTGCTAGGTAAAGGGCCGATCAATTAGCAAGAGGGGAAAAAAAGGATTCCATAAATAAAGACAGCTGACCTAAAACCCGAAATCCCCAAAATGTATGAACACCCACAGATTATTAAAAATGACATTGTATGCACATGTATTGTCTCATAGGGAGGGTTTCCAGACTTGGATTAAGCCTAGGCCTAGACCAAAAAGAATTTCCAAAGGTAACTGTCCATTGACACTGAAATCAAGTCTAATGCGAGTTTTTTTCCTCTTCTCTTAATACATTATCATTATATTGTAAATCGTAATAATACCCTCAGTAATTGTTATGCAAAATTTAATATCAGCACGTGCCTTCTGCCATGTTTCCTCAGTGCACTGTGGCTGTCACGATTAATCAGTTAATAAGCCTAAAAATAACCACAACTTGCATATTTCATAATGTTACCATTTCAAACTTTATTTGACTTTTACATAAACAGTAGTTGTGGCTCTATATGTTCTTGAACACAGATCTGTAAAGGCAAATTTTACATTCTTCAGACATTCTCACAGTGTGGGCACATTTAAAAACTGCAAAATGCAAAATTGAGGCAAGGTGTGCTCCTCTAGGATTTGCTACATTTGACAGTCAGTCTTTAAATATTTCCACAGAATTCTGAGAAAGCTCTGACGTTGTACCACAATTGGACATCAATTCACAAGTGACTCAGCAAAAACACCTACATTGAATTGTCACTTTTGGATGTAGTTCATGAACAGAAGGTGCAATTTCTGTCCCAGCAATCACCTACAGTGAGGGGAAACGAGTATTTAGACACAGTTTGGTAATACTGAATATACAACCGGTGCATATAGCCACTTTCGACTTATTGATTTAGAACAGTGAACAAAATGTAGTTTATATGTATTTATATGTATTAGCAAAAGAAAAGGTAATAACTAAGAGATTTTAAATGTTTTGAAAATTGAATTGATGAAGTATAGACTCTTATTACTTACTCACATATACGTTGTCCATTTTATCAGCCTTGCTTACCATATAGGAGCACTTTGTAGTTCTGCAATTACAGACTGTAGTCCATCTGTTTCTCTGCATACTTTGTTAGCCCTCTTTTACCCTGTTCTTCAGTGGTCAGGCCCCCTACAGGACCACCACAGAGCAGGTACTATTTGGGTGGTGGATCATTCTCAGCACTGCAGTAACACTGACGTGGTGGTGGTGTGTTAGTGTGTTGCGCTGGCGGTACGGTGCTGCTGTATTGTTTAAACACCTCAATGTTGCTCCTGGATTGAGAAAAGTCCACTAACCAAATATATCCAGCCTACAGCGTCCTGTGGGCAGTGTGCCGTGACCACTGATGAAGGACTAGATCGGGATGTCCAGTCTTATCCGCAAAGGGCCAGTGTGGCTGCAGGTTTTCACTCCAACAAAACAGGAGGTCACCTGATGAAACATTTGAAGACCAAGACCGACTGATTAAACAAGTGGAGGTGTGCTCCAGCATGTTTGGAGTGAAAACCTGCAGCCACACTAGCCCTTTGGGGATAAGATCGGACACAACTGGACTAGAGGATAAATAACACAAACTGCAGCAACAGATGAGCTACTGTCTCTGACTTTACATCTACAAGGTGGACCAATAAGATGGGTGTGTCAGAGTGGACAGTGAGTGAACACTTCAAAAACTCCACCAGCACTGCTGTGTCTGATCCACTCACACCAGCATAACACTAAATGTAGAGCAAAGTGCACCTATACGATAAATGGAAGTTGGTATTCGCTGGGAAGATTTCATGTAACGTAGTGAAGGTGAAGAGGCTTCCTAAAGATCTCAGGGACACAATTATTAAACAACACTCGAATGGAAAAAACTACAGAACCACAGCCAAGACCTTAAACTTCCCTGTCAGTACAGCTGGTTCAGTTTTAAGTAATTCAGCTTGTCATGTTTGGAGAAAGAAAGGCTGCAGATATTCGAGAAGAATTTAATCCCGTCAGCCAAGAAACTAAATCTGTGGAGAAGATGGATGTTTCAACAAGAAAACAACCTCGAACATAGAGACAAAAATAGCTTAAGACTGGTCTCTAAAAAAGGAAGGTGCTTTCATGGCCAAGCCAATCTCCTGACTTTGTTTGGGTTTTGCCAAGAGGAAAAGGCCAAAACTGAACCACAATGTGACAAAAAGCAAATTACTTCTTACTGAAGGTATCTTGAAACTGTAGTTCCCAACAACAGCTTTTCAGCAAGGTACTAATGTTATTTTTGGTGTCTGAATATTTTTTCTATATCAATTATTTTGTTTTTAAACATATCTGTCGATTCTTACAAATACATACTTTTTGTTCATAAAGTCAGAAGATGTATGTAAATTGAGTGGATATATGCACTGGAAACATTTAACAAAAGCAAAAGTGTCTGAAAACCTGTTTCCCCCCCACTGTAAATTTAGGCAGTGTCATCACTTGTCTTCCCACTATTTGATAATGCCCCGGAAAAGCGATTCATGGCAGTCCTTGGTTTTTGAAACACCCGAGTCCACAATGACTCATTTATTATATTTGTGTGTGCTGTAGCACTCAGCATGGCACACAGAGACAGACATTTAATACAAACCATGATAACCGAAGCAAAACATTCGGATCACTCTGTTGGATGAGAACTTACTATACTCCTACATCCCTCTTAACTTCAGTGGAGTTAGGCATATCTTTTATTTATAGCATTTTTTCCCAAAGCACAGTAGAACTTCTCACATATCACTGAAGTAATTTAATCTTTCACACACTTCATTGAAAACAAACACCAAGTTTTTTTGTCATTTCATTTTCATAAAATGTATCAGTCTCTAAAATCCGAGATAAAGATGAAATACACAATAAAAACACGCAAAGCCAAACGGTTCCACACAACACAAGATTTGTGATTCAGCAGGCTACCAGCCATTGTTTAGAGTAATAACTCTACTGACATAAGAAGGAAAGAGCAAAGGAATCCAGTGAAGGCTCTGTCTCAGTAGGGGACAAACAAAAAAGCAAAAAACCTGGCTAGTAACCTAGGAGACTACATTTAACATCAGCAGGCAGTAAGAGAAATATATTGATTCAGTTATATTGAAAAAGAGGTTGTTGACATGTAGGGATGATTTGTTCTGGAACAGGGCAAATCTTTGACTTCTTCTATTGTCCTAAATATTTTTGAAAGAAGAAATACACAATGCTTGATAGCCCAATCAGGAACTGTTTTAACAGTGTTATGGGCACTCCTGGTCAAAAATAGATTTACTAAAAGCGAATATATTTACTGTTCATATTTAGTTTGTACTGGTTTAAGTTTGGTTGTGTTGTTTATAAATGCCTTTTTGCAATTTCTGATTCAAGCTTTAATACTTATATATACACAGATGAGCCAAAACATTATGACCACTCATGGATAAGGAAAATAATGTTGCTTATCAAAGGCCCATGTGAAGATCTGGAATATTAGATGGTAAGCGAACAGCTGGTTATCATAGTGAACATGTGGGACAAATGGGCAGGCTTGAAGACTTGAGTGACTTTGACAAAGGCCAAATTGTGATGGCCAGACGACTCGGTCAGGGCATCTCCAAAACGGCTTTTGGGGAGCTGCCAGTCAGCAGTGGTGAGTACCTACTGACAGTGGTCTTAGGAGGGCAGAAGGGCTACTGTGGCAGAAATTTTTAATGATAGTTAAAATCAAGAGGTCCAATCCACAGCGTCTCCACCTCACAACTTAAAGGATCTAAGGGATCTGCTGCTAATGTCATGGTGCCAGATACCACAGGGCACCTTCAGAGCCCATGCCTCAGTGGGTCAGAGCTGTACTGGCAGCATGTGAAGGACCAACAACATATTAGGCAGGAGGTTATAATATTTTGGCTCATTTGTATGAATATATAAAAATATTATTTTAATATATAGTGAAACATTTTGCACTGAACAGTGTTATTGTCGCTGTCATTGAAAACATACACCTCCTAAAATGATAACTTTATAGGCGAAGGGAAAAACATTCTTATATTTAATATGGGGTAATGTAACTATTAGGCCTGTCATAGTTATTGCATAATTGTCTGATCGCTATTATTTTCCACAGTGGTTAACTTATGTCACAACTCACAATGTGAATTGGGTGCGTTTTCAACCGTTCAGCTGAGGCAAATGCAAAAGAAAGCAGAAAACACCTTTATTAAAAAGGACAAACTTGTGACTGGTGCTATGACACCTTTAAAGAGCAGTGATGAGTAATGTTGGTTTGTTTGAGCTCGAGCTGCGTCTGTCGTCAGTTGGGAGCTACTAAGTACCAACAGCTAGGAAGCAGTCAAAATCAGTCAATTTGGCTACTTTAGACTTGTATTTTAATATTTGCATACAACAAGCAAAAAAGACTAATTGTTAATTGCAATTATTTATCTGACAATAATCATAAATTAATTTGATGATCATAACAGGCCTAATAACTAGATGTTGGACCATTTCTGTTAGTTAATCTTTATGAAATGTTGCCACAACGTAAAGGGCAGCTGTAAACAAAAAGTAGAATTATGAGATTTTGATATGACAGCGACGATACATCAGAATAAGTCTACACAGCATTATCAAAGAAGCTGTTTGTGCTTGACCGTTGATAACAAAAAAACTGATGAATCCTTTATAGTAACCACTAATTATTTGACCATTAAAAAATTGCACTTTGCAGCTCTGCTGACAAGGCAGGAGTTGGACTGATGGGGCATTGGGTACCTGTAGGTAGTCCGTAACTGAGCTGGGCTTACTTCTCTCTGTAATATAGAAGGTACATCTTGAGTGGCTCCGGAAGAGGGAGGCTGAGGATCTTCTCCCTCAGGACATTAACAGGAGCTTCAATTAGCAGAACTCTTCCCTCCTTCCTCCTCCCATCTTCGTCTTCTTCTGCCTCGTCCTCCTCGCGTTCACAAACCCCTCTGCAGTCCTCCTCTTCATCATCTGTCCCTGACTGGTTGTTGTTGTCATCCATAGGTCCAGGGATCAGACGACTCATGAACACGTAGCGATTCGTCAGTAGCGTGGAGTCGCGGTGTTCTCGTTTCTGTTTCAGGCGGGACCTGCCTCTGGACCCCACTCTCCGGGGCAGAGGCCACGACCCAGACACTGACTTCTTCAGCGTCTGCCGGATGGAGATGCGAGCCAAGTCCTGCAGGCTTCGGACCTCAAACATGGTAGCTGCACGACATGAAACACCGCATCAGTCAAAAGATCGACACAAGGTCAGGGAGAGGTGAGTACATTCAAGCACATTAAACCTTTACCGCATGGTGTTGCCCTGTGGCAACAGTGACTTTCCTTTTTTGACTAACTACTATATATTTTTTTTTCTTTTTCTTTGGGCAACTGAAGGCTTTCTGAATGGCATGGTGCTCTGCAGTGCATACAGTGGGAGTAAATAAACACACTGATATTTTTGCGTCATATTTACATTCCAACTTGATGGTTTTGTCAATATAAGTATTTTCATGTTCTTTTCTGTATTCTTAAAACATTTAAGCATATTTTGCTGTTACAGGCATTTTCTTTTATATCTGGATGATAAATATGTCCATGGCTCATGGTATGAGCTTTGTTTTATTCTCATTTTGTGCATTGCAGATTACAATTCCATTAGCATACGCTGTTGCCATATGGCAACAAAATGCAAAGCACCCCCAATATTTTTAATAATTGCACCATTTTAAAAAAAAAATATATATATATATATATATATTTTCATGTGTATTGCAAAATGCACTAAAATACAGGAATTTAGTAATATTTCTGTTGGTACATGTGTCATGAAATATTTACATAATGTAAAGGCCATTGTTTTCAAACAGCCACAAATGAAAATCTTTTCAATACAGAGTTTAAGGCTTTGATAAGACAGTTACATGACTGAGAACTACTATTGCAGACAACTTACGTAGAGATACTGCTCTGGGTTTGCCATTTTCTCTGTGTTTTGGTAGTACGAGAGGTGCGAAGGACACTGCGATGATCTTCTTGGTCTCCCATGTGTTGTATCCCGTCCGAGTAATTTTAGTAAGCTGAGAGAGAAATTGAAAATAATGATTATTCCTGTACATACATGGCAAACTAGAATAAAACCTTTAAAAAGATTAAAGATTATTGAGAAATCTGGGTGGATAGTTATTATTAAATGTAAAATTAGCCCAGGAGAAAGATTGTTCATGGGCTACATAATCAGGTTCTAGTATCACGGCAGCTATTCTTACCTTTTCCTCTAAAGGTAGAACGAGGATACCACCAACTTTCAGCAGGTTCTTCATGTAATCTTCATGCTCCCTCTGAACTCCTGCTCCGCAGTACACCCTGTCATACTGCCTGCTCTCTGGGGAAATCTCCAGACAGTTCCCCATAACAAACGACGGCTCACAGAACTCAAACCTGATGCATAAAAGATAATGCAGTTGTGTTTAAATGTTATTAATGTTACTGAAACTGCATCATATGCCCTCCTCTTACTAAAGCATAACATAAATGAAGCATTCAGCACAAGACTACAGGACCTGTCAAAGCTGTCACTCGTCTTGATAAAGCAGTCCAGCTTCTGATAAGCATACTCAATGACATCAGCATGTAGTTCGACACCGTGATTCACACCAAAAGGACCTGCAAGAACACAGACAGCTTGACATTGAACATTGAGTCATTGAAACGATACAGATACTTAACTTTGTTTGTAAAAAGTTGTCACTTGTTGTCATTTAGTTCTCCTCATCATGTAACCACCCCTGCAGTACTGCTGCTTTCAAGAAGCTTTTTATATATTTACTTGATCAGTCATATTACACGCAAATAATATGACTGAATGTTTGCATCAGTAGAAGTTTATACCAATAATGGTAGAAGAGAAAGCTACATTCTACAACCCCAATTCCATAAAAGCTGGAACACTGTGTAAATGTAAATAAATGTAAATAAAAACAGAATGCAATGATTTGCAAATCTTATAGACCCATGTTTCATTCTGAATAGAACATAGAACACAGATGTTGAAAGTGAGACATTTTACCATTTCATGAAGAACATTAACTCATTTAGAACTGATGGCAGCAACGCATCTCAAAAAAGTTGGGACAGGGCCGTGTCTACCATTGTGTAGCATCCCCTCTTCTTTTAACCACAGTCTGTAAATGTCTGGGAAGTGAGGAGACCAAATGCTGGAGTTTTGGGAGAGGAATGTTGTCCCATTCTTGTCTGATGTAGGATTCTAGCTGATCAGCAGTCCTGGGTCTTCTTTACTGGATTTTTGATTTCATGATGCGCCAAATGCTTTCTGTTAGTGAAAGGTCTGGACTGCATGCAGGCCAGTTCAGCACCCAGACTCTTCTTCTGCAAAGCCATGCTGTTGTGATGGATGCAGTATGTGGTTTAGCATTGTCTTGCTGAAATATGCAAGGCCTTCCCTGAAAGAGATGTTGTCTGGATGGCAGCATATGTTGCCAAAACCTGTATATTTCATTCAGCATTAATGGTGCCTTCACAGATGTGCAAGACACCCATGGCATGGGTACTAATGCTCCCCCATACCATCATGGATCCAGGCTTTTGAACTGTGTGCTAATAACAAGCTGGGAGGTCTTTATCCCGGAGAATGCAGTTGTCCATTATTTCCAAAAGGAATTTCAAATTTTGATTAATTTGACCACAGGACACTTTTCCACTTTGCCTCAGTCCATTTTAAATGACCTTGGGCCCAGAGAAGTTGGCGGCGCTTTTGGATCCTGTTCATATATGGTTTCTTCTTTGCATGATACAGCTTTAACTTACATTTGTGGATTGCACGGTGAACTGTGTTTAGAGACAATGATTTCTGGAAGTGTTCCTGAGCCCATGCAGTGATTTCCAGTACAGAATCATGCCTGTTTTCAATGCAGTGCCGCCTGAGGGCTCGAAGATCACAGACCCTGCGTACAGGAGGGATTTCTTTGCAATTTTCGGTTGAGGAACATTTTCTGAAATTGTTCCACAATTTTTAGATGAAGTTTTTTCGCAGATTGGTGAACCTTTACCCATCTTTGCTTCTGAGAGATTCTGCCTCTCTAAAATGCTCTTTTTATACCCAGTCATGTGAGTTAGTTGCAAATTGCTCCTTCAGCTGTTTTTTTATTAGTACCACTTACTTTTCTGTATTTATTCACATTTATTTACATTTTACACAGCGTCCCAACTTTTTTGGAATTGGGGTACATTCCTGTCCTGCCATGAGCCTGAACCTACTGTCATTATGTAATATTACATCTTAATATTTTAGCTTTGATAGAAGACTCTACTTATTGCACTTTTAGGTTACAACAGACAGACAAAATGGTAAATAAAGAAAATCTCCTATAATTGTCTATATTTAAAAAAAAAAAATTGAATCTTCCTTCATCCCACATACTTGCAACTTTATGTGAACAAAAATGGCAATTAAAAATGAACACTTATGGTTAGTGCTGGGACTATAAGCACCTTTAAAAAAATCGATAAATCATAATAAAAATCATAATTATGCATAAATGTCTTTTTTCATTATGTAAAACTACTCAAATTTTGCAGTTACACATTTAGTTTGTTATTTTCATCTTCCATTTGCACCCAAGGGGGTGAAAAAGCCATGCGTTTTACACACAAAAAAATTTGAAAACATACAAACATTATCACTAAGGCAGTCTTTCACATCTGAGCTTGTGGCTGAGTAGTTGTCAACCTCTAGAGACAGTAACCCTTAAAATCACACCTTCAGAACTGTATTCATTTACTGACACCCATATAAAGCAGTTCTACCATTAACATTATTAGCAACAGCTATTTATCCAGTTTTGATTTTTTATCAGATTTTCTTTACTGTGATACAGTCTTATGCAAAAGTTTGAACGCCCCTGGTCACATTACATGTTTTGTTTTGCGAAGTTCTGTGCAAAATTCATATTTATTTGTGGAATTTAACGTATAGAAAAAAATTATATAAAATGTGCCATAACTTTTGCACAAGCCACATTTTATATTTTGTTTTTCTTTCTATATGTCGAACAAATAAATGATTTTTTTCCCCATATATGTTCAATACGCAGCAGGATCCTATGTAGAGAAGGTATACTTAATTTCACTTAGAAATTCAACAAAACAGAAAGAACAAAACATTTAGAGTGGAATGCCCAAACTTTTGCATGTAACTGTATATTCCTCTGGCTGTCATACTAATTACATTTCCCAGATCCCTGAATAGTACTGCCGTATACCTCCAAAATTCTGAAAGGACATATTTTACAGGTTAAATTGTATAATTTGACATTTATGTGGTTACTCTTGTAGTTTCATTGCTCATTTTAATGCTTGGAGCTCCGAGCTGAAACAGAGTCTCACACAGTACTGCTGTGAACACCAGCTCCTGTATGAGTCAGTGGATCACCTTGTATTTTAGCAGAATGGGCTGTTACCCAGTGTCTTTGAGTCACAATGGCTAACAAAAAGACCTCTTCAATGCCATTACTACACACTGAATCTATTTCGTCTGCATCTTCTAACTGCATTCTCAGTGTTAAAGTGCTCTAGACTTGATGCAGGGATGTGGGAAGTGGGGGTGCTAAAGGGGGCTGCAGCACCCCTAGATTTCAGGAATGTTTAACTGGAACTGTTAAAAAATAGAACTATGCTATATTTTATGCTTTATTTATATATTTTCAAAAGCTACAGTTCACATACACTGCACAAGTTAGTGCTGCATTTTCACTACAGTCTTGCCAGCTGTTGGATGCTTTAGGGGAGTGTCGCTAAAACATAAACAAGTTTAGGAGCTCAGACATAAATGAACATAAAGTTGCACTATGTATGTTTAGGGGATTTGGAGACCTCTCTGGTGGAAATGTGTAATTGCATGCAACACGTGGAAGAACACTGTGGATAGTACTCTGACCCCTTCCCTGAGTGGATTAATGTGATGATTACAAGAGCACTAAAAAAGTATCTCTCTAAATATCGACATCGGCATGGGGCATTAAAAACCCCATACTGGTCGACCACTAGTAAATACATAAAGATGTATGATATAGTCTAAAAACTCCTACTCATTAGTTATATATGTATAGCATTATCTCTTGACACGTTCCAACATAATCTGTTTTGCAAATTAAAGAAAAAAATTAAATTGAAATAAGGCATGAAATTTTTCGTGATGTCACTGTACGTCACATACATGCTGCTTAAAATTTCAGCACATATTAAATTCATAAATATCAACTTAATGTGAAAAGAACTCACAATGACTAAACATTAAACTGAAGTAAGTACAAACACGCTGCTTCTAAAAGTGTTTACCTGTGTAACAGTGTGGCAGTGGGACATTGGCTCACACCGTGTCACACAGGGCAACTCACTGCTGTGTGTGTAAATAAAGTATCACTCCATAGCTCTTACCCAATATGAGGCCCACCATGGTGCTGAGGTATCCTGTCCCACTTCCCAGGTTGAGAAAGGACAGGCCTGGCTGCAGGTCCAGTGCCTCCATCACCTCAGAGTAGATACAGGGAGCAGAAAGGTGGATGTTGCCATGTCTCCAGGCCAGGTCCTTGTAGGCGCTGTCTCTGAACTCCTCTAGATAGTAGTCAGCACGATCAATAGCCCTGAAGGCACGCTCCACCAGCTCTGTACGGATGTACTGAGCCTCCTTCAGGTTGTCAATCAACTCATCATTGTCCTCACCTGCGCTCACTGCTCCACCCATTGTAGTTATACGCTGAGGAAGAACACAACGAACAACAATAAAAATCGTTAAAAATAATATTTTTATTTCTATAGCATTTTCCATTCCAGTGGCAGCTTAAAGTGCTTTACAGATGTGAGATAAAACTAAACAGCAATAAAAGAAAATATAAGTAATAATTTAAAATCATATAAGACAGTGATGGATCAAATTAAAAAGTTCCAAAGAGACATAAAAATGTAATTAAATGCTAAATTAAAGAGATACATTTTCAAATGTTTTTTTAAAACTGTGACCTGAGCTTAACTGTCTGATAAAAGTTGGAACTGAGTTCCACAGTTTAGAAGCATAATAACTGAAAGAGGCTACTCGATATTTTCTGTATTTTACAGAAGGCCATTATCTGCAGAACTAAGATCATGTGCTGGAACATAACTAACTTTACTAGTTGTGGTACTATTGTTATATACTATACTTTACTGTACTATATTTACATGCTATACTTTACAAGGTACAGTACTATTGTTACATTCTATTCTATATTAATTACTATACCCTACATACTATACTTTTCTACTTACCATACCTATATACTGTACTAGTTACTGTCCTACAGTTACATACTATATTTTACCTCATACGATACTATAGTTACATACTATACTAGTTACTGTACTATATTTACATACTTTACACGGTACAGTACTATTGTTACATACTATAACATATTAATTACTATACCATACATATTATATTTTACTAGTTACTATACCTTACATACTATACTTTATTAGTTACTGTACTATAGTAAGATTTTATACTTCCCTAGTGACTATACCCTACATACTATACTTTCCTAGTTACTGTACTATAGTTACATACTTTACCTTGCTTATTACTATACTTTACATGCTTCACTTTACTAGTTACATATGTTACTAGTTACTGTACTACAGTTGCATGCAACACTATACTAATTACTGTACTATAGTTAGATTCTATACTTTTCTAGTGACTATACCTTACATACTATCCTTTCCTAGTTACTGTTCTATAGTTAGATACTGTACCTTGCTTTTTACTATAGTTTCCGTACTATACTTTACTAGTTACTTTATTAGTCACATTATACTATACTATACTATACTAGTTACTGTATTATAGTCACATACTATACTTAGTTACTATACTAGCACTACATACTGTAATTTACCATGTAAGAGTTCAGTTAGTGAGAACTCTTGTCTTTCCCCAATTTAATGTCTTCAAATGTAATTTCTACTAACATAAAACTGTATACTCAAGCTAAAAACACTTGTCTCAACAAAGCAGTCCAGCTTCTGATAAGCATACCCAGTGACGTCAGCTTGCAGTTCAGCAACATGGCTAAAATGGAAAAACCTGTGAAATCAGCATTTCATCATCAGGTTGTCAACAACGTAGCAGCGCAGTTTCAGCGAGTGAGCGGCAGGTGGTGCTGTGGGGCAGAAAAGTCTAAACTTCCCCGGAGACTCACATGCTCAGAAACTGCGCGACTGAGCAACATGCCCACCAATCCTCACACTGCGCTCGCACTGCAGCTGCGCCACTCGAGAAGAAACGCGCACAAACGCGCCTTTGATGCGAAAGTCTCGAAAACATTCACACGATCCATTAGACGGAAAACACGCCCCTCTCAACACGCACGTTATTTACCAGGCTTTTCATGTCGGTTAGGTAAAAATGGGTACTTAACGTAGTGAAGAGTTTAGCGCAGACAACAATACGGCGTCGCATCTGGGGGATGGTAACCGATGGCGCTGAGAAGTGCGTTTCATAAGCGTTGTTTTCGGCTCACCTTAGATGCACCCAGTCGGTCTGGCTGGAAATAAAAGGCAGCAGATGGGCTCTGAGCTAAATCTGATCTCCACCGCAAACAAAGAAACTGCACTTCGGTGACTCAGCGTCTGACCACAACACACAGTGTCGGTTTACAGGTCACTTTTAACAGCCGTTCCGCGGTGGGTTCGTCTCCTCCATCGTTTCTTTTCCCGTCGGGTTTCAGCCTCTGTTCACATCCAGCGCGAGCGGCCACAGTGCGGGATGTAAACACTGATCAGCTGATCGTCTGACGTCACACCAGCACAAAACTGTGGGTTCCCTGAGTGAGCTGCAGAGCACAGTTACCTCCGTGTGTTTTAGCAAAGAAATCGGCAGATTCGGTGATTATAAACTATTAAATAAGAGACACTATTTAATGCCATGTCAACGAAGTTGGCTGGAGTTTGGCTCAATGGGCTCAACAACACGGAAGAGAACTAGAGCGAACAATAAACAATCCACATGGACCAGAGACTCAAACACGGTAGTATAACAGTTCCAGTGCAGTGGAGACAGAAACAAAGTACAATAATTCAGCATTTGATTATTGGTAGAACTGTTTAGTTCTCGAACCATCTTACAGGAAGTGCTTCCCACACATAGTTTCTCGTTTTAAAGCGCCCATATCATGGAAAAGTCAATTTTCTTCACTTTTTTTAAAATAAAAGACTTTGTATTATGTAAACGTTACTAAAATTTCAAAATTTACCACTCGCTTCCCAGTCCATATATGGAAACTTTTTGTGACGTCATAAAAAATTTTAATTTACATACATCCACCTAAGCCATGGACACACTACGTGACTTTCAGTGGTCAGACTGTTCACACTACACAGCTTGTTGTCTTGTAATTGGGAATCTGAATAATTGCGGTTGGCACACAAAATGACTGATCAGCGAATGGTCATTACCCAACCTGTAACAGGAGGAAAGTCTGTCTGGTCTTCTACTACATTTTGTCTTGCGAGAATGATGCGATACCAAGCACGTTTTTTTCTTCCAAAAATGGATGTCAACAAGAAGCTAGCGATCCAAGTTGTTTGTGCGCTTTTTATTTATTAATTTTTTTTTTGTAGCTATGCTTGAAGAACTCACTGCCAGTCACAACCGGGTCACAACACTTTTCACACTACAGGATTGTGACTCCCCTACAGATCCAGATATTAAGCCTGTAGGATATCTTTCACGTGTCTGCAAAGGCATCGGTGAGTCTCCCGGATGGCATCTTTACACAGTTCACATAAAGCAGGGGTCAGCAACATGTGGCTCTCTTTTACTGCCCTGTTGCGGCTCCACAGCAGAATTAGATTATTATGTAAAAACAAAATAATCCTCTTTTGCAGTAAAATAAAGCTCTGCTGATCATTCTAACAAAGTTTTAACACTAAATGGTCTTTAACGCTGGAGTTAATGTAGGCTATATCTGCTAATTCACCCTTTAACCCTAAAAGTTGGCGTACAGACTGCTGATCACATAGCAACACAGATAGCTAACAATCACGCCAAGCTCGTAGCTAATGAAAAGACAAAGAGTAAGATTTAAGATGAACATTGATAATTTGGAGACGAATGGGATTATTTGCATGAATAATCACTCCAGCTGGTTTCCTGATTCGTTTAATCTGTAACGAGAAACTGTTAAACACTAAAAAGTCACGAGGCTGAAGTCAGCTTCTCATTTGCCAGTCTCTTATTCAGATTTTCCTGTTCCACCTTAAATGGTGCAGCAGTTACATTCTGGTAACTCAGGCACCATTTAAGGTGAAACAGGAAAATTCAGACAAGAAGCTGGAGTCTTGTAAAAAGTTGAACGTTGAGAGACATTTTACAAGAAACCGTTCCACTTTTGAGGAAGTTTCCTGCCAGAGATGCGAGAAAAGCAGCTATATCTGAGCTAAAGTTTAAAGCAGGGCAAAGTAAGTTTGTGTTGTCGTTTATATAGTATTTGTATCCTACACTAGCACTTTAGCACATACTGAGACATATTTACAGCCAAGATGTTAAAAAGGACATAAAGTGTTGTGCCTAACAAGATGGTTTGATTTTTGTTGAAAGGACTAAATGGCTCTTCTTAACATTTGGGTTGCTGATTCCTCACAGCAATCGAGAGCCAACTTTCAGGATTGATCAGGACTAAAGTCGTGCAATGTGAAGAAGTTTAGCCCCACCTATTCAAACAGAAGTGACAAAGGCCGCTTTTTTTAATGAGGCAGACAATCAGAACGGAGCTCATTTCCTTATATCAGTCTTATAAACAGTCATAAAACAGCGTGTTTAACTCCAAAGGATAAATAGAGGTTTCAGCACAGTCTGTAAAATGAATTATGACTGTTTTTAGCACATAAATCCATGCAAGTGTCATAGGGCAGCAACAAGGAAGAAAACAAAATACATGCAAAATGGAGGATATGGGCTCTTTAAAAGCTCTAAATCTTCTCCCAGATGGAAGAAGGGACAAAAAAAAGTGCTTTATAGGTTAAGTGCTTTATAAAGTTAATATAGCTAGGTCTTTTTCTTTCAAGTGTGGGCATGATTACTATCATAGCTCTATAGAACTGTAACATCCCCTGCCTCGAAAATTCACAATTTTTAAGCTTGTGCAGACAAAAAGGGGCCTTTTGGGGAGAAGAAAAGTATATTTTAGCTGGATATATGTATATTGTAGATCATTTGGCTAAATGATCATCCTGTTTGTTCATTATGGGCCACCATACATGAATGTGTTTTGTGTCTAGGCCAGAGTGCTAAGGTTTTTTTCTGTATAGTTCAGTCATGCTAGTAGAGCCATGAAACGTCAGCCTTACTAACCGGGTTTCTCATGTTCCTGATTAACCCTGCTGGTTGTTCCAAGTCAGTGTGGTTCTTGACTCACACACTAACAAACCAGTCTCTAGATATATTATATATGTACATATAGCTTGTGCCCTAAAGGCTTTGTATAAAAAGGCATGGTTCACTGAAAATTCAATCAACTTTTTCCCCAAATCTGTGAACTGTTCCTTTAAGAATACGCAGTAGTGGCAGTGCCACTGTTCAACCAGCAGGTGTCACCAAAGTACTGCAAAAGAGCAGCATAATTATCATACTGCAGAAGCAAATTATTAACAAAAGCTTCATTAATCACGAAAAGACGATTTAGGTGATAGAGTTCCCTTTTATTTTATCACCAACAGATGGGCAAAGTCTATCCATATGCAGCAGTCACTAACACAGATACATTTACAAAATAAATATTGCAACAAGATCTCCATTCAATTTGTACTTAAATATTAAATAATAATAATAATAATAATAGTAATAATAATAATAATAATAATAAATACATCATACTGTATCTGTTTGACCCACTTCACTGTGGAGGGTGTCAAAATACTTTTATGGACAACAAAACTCATTAAATTAAAGAGAATATTAGAAAATAATATAAAAATTGATAGAAAATATTTGCACTTAAAAAAGAGATTTAAAAATCCCCGTCTTTAAAATAAATAGGAAGGTTTATAAAACGCTTGCTGTGGATATTTTTAAAATATTGCCTCCTTTCTCAACACAGAGGGCAACTATTCTGATTTTATTGACTGTTAAAAAGCTGCTTATAGAATTTTTGTTGTGTAAAATAAATAAGCTCATAAATAGACACCGATGAATAAATAACCAAAAAATAATAATAAAAATAAACACCCAAACATGAATAAATAAAGTAAACTTACATATCAAGAATTTAAATAGTCATAATTATAATAACAATAATAATAATATGATAATGGAACTACAACCTATTAATGGAAGTGCAATATCTATGTTCTCAAATACTATGAGCATTTCTAAATGGGACCCGAACAATTTTTTTTTCACCAAATATGAGACAACATCATCATACAGGGTACAAACAACAGCAGTGCTGCTTCCTAATCATGACTCATAAAGGGGACGCCAGGAATTCTGAAAGTACCATTGGACATTAAATGTCAAACACACACACATATACATACAAACACACGCACACCAATCTCACAGCTTGTTCATGACAACCTCCGTTTCGCTGAGAAGAGTAAGAAAGGCAGATCGGGACAGGTGCGAGCGGTTTGCTAATAAGAGGCGATGTCCAAAAATAACCCAGAAGAATACAGACTGTGTCTAAGCGCCACAGTAGGTTTTTTCTGGGTTGTTGTTGAAATGTTAAAGCAGCAAAACTGGATTTTTTGAATTTGGTCCTTTTTCTCTAAACTCCGCAGCGCTCCTCGTCCTCAGGGCTGTCACATACAAAACCTGGATGTCCTTAAACAGTACGTAAAGTATTGTTGGTCTGTTTTTACAACCCACAGTGTCTCGCGGTTGTCATGCTCCTTCCAGCCGTCTGTTTGCTTTCACTGTCCGCTGCTGTATTTACACCTCGATGCCTTTGACGGCCTGGTTGATAGATTCCAGCAATGCTCGGTTCTCCGGGTTCTGGTAGCATTCCTTGTTGGAGAACATGTGGGTCAGGGTGTCCACATAGGTATCGAAGTTCTGCTCGCTGATGGGCTCCTGCTGTGGGAACCACAACAAAAGGAAATATTACAAAAGGAAGACGATCTCCATGTGTTTGAGCTTTAGTCTTCAGATTGGCCCTTATTCATAAAAGCTGAGCAGACTTTTTTAGGGGCCCTGTAGTTGTGGGCAGTAAAATAAGTAAAAATGAAAATAAGTTAACACATCTCTACAGGGAACACACTTCAATATGGCCTTTCCTGTAGATTTAGTACCCAATTTCTATGTATTTGCTGAGTTTAATTGTTTGGAAAAAATATAGAATATAAAATGTGCCTTATCTGTTGCAGCAGGCCATGTATGTTTTTTACTATTATGCTAAATTCAGAAAATAAACAGTAATTGTGCATTAAAATGTGCAGAAGTGTATTCTCTGTAACCTATTTCCACTTTTTGACTAGGGGTGCCCAAAATTTGCATATGACTGTGTATCACAGGATCACGCTTACAGGTGATATTTAGGTCAACATTAATAAATGTGTCCTCAGTGCTGCTATTTTATGCTAAAGGATTGTCCTACAAACCTGATATTGTTTTAACCGAATTGTTTTCTACATAAAAATAACACTGAATGGAATCTTACACAGTGTCCTAAACGCTCACCAGACAGAAAAACATGTTGTCAGAAAGTAAACGTATTATTACTATTTGTTTTGTTTTATAGCTTTTGAACTGTTTGCTCAAGATAATCTGAAGCACCCACTCAGCCAATGATATATTGCACTTAACTTACTTTAATACCATGAGTAAAATACACAAGAAATACACAAGAATATGAACTAGACTTCTTGCAACAAGTGCACCACTATTTTATTGAATGAAATGTCATTGGATATAATACTCAATATAACACTCAATCAGAATCACAGCACCAGATTTTCCAAATATGAACATGCTTAGAAAGGAACACTGACACTACGCTGACACTTTTATAATTGGGCATGTGACTGAGTGAAGGAGTAAAAGCAGCTCTTATTGTGCAAATGATAAACAATCCATTACAGAAAAGTCACATGAATTTCACAATGAATGAAACACATAGTTTTTGCCCACTTCGCATGTTAAAAATGTGTGATCACATAAAAAAACATGCGATCATGTGAAAAATTATGTCATCACATGTCAAAACTTGCTCACAAGTTTTGAAAGGTGTTATTACTTGTGAACCCATGGTTTTTACACACTTAACTATGAAATATATGACTTTTCTGTAATGGATGAGATTGAAAATGGCAGGATCCAGGTTCAATAGGTAGAATGATTTTCTACTTCGTAAACAGTGCTTTTGGTTTTGAATGTTGTTTATTATTATATTGTTGGTAGATAGTTTACTCACCATCTGAGGGAGACGGATGTTGGCCAGGCTGCGGATCAGCGCCTGGCTCAGGCCAGACAGCTCAATGAACAGGGCCTCATTTTTCTCTTCAATGAGTTTGTTTTCCTCCTGCATGCTCTTTAAGTTCTTCTCCATTGATGAGATCTGCAGAGGAGCATCAAAACCCATGAGGGCATGCAAACAACAACTCACTTAGAACCTTAGCCAGAGATTCAAAGAACCGGTCCTGTTCATATCAGACAGAGATGGGCAACATGGCAAAATGTAATAGCAAAAAACAATTACTTCATGTGGTTACAAGCAATTTAACTGCATTTATTCATCTTGAAACAATGCAAAAAACATTTAGTCTATTTGAACTGAAGCAATGTTACTTTGATTCAAACCTAAAAACATTTCAAATCAATTTTTACAGTGTAGCTTTCATTCTCTAAATTTGTCCTATTAGATGTGTGTGTTCAGCTTTACAGGTTGGAAGGTATATTGTAGCACACCGTTACAGTCGGCATTCAGTATCTGCTGACCTGCGTGTGAAGGTTGGCCATGTCTGCCTCCATCTCTGAATTCGACTCGTTGAGCTCACAGATCTCTTTGTTCAGCTGCTTTATGTCTTCGTCATTATCAAGAACTGAGGAAAGAAAAAAGAACATTATGACATTTTTGCAAGAAGAAGCAATAAAAATCCCTGCTATCTCAAATGTGATCATTACTCTTACCATCACTTGCTCTGAATTTTTTGCTGATGTAGTCATCTCCAGGGAACCTTGCTTTCTTCTTGTTAGCAGAAGCTCGAGGACAACCTGATAGGCTGTGGGCAGAGGGGATGAAGGAAGGTTAAAGCTTGCACACTGCTTAGAAGTACAGAAGGATATAACTCCAACTTTGTCTTTGTAAACGCAGCCACAGTACTGGGGCTACGGCAATGAATAGTGCAGCAAGGTTTACTTATAGTCTATTACTAGTTGATAAGTTTCATTCAAAAGTTTCCTTTCTAAATCTGTACATTACTTAGATTAATATTGCCACTGTTGTAAAAAAATTCTCCAAAGTGGTCAATTTATGTTTGGAATTAAAACATTCTGTTGGTCCTTTCATTATAATAAGTTGACACAATATGAATGGCAGCTGATTTTTTCAATTGGTGTAACAGAATGAAAAATAAAGAGTTTTGTTATAACAGCAATGAGATACTGATGTATCCTCTTGGTTCTATATTTGTCCTTTGCTCAGTATAAGATTTTAGTAGGGCTTTTTATAACCTGTGCCAATATTTTGACACTGTCACCAGTCAGATAGCTAACTCTGCTAACTAACATCTCTAAAGAACATAAGATCTGAGCTTAACCAGGTAGCAGTAGGAAATATTCCAGCTGACATTTAGTAAATTTAGTAACAACATAAGATGTGACCTAGTGCATAAATACTAGTTCATGCTTTAGAATTAGGGATATTTTAAAGGTTAGGGAGCTAAAGAATCCCTAACTCAGGAAACACAAAATTGAGCATGTTTCATTTTTGGGAAGGCTCCACCCTGCAGCCTAGACAGAGATTTTGATTGGTTCGGCCATTAAGTGTGTCACTAAGTGTTCTTCTTTGAAATAAGCAGCCTGAGCTGAATCAGAAAGTGGTGGTGTGCTGCCCCAGTGCTTTGGAAACAGCTGGGTCATATATCGGCTGTCATCGATTTTTTATTACATAAAACAATCGATATTTTACACTTTAGCATTCAACAGTGTGTTCAGAACTGTTTCCATTGCACCAGAGGGTGATAATGTCTTAGTCATAAACAAACTAAAATTAAATATAAACACTGCCACACTTTCTAGTGGATAATGAAATAAAACCAGAACTGGAATTTAGGGTAATGGATCTGTGAACAGAATGTTTCTTTGTCCTATCGATCCCAGCTTTAGATTTTTTTTACAGTACACTACATATTGTGAGCTGGATCATACCTTCGGTGCGTGAGGAAGCTGCCATTAGCATGGCCTGAGCCGTCACATCCCGGGGTGGGGCAGGTGGGACCCTCTGACTTGAAGGACTTCCAGGAGAAAGGTGTGCCGTTCAGCAGGCCCTCTTTCTGTCTGCGTGCGGCCAGTGGGCAGCCGTAGGCACTGCGATGGGTGGCGTACTTCCCACTTATATGACCAAGACTATCACAGCCAGGCACTGGGCACCTGAGCAGAGACATTTTTTTTAACTCAGAATCAGTGAGGTTTATCTAAAGCACATTAGCTGTAAAGTGGTAATGTTGAGCTGTTTCCTGTAGTGACTTTGGGCTGAATGACAGATTGTAATTTGAAGCACTTACTTAATCAGCTCTGAATCTTCCTTGTCATCCTTGGTGGGGGTTATTTTTATTCCTCCCTTCTTGGCACGAGGGCATCCAGACAAACTGTCAATGGTAGAAAAAAAGGGAATGTGAATGTGAGTGAATCGTGGCTGAAAGCTAAGAAATAAGCTACATAAGAAACACTACACTCTTATTATTAAGAAATAAGCTGAATAAGAAACACTACATTAAAAATAAAGACTATTAAATGATTCTTGATATTGTAAAAATGACACCTAAAACAAATTGGTGTGTGTATATATGTTTACTGAACAAAGAATTTGGAAAATGTTAGGTTAAAATGCTAATTTTGTGCTTTATTTGTCTTTGTGGAGAGGTATGAATTATTTTCACAGCAGGGGGCGTCCACCCCTCCCCGTTCACCCCACCCCTCACTGAATGCGGAATCACATTTCACTCAGAGAGCCAGCAGTGTTCTAGTTCATCTGATAACAGAATTACAAAGAAAAATAATTTATTTAATTACATTACTTAAAAATATCAGAGTCGATTTCCATTCTGTAGGAGGAACAGCCACTACCGGGCGGAAAGAGCAAACTAAAAGTGGTTCTGTTGTGGTTTCATTCCAAAGAACCCTTTTGGCACATTTATTCTTGAAAGTGTAGTAGAAAAAAGTTCTCTCAGAGTCTGATATGGAAAAAACCATAGAGCACAAACTTTTTATACAGGCTGTTTATATTGCTCAGCAGTGAAAGGCTGATGGATTAGATAAGACTGTTCACCTTCTGTGTGAGGCATAGTTTCCAGTGATGTGTCCTGATCCGTCACAGCCTGGCGTGGGGCATCTGGAGGCCAGAACATTATAGGTCAGTACAGTCATAATACTCAGCTGAGGCTTTTTCAGCTTTGTATTTCTGTCAATATCTCTCCCAGCCTGCTATGTCTTTTTCCTGTGTTACTAGCTTAATAAACCAGTTAACTCTTAAATAAAGAATTTCATACTGATGTTTCAGTGTAGGTTTCTTTATATTGCACTGATCAGAATACATATCAGTGACCAGAAGCAGGAGGTAAGATAGATATTACAATATTTGAGAAGGTTTAAGGGGCTCAGGAAAAGAGTGACAGACAAATTTACTGCACACAGCAGAATTCAGTAGTAACAGCGGTATATAGTACAGTTAAGCAGTCAAAGCAGTGTGGCGAAGACTCATTAGAGGAAAGATTCGCAGGCAGACATACTTGAGTTCACCAGTGTGGGCAGCCATGAGGGTCCGAAGACTTTTATCAGCAAGAGGACATCCAGAGAGACTGGAAGAAGGAAGCAGAGCAGAAGAAGAAAGAAAAGAGAGAAATTTAAGTGCCAGATAGAAGTGGAAGATTTCTCTTGCTGGGTTGCTGAGTGTTTGGCATGAGTCTGTAGGTATATGTAGGCTTGTACTGTGGGTTGCTTTGGACAAGAGCAGTGAAATAGTACAGGGACTAGTTTAATGTGCATCTGGATAGCACTAGTGGGAGGCAGCAATGCTTGTAGTGTTTGTGAAGTAGCAAACAGAGACCTCATTAATAATAATAGCAAGTTAAATGCATGCATCTATTTACACTGAAGGCCCAGTGCAAGTCATATGCAAAAGTTTGAACATCTCTTGTCAAATGACATGTTTTGTTGATTTTCTTAGGGAAAATAATTTAAAACATCCTCTACAAGGAACAAAGATATTTTTCTGCAAATTGTAGTGGACATTTTCTATTTATTCTATTTATATTCTGTTGGAATATAAAATATAAACATATGTTACAATATAATAAATAAATAAATGTTTAAATAATTAAAGTTTCATTTTTTTTCCAATATGCTAAATTCAGCAAACAAACAGTAATTGTGTATTAACATGTGTTCTGTGTAGATGATGCACTTATTTTTACTTAGAAAGTCAATAAAACATGCTATTTGACTGGAGTGTCAAAACTTTTGCTTGTAGAGAGCAGAAATGAAAAGTTTTAGTACAGGGTTGGAGTAGCAGAAAAGGACACATATTAAAAAGGAAAACAGATGTAGGGTCAGTAAGGGTCTGAGCAATAGTATCTAGCTATAGCACAGCCAATGTATACCTGCGGTGAGATGCATAGTTCCCTGTTATGTGACCACTGCCGTCACATCCTGGGGTGGGACATCTGGACACAAAGTAAAAAAGTCGTATGATTAGGTGGGGATGTGTTAATTATCCTTCATGTGAGATTTAGAGAGCATTTCAATGGGATTAGCATTTCTCAAATGCTAAATCATTTCGTTGTGGTTAACTGTTTGAAGGATACTTACATCAGGAGATCTTTCTTGGCGTCTTTGGATGGGAGCTTGACTTTGAAGCTGGACGTTGTGACCTCACCAGGGTACTTCCTGTCCTCCAGACTCTCTTGCGTGACATCATCATCTTCTCCATCAGAGGACGTGTGGGACTGTACAGTGTAATCCACCTATAAACCATAACATATGAAAGTGAGCTAAATGTTGCTAAACCAGCTAATCTTGTTCTCTAGGACTTTCTTGAATAAACATGTACGACTAAATAAATAAATATCACATCTAGTGTTAATGAAAGTAGTTGAAAGATTCTAACCTCCTCAGGCTCCTCCTCCTTCTGTCGGCTCGTCTTGGTGTAATCGAGAGGCCCTTCCCACTCCTCTACCTTGTAGGAGTGGCCAGAGTGAGGCGAGGTGACTCCGTGCTGTTGTGAGAATGATGAGGATGATGATGAAGGGTCAGGTGACCTCACACCCTCCCTCTTGGGTTTCTTCATGCTGAGGTCTAGTGTGCCGTTCTCATCAACCTCAATCTCCATGTCCTGATTGATTGGTTAGAATGAAATCAGAGTTTTAAGAACTTTAACAATCAGCAGATGAAGAGTTCTTAAGTAAAAGGGTTTCTCAAAGAGTCTTAGGGAGAGTTCAGTTGCTGCCTTTTCAAACTCTCAAGCGCACTCCCTTTCATTGTTGTTAATGGAGCAATGTAGCCTGAACAATGCACTGCACATATTTAAACTGCCCATTGAAGTTAATAAACCATCAAACATAGTGGTGAGCACTCGTATCCCATCCACAGCTGACCAAGCAAGATTAAGAATTCCTAGTCTCTCATCTAACATAGAGAAAAAAGCTAGCTTGTAAAAGCTATTTTTGCTTTTTTTTTAATTTTAATTTTATTTAATTTTATTTGTGTGTTTTATTGAGCCCTGTGATGGACTGACAACCTGCCCAGGGTGTTTCCTGCCTTTCTGCCCAATGACTGCTGGAATACCCCCTGTGACCCAAGAGGAAAAGCGGCTTAGACAATGTGTGTGTGTGTGTGTTTCTTTAATGAAATTACCTGCATTTTTAAATTTATTATTATTTATGTCACTTTTGCTTTGGTCTTTCTGGCTTATGTTTACCTACCTATCAATCAAATGCATTAATCCACCCCCCTTTCAAAGACGTCGCCTGAACACCACCTTAGAAGGCTATTGAAGCTAGTGCCAGAATTATAGTTGTTTTGGTTTGTACCTGTTACAGACGTTTCACCTGATCTATATCGTTGTATATGCCCTGTATATTTAGTTTATATACTGAGGATAGTGTATCTTTTGTAATACCCTTTGTGTCTGCATCTTTACATGTATTGTATTATTATTGTATCATTTGTTTGCTTTTTGTATTCCACCAATTCCACCAAGACAAATTTCTAGTGTGCTCAGTCAGTTAAGTGATTCTGTTCTTATAGCTCTTTCTAGGCTACATACCTTGCTGGCCTGTTCCTGATGCTTGGTGCTAAGGTTCTCTGGTCTCTCCCAGCAGCGCGTGGACAGGTTGAGGATGGCAGTGGCGGCCATGTGAGCAGCCTCGGCATCATGGGAGTAGTCATATCCGCTGGAGGTGGAGGAGGAGCTGCTCTTGGCATAGCTTCCAGATAAGCTCTGGCTTGGGGAGGAAGCTTTTGGAAATGGTTTTGCTGTTAATCAAGGCAACAACATGGATGCACAATAAAATTGACTATGTGTAAGATATCTAAAAGAGCGCACAGCAAAAATGTGTTCAGTTCTTTGGATTTAAACCTGTAACATTGGCTATCTTAACCTACTGAGCGGAACAAGTAATGCAGTAAAGTATGCTCACATTTGAAGGCTTTAGGTGAGGTTTCGCTGGTGGGCATCTTTGGGGCAAGCATGCGCTTGCCAAACACCTGCACGTCGAAGCTTGCATAGTCAAAGGACACCTTGGAGTACTTCTCCAGCTCCTTCGCCAGGTTGGCTCGAGGGGTGGCTGGCACCACATTAGGCCTGTAGCTACCATACTGAGGAATCTCCAACTGCTTCACAAAACACATGGGCCTAAAGAAAAGAGAGAGTGGAGGTTAACTTCTGAATAAATTAATAAAGTAACCCTCGGAACTTGTCATTATTGCTGGCAATAACAAAATTGAGGAGTAATTTGATATTCATTTTTTGTCACTCATACTGCATTGAACCAAGAATGTTAATCAAATGTGAATTTGATTAACTGTGCACTTGCGTAATTATGTTAAAATTGTGGAGTGACCTTAAAACTTCTAGAGGTCAATTATGTAATGTACAAAAATATAAGCCTTTTCCAACCAGTTACGTGAAAAATTATATTTACATTAACTTGAAGTCATGTGAAATGATTATTCTCGTTTCAAATAGTATAGTAAAAAAATGTTTAGCTGGCTTACCTGAGTACTCTGTCTGATTTAGAGCCTCCAACAGACTGCTCACTGACTGAAGCCTGGGCCTGAACTTGCTTCTCAAAACTCTTTGAGTGTTTTCCTGCTGCAGCGATTGGGCAGCCAGATAAACTGAAAAGAGAAAGAATTCAGATGTCATAAATACCCTGCATAGTTAAATCATTAGACCTATAAATGACCATGCTGATCAAGAAATGATGAAAAACGCTGAATTTACCTGCGGTGTGTGTTGCGGTTGCTGTTAACATGGCCTTGACCATTGCACCCAGGTGTTGGACATTTCAGCACGTTCTCATGCATGGCCAAGACTGTGCAGATTGAGAGAAGATGTCAGAGATGGTAAGAAATATAAAATAACAAGTACTTGAATGCTGCTGCATTACGTTGACTTAATCATGCCATAGACACATGATAGATGTCAAATGAGCTGTCATGACAGATTTTGCTCCATATCATATTACCATTACTGTTAATTGTCAAGACAGATGCCATAATGTTTGATGTCTTGATGGCTTCACATGCTAATTTTTGCTAAATGAACACTAATTAGTTCAATTAGATCTGGCATGTCAATTAACAATAGTGATAATATGACACTGTTGTATTACTAGAAATAATCTGTCATGACAACTCATGACTGCATATGACAAAGGGGAGTTAAGAGTATACATGTTAAACAGGTTCTTGAAAGACAGTACTAACTTTCAGGTGGGACCCTGTCCTTATGTGGGCACCCAGAAAGGCTCCGGTGGTGAGGGTACAGTCCAGTCACGTGACCTGTCCCGTCACATCCTGGGGTGGGGCATTTCACTTCTTTCTTCTCTGATCTGGAACCTTCTGTGATGAAAGCGGAGCAGGAAGGATGAAGGAGGAATCCAAACACATCAAGCTCTCATTTGCACGTTATCAGATCATACATAATGTAATTACAATACTAGTGGGAAGCTGTAAAAAGAAAATCTAAAAATTTGAGATGTATCCACAATGATAAACGGAGCTTTACATTATTCTAAATTGAGAAAGCCGTATAATAATGAATAATTAAATTATAAGAAAGTTAATACTCAGGATGCCTCACACATCAAAAAATGGTGACCAAATTTCGAAGCTAACAAAATTGAATTTAAATAGGTAAATCAAAATAAATTACAGTATATTAGTCACTATTTAATAACTATTTTATAACTTTTTTGCAACACTATGTACGTAACTACTGCATATAAAACAACAAAAATTATTAACATGACTATTCAAAATTTTAGAACTGAAGAATTTTCAGTAATATGAATGGAATAAAGTTTGACATGCCAAAATAATTGATATATTGAATAAAACATCTAAAAATGCATTTTTATCTAATTTATATTTCAATTTGCATTGTATAAGTTGTTTGTATACAAAATAATACAAATTACTAATATGAAACATGATTCCAAACTTTTGAACCACAGTCTGTAAGCATTCTGTAGTTGGTGTCATGCCCGTAATAGGAAATCCTGGTGTAAGGTGGTTTTGCCTATGGTAAAATGTATGCTGTTTTCTAGAAATCGTTAATTACTTGGGAAACATAAAGAATCCAAATCTTGGAATTTTGTCCTAAGTACATTTTTCCCCAAGTCAAAATACAAATAATGCTACATACATGCTATAAGCAGGCTAACACTCCTATGCAATGATGATACACAAACGTTAGTGTACTATTAAACTTCAACACTATTATATACCAACACTAACTAATACAAGCTTAGCCTAATACTGCCAAAGCAATTTAACAGCCACATTTGACAAAGCTTCCTTGTTTGCATAGAACATTTTGGAGAGGTTCCCATTCTTATTATATCAGTTAAGTGAGTAGAAGTGTTAGCTTATACTTCATCTCCTCAACAACCTCATAATTCAGATCATCCAGTGACATTTGGAGGAAAAATGTGAACAGGAACAGGAACCATAGAGAAAACCAACTTAGACCTGGAGTCCCTAATATGGGCATGATGATACAACTCCAGAGGTTTGTGGAGAGTTTATACAGTAATACAAGTTGAACAGAGCTTGATGTGCATTCACGTTACCTTTACTGTAGTATCCCCTGCGTGCTGCATGATCTGGCAGTTTGCTACTTTTCTCTTCCAGACTGTGGTAGCTCTGTAGCTCCGGAGAGCAGCTCTCCTCAGAGCTGCGTCCAGTCTGCTCGGCCTTCAGGGCGATGGCCTGCTCCAGCAGCCCCAGGTTCCCTCGCGTCATGTCGTATGTCTCGGACTCGTCTGTGACTTCTGACCTATGGGACGCGCTGTCCATCTCTTCATCTTCTGCTTCGTCCACTTCTTCCTCTCCTTCATCCTCTTCTTCATCTTCATCCTCCTCATCATCACCTTCAGAGTGCAGCTCTATGACTACTGTGGGTGAGGCTTTGTTGGGTGCTTCCTCTTCATCTTCCTCGTCTTCGTCCTCCTCTTCTTCTTCCTCATCAGTTAGCAGAGTGTCTGGTTTTTCGCTATTGATCACGGCGTCTGGTTCTGATACCTGAGTTGGAAAGCTGTTTTCTGGGACGATAGGGGAGTGGTTAGGCTTCGTTTGGGCCTCCTCCTCCTCTTCTTCCTCCTCTTCCTCTTCTTCCTCATCTACATCATCTTCCTGATTATTCGTCTTCTCCTCAGCTTCTTTGGCCTGGACTTTGTTGAAGTCTCCGCTGAAGTACTGGTGGTCCGAATTGTTTTTCTGACTTGAGCACTGGCTCTCGCCTTCCTCATCCTGCTCCTCATCGTCTTCACCATCTTCTTCTTCGTCTTCTTCTGCTATCTGCATGGGCTCATCAGACACTTTTAGCTGTTGAGTCATCCTCTCTTCTTCTGTCATCTCTTCTTCTGCACCCTCTCCATCCTCTTCCTCGCCTGCTTGGATCTCCTCAGCAACTTGAAGCCCCTCTGCATTGTCTGTCTCCATTGTGACTTGTTGGATGGGTGTGGCTTCAGCCTCTATCTGCTCTTTTGTCGGTTCCTCTTCAGGCTCTGGAGTCGGGATATTTTTGACTTCTTCTGGTTTATCTTCAGCTTCAACTTGTGAGGCTTCCGCTGAAGGAGCAACGACTGAAAGATCACAAATGTAAATTCTTTAGGATATTGATGGCATTATGCTGAGATTTTCTTAAAAACAAAGGTGCCAAAAGAAACCATAGAACCTTTCAACAATGTTTGTCTAAAAGATCCATTTTTGTATGAGATGTGCGAGTGAGAAGAACATTTTAAAAGTTCACACAATCACCTCATAATGCTATGGTTCTGTTACAGGCTATGCACTCTTAACAAGTGTTCTATAGTACCAAAAAAGGTTCTGTGACTTGTAATAGTTGAGGACTCTTTCTGGTCCTGTTAAAGAATTTTTAATATCTTTAAACAGCATTTTTCCATCATATTAAGAAAGATTTAACCACATAAAGAACCATTTACACATTGAAATGGTTCTTTGAGTGTTCATGGCAGTAATATAATAATTGCCATTACTAAAGACCCCTTAAAGAACCATTGTTTTTATAAGAGTACCAATATCTAGAACCGTCTGTTCAAGCCCAGAATGATTACTGAAATGTTCTTTTTAAGAGTGTATCATACATGGTTTTTATACAAACTAATGATCTCTTTCCTCACCTGCCAAAGGCTCTGCTGTATCCTCCTCCTTCTTCTTAGGCTCCTCCTCTTTTTCTGTAGTCTCTTCATCAGACTCCACTGCATCATCCTTTGGTTCAGTCTCACTGTTTGTGTCACTGTCTGCATTGAACCCATCGTCCATTGCCAGCTTCAGGGGGTTGGGCTTCTTCTTAGCGGCTGCTTGGTTCTCTTCTGCTTCTTGGAGTTTCCTTTTCTTGGCCAATGGGCAACCCAGTGCACTGTTGGAGGCACAGGAAAGAAAAATGAGCTTTTGGCAGCAACAGTCACAGCTATGTAAGAAATATGCTTCAGTTTAACCTGAAACTGTGAAAGGGGCCTAACGTTACCTTCTGTGTCGAGCATATTTTCCACTGACATGACCCAAACCATCACATCCAGGAGTGGGACAGCTAGAAATCAAGAGAAACAGAAGCTTGGTTTGTCTATTACTTTATTGTTTTACAGTATAATGTGTGTTTGGTGCATTTAATCAGTGCAGAGTAGCACCAAAGAAGTAACTAATAAAAACCACACCTGTATTCTTGTCCCACAAGCTCAAGAGGAACTGAGAGAGAGAGAGAGAGAGAGAGAGAGAGAGAGAGAGAGAGAGAGAGAGGTCATTATAGTTTACTATCACTGAAAGTATTAATATGCCATAATATTATCTCAGGGTCAGTTAAATGCAAATTCATCTAATAAAAAAACTATAACTGAATAACTAAGTTCTAACATGAACTGATCAACACTCAAAATTTGAGTGTTGCCACATCACAGAATTTCCTACAACTTCCTAAAAATAAAGGCTTCCAAATTATTCTTGACTTGTATTCATAAAAAAATCTAGAACCTTCACATTATGTACAGGTTCTTTAAAAATTTAAAGAGTTATTTAAATGTCTCATTTACAAATATGGTTATTTAAAGAACCACAGATGAAAACATTCCTCTGCAGCTCTTCAAGGAGCTCTTTTAGGTTCCATTTGGCACTTTTGATTTAAGCAGTTTATTCTATTCTATTTTAGTCTGTTCTATAATGTTCTATAAAACACAGATTCAACTGTTTGACCATATATTGATTATATAAATGTCCACAAATGACAGAATTAACTACATTTCTTGGTTTGTAAGAAAACATCTTTAATTGGTGTAGAACCTTTACATTCTAAAGAGTTCCTTTAAAAGTTTAAAGGGTTCTTTACACAGACACATCTCAGCTACAGAAATGCTTTGTTAAAGATCCATACATTGAAATCCATTTATTCTGTTCAGCACTTTTTAAAGAGTCTATTCTATTCTATTCTATTCTATTCTATTCTATTCTGTTTATTTATAATAAACAGAGTTGTATACAGTGAACTGCTCTCACCTCTGATGCCTTTTGAGCGAGTCCGCGTCCTCTTCTCTTCTGTGTCTTGGCTCATCTAAACAAATGCAGAATGCAAAAAAGACAATTATTATATTGAACTTAAGTGCCGTCTTCTTTCTTGTGTTTTACTTTTATGTATTTTTATTCTTTCCTTTGTACTTAACAGCCTTTCTTCAGAAGAGTGAGCTTTATTTGAGCTCAAATGTGAAGGCAAGGTTTAAATTCTATCCCACTCCATGACCAAGAAACATCTAATGGTCCCCCGAGCTGAGCACAGTCTAATGTTACTGGAACCAGAGTGGTTCTACACATCCTTTAAACTCGATAAAATGGCAAAATCAATAACACACTTCCAATCAGTTCCTTTAGATTCACACCATGGCCTGCTGAGAGGACTGTGAGGATGATGTATGAGAGAAAACGAATTAAAAAAGCAGATAAAGATCTGATGTCAATAGAGAAAAATAGAGAGAACTGCTCAAGAGCTTCAGCTGCAAAAAAGAATGAAACTGCAAAAAAGGTTGTAGCACTTTACAGCAAAGGGCTAATAAGAATAAGTCAAGGCTGTTCACTGTATGATAGCTCTCATGGTGAAGTGGGCAGAGAATTACACTCAAACACTCCACATCCAGACCACTACAGAGACACATACTGTATATAATGAAAACTCCAGTATCTCACTTTGATTCTCTTGCTCCTCTTGTTCTCCCAGCTGCTGACTCGGTCACCTTTTGTCCACCTCTGGCTCAGCAGCTGCCCATGGAACTCATTCTCTGTCAGAGAAAGAAATAATGACACAGTGTGATTTTCACAATGGGACTCCTAACATAAGAAGTACAGTATAATTTGCATAACAAACTTAAAGAGCCGAAATAAGTAATTTTAACAAGTCACAGCAGGGAGGTAACATTTCTGAAGTATTTAGTCGCTGTTGGAAACAAAACCTCACATCATCTCTGGACATTGAGACCAGAATAAAAACATTCTTAACTTCAACACGTATTAGTGTATCAAGATTTGCGTTCACTCTTAAAAATAAAAAAGTGCCAGAAAGTGTTCTTCGATTGACGCCATTGTACAAGGGTGCCCAGACCTTTTGTCTTGGTGGGTCAAAGTGCAGTATTTGTGGGGGCTGAAGACCAAAAAGACAAAACATAACAATACAAATAAAGAAGGTTGGTAGGTTTCAGGTTGTTTTTTTATAACATTACGCTTATATTTTGTCACCAAAATACTGCAAAAGAAAATCTTTTATATATAAAATTCTGTTTGTTCTCTCATTGGGTGAGAGGATCCAGTTAGGGTAACTTTCAAATCAAATGTCCTCATGAGCTTTGGGCAGTTGTGCCATAGAAGAATCACAGTTGGTTCCGTAAAGAACCATACTTGAAAAAGACATCTGTGAATGTGAGGAACCTTTTAAAGATTTAAAAAACCCTTTAAACATGTCCAAATTGCGGAATGAAGCTTTAGACGATTGCAAAAAGTAATTTGTAGGATGGAATTATATTATAAATATGTCCAAAATGCCTCAAGAGGTACAAATAAGGATATATATATCCTTATTTGTAACTATATATATATATATATATATATATATATATATATATATATATATATATATATATACACTTTACTGAACGGCATCATTCATAAGAACTACACGACAGCCTTTCATGACAACTGAAATAAAGCAATGTAGATGCAATATAGTAAGTGTTTATTTGCTCAGAACTACAATAATATTACAATGAATATCACCAGTGCATAAAGGGATGGGATTCCATGTATGCCATAGCGTTACTTTAACTCTTTCTAAACCTCTCCTTGAGGAAACACTGTATTGTTTGTAGTTATTATCCAACATCTGCTTTGATTAATCAATACTTCATTATGTTAAATTATGGGTGCTGCTGATGGAATTTAACAAAGTACTGTGATGGCTGGGGGTGTAGAGGAGACATCCTGAAACTAATTTTATTCTTCAAACTAGAAGACATCAACTGCTTTTTAAAATAAGAAATCTAAGCTAATGATATATATTGTTTATTCCAAGCAAAAGATGCATTTAATGTTGATTTTAAACCATTTTTCAGCATATTAAACTCAGCAAATGAATAGAAAGTTGTTTTTTTTTGAGACATATGATAACTGTTATTATAACAGCATCAAGTATATTGTAACTAGCAATACTGCTAATCAATGTACCCATTTTCCCTAAATAAGAAAAGAATCCTAAACTTATATGTATTACATAGTTATTGACAGCCTGTCAATTATTGTCAATAACAGCTTGTCATTCAGATGGGTTCAATAGCAGGAAAGCTTTGGTAACACACTTTGGTGATTACTGTAAGCCTGTACGAACTGATGTTCAGCTCATATAGGCTGACAGTGAAGTCATTCAAAGCACTTCTGAACACTAAAACATGATCCGTGATGGTGTTTGAGGACTGCCTTCATGGCTCTGGTGTTGATTCTGAGCGAACAGCGATGTAACCCAGCTGTTCCACTCAGTTCTCATTAAAGCCTCTGATTACATTTTAAACGGCACCTGGTGCTCCTACACTTTTCAGTGCACAGACATACAGAATACACTGCCGTTCTTCACACGAAAACATGATGTACTGTAGCTTTGGCAGTACTTAAACAATCTCACACATGCAAGAAAAGAAATGTACTAGTAGTGTAATGCACTTAAAGTTGTCTTCATTTTATTACTTTTAGTGTTGCTGTAATATGTTTGCTCTATGTGGAAATGAATCAAGTAAATCCAAAGCATCACCCTATTCAGTGTACGAGTAAAGGGTCAACAAGTGCAAAAACACCCCAAATTAATTATTAATGTGCGATCAATGAACCCTTACAGTCTTAAGAGCACCAAACGTACAGGCCTCTTCTGCTGTAGTAGCTTTATGAAAGTAATGATGGGAACACTAAAGCGTTTGGTGTGTAATGGTTTTGCCATCCTCTGTGCAATTCACTTACAATAACTTTGGTAATAATATTCAGTTTGACATGTTCTGTACTGGCTCCATCTCTCCGCACAAGTCTGCTTATTTTAATATACGGCTCTGCTATTCAACCATCGCAGTGGCAGCTTTAAAGCAATAAAGCGGAGTACAAAATAAGAATAAACCGCAGAAACTTGATGCCTTTATAATTTTATTCTATTATTACATTAACCAACAAGAAACTACGATAATTATTCTTTTCAAATGTTTTTTTAGTCTTACTGAGCATGAAAAACAGCATGTCACAGCAGTGACTTCACACATGCTCAGGTAATAATTTTATGTAAAACATAACACAAAGAAAAGATGGCTAACTCTGAGAAGTCCACGGTTAGTAAAATTTCTGTTCATATTTCTTAAAAATGTAGATTTAAAAAATGTGTCCCAAAAACGTCAATGGTGCTACATTTGAAACATTAACTTATTGTAAAACTGAAATAAAATAGCAACAGCAATGCAATATTTGTCATTATTTTATGTCTACATACAGTGTGACTTTGAAACTAAAGTATCAGTAGACTGTATTTTGGAAATTTTGTCAGTGGCGTTGCAGTCAGTGGTGTAACTTTACTGATGTTGCTCAGTACAGACCATGTTTTACACTTAACCTACATCAACATTCTTGAACTGCTTGCCATCACAATGGTAGAAAGACCCACACATAAACAAGAAACGATATTATTGTACCAGTAGCAGCTCTGCTTTTGTCCCATGGGACCTTGGCTTAAAATAAGAGCATCATGATTCTGCAGCAACCTCTCTCTCTCTCTCTCTCTCTCTCTCTCTCTTTCTCTCTCTCTGCCCACAATACCACGCCTTTTAATGACTCCCATCAGGCAAACAGCAATACCCCCTCCATCACTGCAAAGCTGCGTCATGGTAACCACTATGTGCCAATCACAAGGACCTGGGACATTTAAATCAGGACTCATCTCCATCACACTGGCTGCACACGTCAAATTCTTTACGTTTACTGAGTCAATCCACAATCCTGGAATACAGCTATGGGGGTGAAAAACACAAGCCAAGGCCTTAGAAATGCCAACAAACTGAGAGCTAAACAAACCCAAAAAAGCGCAGACTGGACTACTGTACAGACAGCAAGCGTCTAAAGTAATAACACATTTCAGGCCCCAGTAAGTAGCAAGTTATGCATTCGCGCACAACACAAACCAGAAAGCGTTTAAAACTCGTCCACCTGCTCGGTGCCTCATTCACAGGATTTCTGAAGCCTCTTTCTCAGACATCAGCACAATACAGGTCCTTGAAATTGTAATAGAACAAACTTTCACGGCTTCTGCTTCCTGTGATGGCTGGGCTGCCTGTTAAAACTTCAGCTGTGGAGTCGCCCGGCCTGCACTACTGCACTACTGCACACACAGGCCTGCCAGGGACGACATCAGACCCCATATACACCAACAGATCAGGCCTATATTGAAAGTTCACGAGCTTTCATCGAACAAAATACATGCTATGCTACAGTAGCCTAGTGCAGCGGTTACTGGAGCCCATTCTTCATCTATCCAACACAACACAACACAATCTACCCTAAAACGACGAAGCTGAAGACGGCTTATTCACCAGCTTCTTGTTCGAATTTTCCCGTTCTACCTTAAATGGTTCAGCAGTTAAAGGGCACCAGAATGTAACTGCTGCACCATTTAAGGTGGAACGGAAAATTTCGAACAAGAAGCTGGCGAATAAGAATTTGACTTCAGCCTCAGGAGCCAGAGTGTAACTGCTGTACCATTTAAGGTGGAACGGGACAATTCGAAAAAGAAGCTGGAGAATAGGAGGCCAACTTTAGCCTCTTTCTAAACCGTGCGCTGAACAACTTTAAGGAGAAAAGCAGATCGAAAATGTGCTTCTTTAATAAAACCTACGCTGCGTCCATTAGCCGAGCACAGCGGAGATGCACAACGGAGATCGCAATGATTAGCCGCTAGAAAACGCTAGACGCGTAATATTTGCAACTAGCATCCAGAACAGCGAGGTAGGAAAATACCCTTGATCTTCCAGCTCCTGTCGGCGACGTATTTTTGGTGGAGATGCTAGCGGCCTCTCGCTCTTTGTAGCTGTAACTTCAGCGCCGCTCCGCTTCGCCGTTTTCTTTGCGTGAAGCCCGCTCGCTGAGCGTCAGAAACCTTTAAATAATCCGAGCACGGCGGCTCCCAGACCTCGCCATGATAGACAACTCGGTCGCGTGCGCCCGTCTGCTCCTGAATATTAGCATGTAGCCTCATCAAAAAGCCATTTCCACACAATATCGGTCGGCGAGAATAATGTTGACTTACCTTTGGCTCACAGGCCCATTGTTCACCCCTCCTCTACCCCAGGCTGTGACATCATCATAGTAAAATGTACAATACAAGAGGGGGTGGGCCTCTAGTACACCCCCCCACACACACACACAACACACGTCTCTCCCACGTAAACACTGGCTCTTTCCAGCCAACCATCGTTCGTTAGTTAGTCTCAGCTTAAAAAAACAACAACAACACGCACATATGTGAGTGTGCTGCGGCCTACTGCCCAGTGCTGTAACTAATAAGCCTCCACTGCTCTCTCTTGTCGAAATAAAAGCCATATAAAGCAGCTCTCCACTTTCTCTGCTGGGCTGAATCGCCGTCAGCTCGAAGTTCAGCACTGTGGACAGCGCTGTAACTGATTTCAGCACCATGGACAGAAGCAGCTGATGCTGCGACCCACACGCCTTTTAAACCTCCTCCATTTGTTTGTTTACTCGTTTCATTGTCTGTTTGTTGTTATGAAACAAAGATTATACGAATATTGCCTTAAAATTACCGGCACACTCCTCTGCAACGAAGCAAGGAACAAACATCCACACAAAATGCTTCGCTGAATAAACACCAACATATAACTACGTCCAGATGCTATAAGAGGATAACAACTACTATAAAAGTCAAACCAATACCGAGGATTCAGCCATGTGTGCTTAATTATGAAGACTATTACCCACTTATGTGATTCATTAATCCATAAACAGTGCGCTAAACTAAACAATTTCTACTAAAAGCGCTCCCTACTTAAGAAGAATCAGGGAACTACTTTTTCACGCGTAATGATACATTCAGTTTACAGCAGCCAGACCTAAAATAAGGCAACGCGACCGGAAATATATTCCCCAAATGTGCTAACCTACTTTAGAGAGGGAGATGAAAAGACGTAATGAAATATTAATCATTATTTTTGGTATTATTAACACTAACATACATATATTAACTGGCTTGTTTGCTTGACATGTTCGTCCCCAGCCTCATTGTATCATCTACAATCACAGGCAGGTCTGTAGGTCCATTGCTTTATAAGCCTACGAATATAATTAAATTGTGTTGCCATTTACTGCTTCGCCAGGTTGAAATACATTTTTACATTATCTTTCAGATAAATTTAGTACGTTCTTTAACTTTAGTTAAGTCTAACTACATTTAATCAAGGCTTCAACATTCGAATTCTAATGTTACTGGCTAAAAAGCTAAGTAGAGCTGGGAGATGAGGGTGAAACCCCAAGTATGGGACAAAAATGAGAATATTAAAATCCAGCGCTGAATTCACTCTGTTAATGTTAACCTTGTGATAATTCAAGTCATTAATATTTATGATAAAAGTTTTTAAATGTTTCTTGGCCTGTACATTTCTACGATTTAAGAAAAAAAAGTCTTATGCAAAAGTTTGTAGCAGCCCTGGTCAAATGACGTTTTGCTGATTTTCTACGTGAAAATAAGTTAACACATCCTCTACAGAGAAGATTAAAAAAAATCCCAATACGTTAAATTTAGCAAACTTATTTTTTCAACAAAACGTATAACTTGACTTGGGGTGCCCAAACTTTTGCATACAACTGTACGTGGAGGTTGTTTAGACCTTTAAAATCTCTTTCTCTCTCACAAATCTCTCTCTCCATATATATATATATATATATATATATATATATATATATATATATGGAAAGTTTTTTTAAAGAATACAAACTGGTTCTTTAGCATTACTCGAAGTCTTATTTCGATTTATTTTTAATGATGTTAAATATGCTGTATATGACTGAAGTGAGGGCACTAAAAAGAATGAGAGGAATTCGAGGACAAACGTCAAAAGCCGCTCGTGTGAGCAGAGAGGACTCTTCAGGAGTTTCTATATTTAATGAGAGCGAAGTTCTTCGGTTACCAGCTGGAACTTTGTTCACTCTCATCCTCCAGCTCGGTGCAGATGGACAGCCTCTCTGCTGCAGCATACAATTATCCTCGGGACAACAGCAGCGTGTATAAATATTACATACGTGCCAGCTGAGCGAGTGAGGAGACCAGAGCCCACTCTAACACCCCACCCCCTCCCCCTCCCGCCATGGACAGATGGACCTGCCTAAGTCCCTCCCTCGCTTAAACTTTTAACGGGCCTCTGCCGCAGCCTCAAGTCCCCACAGAGTTCACCGCACAAATCCCTCTGGAAACAAAAGTTTCCTTTGTCTGCAAACTGTCTGGACGGAGGATTTGAGTTCAGAAAGTTTTAACGCACAAAGAGCTCGTCCTCTGCCAGCGCGTCAGCTGTATGGCAAAACAAATCTTACAAACTAACTGCACAATAAATTTAAACGTGTATAACAGTTTTGAGGGGATAAGCATCACTACAAAGCTAAAACAGTGAAGTGTTAGAATTAATCTTCTCACTACGGCTCATCACAGCACCCTCAGACCAAAACATGACTTAAAAAGTCCAAATACCAGCTTACATAAATATGAAAGTAATTTTAAAAAATTCTGAATGGACTGCGGAGAGAAATACACCACAAAATCACTACAGGTTCCTCAGAAACATACCTGAAAATCACGTCAAAGTGTTGAGTGTAAAACCCAATAACAGCCACCTTAAAACAAAAAAACTCAAAGTGTTTTACTCACCCAGAAAGACTTTGCACAGCTTCATCCTGGCTGTGACTGTGTTGTCCCCGACTCATAGCTTTCAAACTCTGAAACTTCTCTTCATAATAACAGAGAAAGTAACTTGGGAAAAACTTGCCGGAGTGGGCGGTCCGCCCCTCGAACTTTGCGTTCGACCAATCAGACGCTGTCTGCGTCACGCTTGCTCCCCGAGGCCAGCCAATCAGAGAGCTGCTCAGTTGGAAGGCTCCCCAAACAAAGCCCATTGAGAGCGAAAACAAAAGACTGCTGCTGTTCCCTCAGTCATATGGCAAAGCGGACTACTTCCCCTTTCTTTCACCACAACCGCCGACCGAAAACTCGAGGAGAAAACTTTCTCAAAGTTTCTTTTTCACAAGTTTTAGTCCAGCATAAAATAAATTACAGCACATGTTTAATCCAAAATCACACAATATGTACTTTCACCCTTGCCATGTATTATGTAGTCTATTATTTACATATATATATATTATATATAAATAGATCTATAGAAGTCGTGTAAGTCTTTGTGTGTGTACAGTGGCACCAACAAGTATTTTGGTCATTTGTTTTAGAACAGACCTTTCCAAGACTGTAATTCTCTGCATGGCAAAGTCTTCTTTCTGAAGGTGGCTGTTGTGGTTCAGATTGTTACAGTCTGAGCAGTTTCTTTGAAGACTTCTGCAGGTTTGCATCCAAAATGCCTTTATACACTTCTTCATGATCCCATCAGTGAACAAAAGCTCAGCAACACCACTGTAAAAAAAAAACAGAACCAGACATTGATGTTTCTATTTCTGTGTTTTACACTTTACTGCAGTCTGGTTACAGATCTTCTCCAGGTTTTCTCCACACAAAGAGTCTATTATCAGTTTGGTGTTGTGCTAAAAGTGTTTCTCACTGAGACAAACCTTGTTTTTGTTAAAGACTTTCTAAAGTAAGTTAAAAGTTTAGGAACAGTTTGTGTGTCAATATTTGAAGTGTTTATGATGTGCATTCTTATATTACACAGTGTTTTACAAGCAATAATGCACTTACCACTGAGATAAATGATTGTAAACAATTTGCTTTTGCACAGTACTGCATACTGTATACTGTATAGTGCATACTGTATGCTGTCACATGCAAAAGTTTGGGCGCCCCTGGTTGCATGACATGGCTTTTCTAAGTGAAAATATGTTAACACATCCTCTACAGAGAACACACTTCTGCACATTTCAATGCACAATTACTGTTTATTTAAATATTATTTGAACATTAACATAAAAAAATAAAAATAAACAAAAACATTAAACATAAAATATGGCCTGTGCAAAAGTAACGGCACATTTTTTTCTTGTATGTTATGTGCAGGAAATAAATAGAAACTGTAAACTAAAAGCGTTTGCATATGATTGTATATATATATAATATACAAGTGAAAATGTTGCATTTTCCTGCAAACTTAAGTACACAATATGTGTTTATTTCTACATTTAACATATTGGAAACAGAAGAAAAATAGGAAAAATAGAAAATGTGGCACAGCTTTTGCACAGGGAAAATTATTTTTTTCCCCAAAGTGTTAAAATCCTCAAATAAACTGTGTTAAAATATCCATAATTGTGTTCCCTGTACAGGATGTGTTTACTTTTAAATTATTACAGTGTGTGTGTTTATCACACATATAAAATCACACATAAATCAATCAAAGAAAGAAAAAAATTAAGTTCCATGTTATGCTGATAATATTTGATATGCAAGTATTAGCAGACATGCTGATCAGATGGGACTAATAATTAAGAAATCTGATAATGTTTCACCTCCTGTCCATTCAGCGTGGACTCTACATCAAGCAGCTTCTCTATCAATCAGTTAATCAACTAATCAATCAGCCAATCAACCATTCAATGAGATTCCCTTTGCTGGCAGCACCATTGGATCAGTCACTCTCTCACTCTCTCTTTCTCTCTCTCTCTCAGTCTTAATCTGTGTGCTCTCTCTCTCTGTCTCTCCCTCTCTTTCTCTCTCTGTCTCTCTCTCTCTTTCTCTCTCTATCAGTGCTGAGGCATATGTGCTGAGATACTGCGTTAGCCTCTGACCATGAGCTAAAATCTGAGCTCCACATGACAGATGGCTCTGCTGATAATGATGCTTAGGGAACCCCCCCCCACACACACCACTACCACTACCCCGCTGTTGCCATAGTGAGGAGGGGGTCTGAGGGATGTATGGAAGGGGCCAGGGGGCGCTTATTAAGGCATCCACACTTAGTGGACACCAGGCCTTAAAGAAAGTGTACAAAGCTTTCAGAGCCTGATTTAAAAGACTGTCAGAGCTGAAGGTGTGGGTCCGCATGCAGCTGCCCTTCATTGATTCCTTTGTTTCTGCTCATGTAGCTGCAGAGGCAAACAATTAGCTCCATGCAGCAGGAACACCATCAAAGATATCTCTGTCTTCCATGCACAAGTTTCAACACCCACTAAATCTAATTTATACTTCAGTAATTTGATCCACTGTCTTTCTTCACTGTTTATATTGTACTGATCTATAATTAGACAATATTTTCATGATGAAAGTTCTTTGATTTGATTGTAACTCATTATAGGTAGGCGTGTGAACTTCATTTACATCCTGTTGTTTATCAGTGCAAAGTCAACAGCTGCTCTCTTCACACACTTCTTGTGTGTGTGCATTGTAAATATAACAATATTTATAAACTAACATGTATCTATGTTAGAACGTTAAATATATACAGTACTGTGCAAAAGTTAGAGACCACCCTTCCACTATTTAATTTCCTGCCAAAGCAGCCGTTGAGTGAATTTGTTTGTTTTTAGTGTTAGAAAAAAAGCAGAAAATATCTAGTTGACCTGAAAAATAAACAGAAGCCTCAACAACTTTAATATGAATTTTTTCAGTGTTCTGTTTCAGCTTTTATAATGGCTTCCATCTGTTCAGGAGACTTGTTTTCAATTTTTAAAGAAATATGCAGGGAAATATTTCCAAAGTTCCTCCAAAGTTCATTCTTTGAAGTTCGATGCATTTTCTGCTTCACACGATCCAAACAATTCCAAACACATTCAATGATGTTGAGGTCAGTGATATGGTCAGTCCATTATTCTGAGAACACCAGCAGCTTCTTCACCTGATGTTTTTTGTTGTTGTTGTTGTTTATTTCCTTTTATCAGTAATGGCTTATTGACTGCTACTGTAAAATGTCAAAATTTTAAGGCAGATTAATAACTAACTTTTTTGAGCTAAAATACCAGTTAAAACTCCAGTTAGAGAGACAGATAGAGATGAAAAACGACAAAATGACTCTGCTGCATTGTTAAAAAAAGTACATTAATTTAATTGCGTCATTTTTTAATGCACATTCTTTATGGTAGATTTAGAGTGAATGTGGTAAAATGTACAATTGAAAATAAAACAGGCATTTTGAAAGGCCTGAAACACAATGAAATACACTGTACAGTTTACACTGTACAGCATACCTATTATACACAGTTTAATTAAGCCCCCACTTAATAACTTTGTGATGAATGTGCTTTATAGGTGCGAGACAAGTTGGCAGCTGAACTCCACAGAAATGTGCTTTTACCAGACTGGAGTCCAGACTGAGGGAGGAGAAGAGGAGCTCAAACTCACTGAACCTCCACACACACAGCCACCATTACAATAACAAAGGCTGCCCACACTTTAGGGCGGAGCTAAGAGGCCGATTTCCAGGACACTGAGCGAGAGGCTCCTTTAATGAGCTTTGTGTGTGTGTGTGTGTGTGTGTGTGTGTGTGTGAAAAAGCACTTCTTGGCACAGCTGTCATGCTGGAGGGTGATATCAGGCGAGTGCAGCTAGTCTCTTTTTAAGAGCACTGTGAGAAAATAGTGGGGGAGGGGAGGAGCAAAGAGTTTGGAGTGGATAAAAGTTCTAGATTGTTTTTGATAACTGTGCATACACACTCATTGTAGAATTCGTTAAAAATCGAAGTTTTTTGTATTTATATATTTTTGTGTGAGCACAGTAGTTTGGATGGAGCTCCAGTCTGGCAGGTAAGACCTCAAGTTCAGACTTAAAACACCCTTGTGAAAATGAAATGTATTGATAAGCAGGCCTAATATTTTCCAAAATGTTTACCAAAACTATTGGAATATCTTCTGTTTGTATGTTCAACAAAAGTGCTGATCTCCCAAATGATAACTTTACAGGAGAAAACAAAAACTTCAAAAAAGTCTAGACTTTTTCTGCAAGTTAATGTAAGACAATTTTATTTGGCCCATTCATTGTGAAATTTTCACACAATAGACAACTTCTGTGCTGAAATAATGCAGAATAATAAAAATACAAAAAAATGCTGTGAAAAAAGTGCAAGTTTTTTTTTTGGACAGTGACAACATTTTTCTTTTGAGTCTTAATAGGCACATGAATGGTATAATATACCCCAAATATGGTTTAAAATAGTATTGAAAATACATACTGAACTATGCAAATGTCTTAAGCATCTAAAACAATTTTACAGTCATATGTAAAAATGTAAATACCCCAGACAAATTGTATGTTTTGTTGATTTTCCAAGTGAAAATAAGTTTTTGCATAAATAACTTTAAATAAAAATAGATGAATAAGCACCACACCCCCTACAGGGAGCAAACTTAAATATGACATTGCTAGTTTTTGTGCACAATTTTTTACTAGGTTTAACATATTGAAAACACATTAAATGTAACCTGTAAAATGTGCCATAACTTTTGCAAACAACTGTATGTGAAGCTATTTATGTGAGGAGTAATCATTCATTAAAAAAAGCCCTAACACTAAAGTAAAAAAAGCTAAGGCAAATAAACAGTACCAGTTGATGTTGTGTGTCTGTATGCTAGCTTATCCATTTCCAAAGCTCTTCTTGAGGAAACCCAGTATTTACAGCTACCATACAGTTTACCGAATCAATATTTCTTTTAATTAAATCAGGCACTGCTAGTGGAGCTTAACAAATCCATACAGTGACTGGATTGCAGTGAGAAATCTGGAATCAAACTTGAGTTCTTCTCACTGTATTCGTCTAACCGA